TTCAGGGGAGAAACGTCAGAGGGGATGGAATAGGATGTCCCTATTTTCATGGGAGAAATGTTGGAGGGGATGGAATAGGGTGTCCCTATTTTCATGGGAGAAATGTTGGAGGGGATGGAGTTATCCGACCCCCAAGCCGTCTGAAGGTAGCCCTGTATAGGAAAGTGTTTTTTTAAATGTTTCATTTTATTATGCTTTTCATATTTGTTGGAAGCCGCCCAGAGTGGCTGGGACAACCCAGTTAGATGGGGGGAGGCGTATTAAGAGTAAAATTATCATTATGCAATGGGACGTCCCTATGTTCATCGGAGAAATGTCGGAGGGCATGTTTCCGCGACGTGTGTAGGATACTTTTTGGGCGGTCTCGCTGGGCAATTTCATAAGTATTTAAAAAGACCTTTGCTCTGGGTCCTCACCTCTTTGCAAGAGGGGGGAGGACGGAACTCAGTTGCAACAGAAAAATAAATATTTTCCTTGCTTTCACTAGATTCTGCCTCTAACCATTCTTCTCCGATTTAGGGGGCACTGAGGAGCTGGGCTACCAAAGCTGACCCCAAATTTTTCCTATAACAGGAGTTGCGTGTAACGATATTCTGGGGACGTCAGCGAGAGATGAACTCCCCTTGGCTCGCTCTGTAATTAATCCCGTAAACCCAGATTACTTTCCCCAAACACTGACTCATCATGCAGGAATTAATCTGGATCGGCCAGGATTAATTACAGAGCCAAGCCTTTTGGCAAGAGGTCTCGGGACTGTGACATCACAGGCAAGGATCCGCCGCGCTGATTACTCAGGCAGGGCGGCCGAATCCCATCATGTTCTTGGTAAGACTCCATGCGCCGAATTTTGGGGAAGGAACTGGTCGTTTTTAACGATGGGCGGCTAGCCGGCGGAACTCACTGCTACAAGATGCCGCGGCCAAGAATGAATGAATGAATCTTTATTTGCGTCAGCCGTGCTGATCGCCAAAGAATGGATGCTTTTGAATTCTGGTGCTGGAGGAGACTCTTGAGAGTCCCATGGACTGCAAGAAGATCAAACCTCTCCATTCTGAAGGAAATCAGCCCTGAGTGCTCACTGGAGGGACAGATCCTGAAGCTGAGGCTCCAAGACTTTGGCCACCTCATGAGAAGAGAAGACTCCCTGGAAAAGACCCTGATGTTGGGAAAGATGGAGGGCACAAGGAGAAGGGGACGATGGAGGACGAGATGGTGGATAGTGTCTTCGAAGCTACCAGCATGAGTTTGACCAAACTGCGAAAGGCAGTGGAAGACAGGAGGGCCTGGCGTGCTCTGGTCCAGGGGGTCACCAAGAGTCGGATACAACTAAACGACTAAACAACAACAACGGGGGGGGCCCCCATCGTCCCCTTCCCCAACAAGCCAGCCCCCGCGAGATACTCACGGCCAGCTGCTGCTCCAGATCTCGGATTCTGCCCTGGAGAGTTGCAACCTCTTGCCGCGACTCCACCTTTGGCGAGGTGGCTTTGGCCGAAGCCTCACCCGACAGCTCCGAGAGGTCATTCAGAGCTTCCTTGAGTTTGAAGACTTCTTTGGAAAGCTCTGTGATCTGCAAGGCAGCGAAGAGGCAATTTATTCTCCCAGTGCCCGCCCATTCCAACGTTTCCCCCCAATCAAAGAGCATCGCAAAACTAAAGGGGTTTTGGTATTTCCTCCTCCGTCCAAGCCCATTTTCCTTTCGTGTCTCCCCCCCCGACTGCGAATCCGTCAGCTGCTGCAGATATTTTGCAAGGGTTCCTGGGTGCAGCTTCTTGCAAGCTTCAGTATGGAAGCTGTGCAAAATTTGTGTACAGGACATTTGATTCTCCGTACCTGTAGCCGAAATTTAGCAGCGTTGGAATAACGCTTGTAGTTTAAGGGCAAATTTTGGACACAGTGGAGAGATAAAAAGATTTGGGTTATTATAAAAGATTCCGGTAGGAAATGATTAGCAATAGGGACCCACAAAGGGGAGGAGGGAAGTTCGGGAGATTTTTGTCAACTTGTTTTTATGATTTATGTTTGTTATACAGTGATCCCTTGGTTCTCAAACGCCTTGGTACTCAAACAACTTGGAACCCAGACACTGCAAACCCGGAAGAAAGCACTGCAGTTTGCAAATCTTTTTTGGAAGCCGAACGTGCTCCGTTTTGAGTGTTACGCTGAGTTCTGTCTGTTTTTGCTATTTATTTTACGTTTTTGTTTTGGCAGCTCTTTTTCGTTTTGTTTTCGTGACTGTACGGAAGAACCCAGTTCAGCTACTGATGGATTGATTGATTTTGTGACTGCAGCGCATTGATTATTGCAGGCATAGGCCAACTCCGCCCCTCCAGATGTTTGGGACTACAATTCCCATCACCCCTGACCACTGGTCCTGTTAGCTAGGGATGGTGGGAGTTGTAGTCCCAAAACATCTGGAGGGCCGGAGTTTGCCTATGCCCGGATTATTGTTTTTATTTTATGGATCGATGATCTCATTAGATAGTGAAGTCCGTGTTAAATGGCTGTTTTAGGGGTTTAAAAGTCTGGAACAGATTAATCCGTTTTGCATGACTTTCCATGGGAAAGCGCCCCTTGAGTTTTGGAACGCTTTGGTTTTGGAACGGAATTTCCGGAACAGATTAAGTTTGAGAACCAAGGTACCACTGTACAGTGGACGCTCAAGTTTCGAACATGATCCATGTGGGATGCATGTTCGCAACCCGCAGCGGCACATCTGCACATGCGTGGGTTGCGATTTGGCACTTCTGAGCATGCACAAAGCGCGATTTAGCTCTTCTGCACATGCGCGACCACCGAAACCTGGAAGTAACCCGTTCCGGTACTTCTGAGTTTTGGCGGGTCCGTAACCCAAAAAAACCACAATCTGAAGCGTCTGTAACCCGAGGTATGACTGCATTTGCAAAATTTCAGTTTGAAAAACCAACCAAATAAATACAGGTGAAACTCGAAAAATTAGAATATCATGGGAAAGTTCCTTGATTTCAGTAATTCAACTTGAAAGGTGAAACTAATATATGAGATAGACTCGTGACATGCAAAGTGAGATATGTCAAGCCTTGATTTGTGATAATTGTGATGATCATGGCGTACAGCTGGTGAAAACCCCAAATTAACCATCTCAGAAAATTAGAATATTCAAGGAAATCAGCAAAACAAGGACTGCAAATCGAACGAGATTGGACCTCTGAGAAGCAGACACACATCTCGCTTTGCATGTCACGAGTCAATCTCATTTATTAGTTTTACCATTCAAGTTGAATGCCTGAAATCACGGAACTTTCCCACAATATTCTAATTTTTCGAGTTTCACCTGTAAATATTGGCGGGCTTCTAGAGACGAAGCCTTCCGATTTTATTTCCCAAACCCAAATAGATGTGTCTGCTCCTCCTCGGAGCGTATGCACGCCCGCACTCACTTTGCGGTCCTTTTCCTTGACCAGCTTGGCCGAGTCCTCGATGTGGCTGTGCAGTTCTCGGATCCGCTCCGACTCGGCCCGCAAGCCTTGCAGCTGCTTCTCGGCGGCCGCCAACTGCGCCTCGGCTGCGTGCTTCTCGCTTTTCATGAAGAGCGCCTCTCGCTGGACCTGGAAGACCTCTGTGCAGGTCCGCTCGTGCTTGCGCCCCAAATCGGCCAGCTTGGCACTCAGTGCGTCTGCCTCGGCCTGCAGCCGGGCGCGGAGCTCCTCGTGAGCCTCCTTCGAGACGGCTCCCTTCAACACCACCTCCAGCTCTTCCTTGAGCCCCACGGTCTCCTGGTCCTTGGCCTTCAGCTCTTGCTCCAGAAGCTTCGACTTGGCCTTCAGCTCCCAGAGGGTCCCCTCCAGCGCCTCCTTGGCCCGGGCGTGCTCAGCAAGGGGCACCGACCCACGCCGACAGGTCTCCGCCGCTTCCCGCGCTTCCGCCAACTCCTTCAAGGTGCCCTCGTGGTGCTTCTTCAGCTCCGAGAGACTCTTCTCCGCCTCAGAGAGGGAGGTCCTCAGCTTGCCCGCCACGTCCTCCTGCTCCCGCTGAGAGGCCAGCTTCTCCTTGGCAGATCTCAGCTCCTCCGCCAGCATCTCACGGCCTTTCCGGAGCTGTTCCGCCTCAGCCTCGGCCGCCCGGCGCTGCCCCTCAAGGGTGTCCAGCTGGCTCCGCAGTTGGCCGGCTTCCTCCCTCAGGCTCCGACTCCCTTCCTCTTCCAGCTGTCGGGTCTTCTCCTTCAGCTCCCTCACCTCGGCCTCCATGGAAGCGCACCTTGCCAGCAGGACCTCCTTCTCCCTGGAGACCTCATCCAAGGAGACCTTCATCTCCTTGTCCTCCTCCACGGCTGCTTCCTCCTGGGTCCTGAGACGTCCCTCCAGATCCTTCACCTTCCGCTCTCGCTCCTCAAGGTCCATCCGAGCCTGCTGCAAGGCGGTCTTCGTCGTCTCCAACTCGGTCCTGGAGCTCTCCAACAGCTCCTTCTCCTCCACAGACAAGATGCCAAGCTCCATCTGTTCCTGGAGGAGCTTCACTTCCGCTAGGGCCGCCTGGTACTTCTCCCGGGTGGCGCTGAGCTCCTTGGCCAGCTCTCCCATCTCCTCCTTCCTGGCTCCCGCCTCTGCTTGGCTTGCGTCTCCTTCCGTCCCCAAACCGGAGCTCCCCTCCGCTGCCGTCCCCCCGCCACCCCGAAGGGCCGGGAAGCTGCTCTTCTCCAGAGCCAGTTTGAGGGCCCGGATTTGCTTCTCATGGTCGGCCTTCAGCTGCTCGTAGGCCTCCGCCGGGATGAGCTTGCAGGACGACTCGCCAGCTCTGTCGACGGACTTCAGGGCCTCCTGGGCCTCCACGTGTTGCTCCTTCAAGCGGTCAAACTCGGACCGGAGCGAGTCGTACAGGATGATGGGGATGAAGTCCGCCGAGATGTCGGCATCGCTCTCGTCCTTCTCGTAATTCTCCAGGACCTGTGGGAGATGGGAAGTTAGTTGGTGTGGAGGACTCCCTGGTCCTGAATAACTGCCCCTGAAGGACCAGGTGAGCAGCCTGGGGGTCATTTTGGACCCACAGCTGTCCATGGAGGTGCAGGTCAGTTCTGTGTCTATCTGGTCCACAGGATGAGACCCTCCCTGCCTGCAGACTGTCTGGCCAGAGTGGTGCATGCTCTGGTTATCTCCCGCTTGGACTACTGCCATGCGCTCTCTGTGGGGCTGCCTTTGAAGGTGACCCAGAAACTACAACTAATCCAGAATGCGGCAGCTAGACTGGGGACTGGGAGTGGAGACTGTATAACACCGGTCTTGAAAGACCTACATTGGCCCCCAGGACGTTTCCAAGCACAATTCAAAGTGTTGGTGCTGACCTTGAAAGCCCTAAACGGCCCAGTAGACCTGAAGGAGCATCTCCACCCCCATCGTTCTGCCTGGCCACTTGAGGTCCATCTCCAAGGGCCTTCTGGCAGCTCCCTCTCTGTGAGAGGCGAAATTACAGGTAACCAGGCAGAGGGCCTTCTCGGTGGTGGCGCCCTCCCATCAGATGTCAAGGAAATAAACAACTACCTGACTTTTAGAAGACATCTGAGGGCAGCCCTGTTTAGGGAAGCTTTTAATGTTTGATGTTTTATCGCATTTTTAATATTCTGTTGAGAGCCGCCCAGAGTGGCTGGGGAAACCCAGCCAGATGGGCGGGGTATAAATAAGTAATAATTATTATTATTATTATTATAGCTGTGAAGGAGTTCTCCATTTACCTGTATCTTCTCCATCAGCTCCTTGTTCTTCTGGGTCAGGGAATTGACCTGTCCTTGCAAGGTCGCCAGGAGTTCCTCAGTGGAGACACTCAAACTCTTTTTCGAGAGTAGAAGCTCAGCCCCTGTCGAAACAAGAGCAACTTTAAAGAAAAGCCGAAATCCCGCAGCAAGGGAACCCAGGGAACCAAATCACAGACAAGGTTTCTTGCAGGGCCGGATTTCGATGGAGAGCGGCCCTCAGCTGCTCCACTTGCAAGGTCCCTCTGAATCCCCAAACTTCACGACTAGAAGAAAATGGAAGAGAGTTGTAGACCAGGCGTAGGCAACCTTCGGCCCTCCAGATGTTTTGGACTACAATTCCCATCATCCCTGACCACTGGTCCTGTTAGCTAGGGATGATGGGAGTTGTAGTCCCAAAACATCTGGAGGGCTGAATGTTGGGGGTGCCTGTTATAGACAAAAGTGAGTGAAGCTGAGGGTATTCAAAATTCGGCAACTCACAATTTCTCCTCTAAAGGACATCAGAAAATGTCTTCATCCAAATTTGTTTGTCTGAGTTTGTCGCTTTCGATGTACAGAATGCTCAGCGCGGACAGGCTCTCTTGCATAGCTGTCAACTTACAGATTTGAAAATAACAGACCAGCAGCCTCGAAAATAAGGGATCAGCAGCCAAAATAAGGGATTTTCCAAGGGGCACAGGTATGTTCGACTTCTGATCCCCTCCGAGCCAAAGGCAGAAAGCCCAGCCAGCAGCCAAACGAAGCCTTAAGCAGTGGTTCCCACAGCGCAGCAACCCGGCAAAGGGGATGCAGCAAGGAAAACCACCGTCACCTCTCCGCTGGGAAGCGCTGAGCAAAGGCGAGTCCCCAGGCAACGCGGCCGATTTGATCGGCACAAGGCATGCAAGCTCCACCCCCCAGTCGTTCTTAGACTCCTTATTGGGTGAGCAACGCAGCCAAGCAACACAGTTGGAGCCTCCCTCCTCCCTGGCCGGCAGGGAGGGAGGGAGAGGAGCTGCTTCCTTTGAAACCCGGGAAATTTAAGGGACATCATCAATAAGGGACAGCAGCGGGACACGGCGCTGGGATAAGGGACTTTCCCGCCAAATAAGGGACGCTTGACAGCTATGCTCTCTTGAGACATCGTGGCCCTTAATTCATTTTTGATTCTTTGGAATCTCAAAAAACTCCTCTCTCCAGAGCCGTTAGTGACCATGAAGTTAAGAAATAGCCGCAAGATTGCTTCCCCATCTGATTTTCCCCCCTTGTACAGTGGTACCTTGGTTTGCAAACAGTCTGGTTTGCATACGTTTTGGATTACAAACACGTCAAACCCGGAAGCGCATGTGTCCCGGTTTGCAAACTTTTTTGGGATTACAACCCATTTTGGGGGGGATAACGGACAAATTTATTTTGGAGGCCCCACTGGCGAAATCGCACCTTGGGTTGCAACCAGTTTTGGTTTACGAACGGACGTCCGGGACGGATTATGGTTGTAAACCAAGGTGCCACTATATATAATTTGATAAACAATATATAATTTGATAAAGGTCTGTACGAGACAGAGAGGACTCTGCTGTAAGCCTAGGGCTTTATCTCACCTACAGGTGAAAGAGCAAAAGTTCATCAATAGGTTTCAGGTCAATATCTTCCATCAGCACTTCAACACCTTGCAGAATTTCTTGCTTAGGTGCTATCAGGATAGCAAGAATGCAAAACAATTGTTCAACATCACTGTGCACAAGACTTCTTTTTAAATTGGCTTCAAGTGCATCTTATATAGGAACAAAGAACTTTATCCTAAATTTACCTCTTCAAGAAAGTGCATCTAAGGCCCTAGGCTTCAGCCTACTTAAAGGTAAAGGGACCCCTGACCATTAGGTCCAGTCGTGGCCGACTCTGGGGTTGCGGCGCTCATCTCACTTTATTGGCCGAGGGAGACGGCGTACAGCTTCCGGGTCATGTGGCCAGCAGGACTAAGCCGCTTCTGGCGAACCAGAGCACGGAAACGCCGTTTACCTTCCCGCCGGAGTGGTACCTATTTATCTACTTGCACTTTGATGTACTTTTGAACTGCTAGGTGGGCAGGAGCAGGGACTGAGCAACGGGAGCTCACCCCATCGCAGGGATTCGAACCGCCGACCTTCTGATCGGCAAGTCCTAGGCTCTGTGGTTTAACGCACAGCACCACCCGCGTCCCACTCAGCCTACTTAGCCTATACATAAATTCAGCAACATTTGCTGTGCAATGCATCGTGCTGCAGAGTCCGATTTCGATTCGATTCGTCGCATCTCAAATGAATCCCAATAAATAAAAATAACGTCAGAGAACGTAACAGAACATCACAAACGCCTGCCATCTTTGCCTATTCTGCATATTCAAATAAGGTCCTCGAGGGGGGGGGAAACATGATCATTAAGTACTAATAACAACCATACCTGGGAATTCAAGGAGGTCTCCCTCTTCGTCTTGAAGGGTTTCGATGTCGTAGCTGGTGTTTTCCTTCTCGTTCTGCGTGGGGCAGGGGGAAGCAGAAAAAAAGAGGGGTTCAGGCAGGACCAGACCACCAGGAGTCATTTTGGACTGCCGACTGTCCATGGAGGTGCAGGTCAATTCTGCGTCTAAAGGGGTTGTTTATCAGCTCCATCTGGGACGCAGGATGAGACCCTCCCTGCCCACAGACTGTCTGGCCAGAGTGGTGCATGCTCTGGTTATCTCCCGCTTGGACTACTGCCATGCGCTCTACGTGGGGCTACCTTTGAAGGTGACCTGGAAACTGCAACTAATCCAGAATGCGGCAGCCAGACTGGGGACTGGGAGCAGCCACCAAGACCATATAACACCAGTCTTGAAAGACCCACATTGGCTCCCAGGATGTTTCCAAGCACAATTCAAAGTGTTGGTGCTGACCTTTCAAGCCCTAAACGGCCCAGTATCTGAAGGAGTGTCTCCTCCCCGGACACCGGGGTCCATCTCCCGAGGGCCTTCTGGCGGTTCCCTCCCTGTGAGAAGCGAGGTTGCAGGGAACCAGGCAGAGGGCCTTCTCGGTGACGGCACCCTCCCATCAGATGTCAAGGAAATAAACAACTATCTGACTTTTAGAAGACATCCGTTTAGGGAAGTTTTTAACGTTTGACGTTTTGTTGTGTTTTTAATATCCTGTTGGGAGCTGCTCAGAGTGGCTGGGGAAACCCAACCACATGGGCGGGGTATAAATAATAAATTATTGTTATTATTAGACCAACGAGGTTTCCTAGCCTGATCAAGACTATCAGGGATGCTTGCCCCCCTGCAAATCCAGATGTCAAGACTATCCCACCACAGATATTGGCTCGTAGGGAACAAAGCTCTTATTGGGGTAAACCCACAAAAATAACGCCCGTTGTTTTCACGAGTCTGCTGTGTATTTCAAACCCCACCAATGCACATGGCTTGCGGTACCTCCACAGATGACAGACGGCTCCGCAAAGCCGCCAACTCTCTCCCAAGGTTTTCCTTTTCCCCAACTTTCTCCTCCAGCTGTTTCTGAAGCTCTTCCACCTGGTGGGGCAGAGAGAAATCGATCCATTCATTTAAACGTTTGATCTATGGGCTACCATTAAAATGAGTCTGCATTTTAAACTGTATTTTAACTCGTATTTTAATAAATTGGATGTACATTTCCAAAAGTGGGGACGCGGGTGGCGCTGTGGTCTAAACCACAGAGCCTAGGACTTGCCAATCGGAAGGTCGGCGGTTCGAATCCCCGCAATGACGGGGTGAGCTCCCGTTGCTCGGTCCCTGCTCCTGCCCACCTAGCAGTTCGAAAGCACGTCAAAGTGCAAGTAGATCAACCTTCGGTGGGAAGGTAAACGGCGTTTCCGTGCGCTGCTCTGGTTCGCCAGAAGCGGCTTAGTCCTCCTGGCCACATGACCCAGAAGCTGTACGCCGGCTCCCTCGGCCAATAAAGCGAGATGAGCGCTGCAACCCCAGAGTCGTCCGCGACTGGACCTAACGGTCAGGGGTCCCTTTACCCTTTACCTTTACATTTCCAAAATATAAGATAAAAAGCAAATAAAATAAAACTGACGTGCAGCAACCGTGTTTTGTGTTGTGTCGGCTCCTCTGGTGTAAGTCATGGGCCCCGCCTGCTCCCTAAAATATCACTGGTTTGCTCCTTTCTATATATAGGGTGCCTACATTCTGCATGGACTGGTTGCAGTGCAAATGGCTTGAGATACCTATTAGATCCATAAATTACCATATAGGTGCATATATTCAGCACAAAAAAACAGCGACAATTTGTTGTGGACAAAGGACAGCTGGACATATAAAGGGCCCCATTACCTTCAGGAGCTTAGGGCCTCATCAAACCCAAATCGGCCCTGGTTCCAACATTTTAAAACGTGAAGCAACAGAAGCAAAAAGCTAGCCGAAAGCAGAGGTTGGAGGGCCATCTGTCTGGGATGCTTTAGCTGAGATTCCCGCATTGCAGGGGGTTGGTCTAGATGGCCGCTGAGGGTCCCAGCCAACTCTACGATCAGCACGGGGGCAATGGGTTCCCTTTTCTAAGAAACGGCATCTTTTAAACTTAAGCCTTTCTCACACACCCCTCCTCTCCCCGTCATCTCAATTTGCTGCGGTGTGTAATAAATGCGATTTTCTTGGTCCTTTTTTAAACCATCCTCGAATATTATCTCGGGCAGATAATAGGCTCACCTGCTTCTGTAGAGTATGCAAAGACCCATCGTCCAGTCGCTAACGGAGACAAGAAAAAAGGGAGATGGACAGGATTAATAGAGCCTGAGAATATATATATATATATATATATATATATATATATATATATATATATAAAATGTACACACACACACACACACACACACACATATATATATATATACTGTATTTTTTGCTCTATAAGACTCACTTTTTCCCTCCTAAAAGGTAAGGGGGAATGTGTGTGCATCTTATGGAGCGAATGCAGGCTGCGCAGCTACCCCAGAAGCCAGAACAGGAAGAGGGATTGCTGCTTTCACTGCGCAGCGATCCCTCTTGCTGTTCTGGCTTCTGAGATTCAGAATATTTTTTTTCTTGTTTTCCTCCTCCAAAAACTAGGTGCGTCTTGTGGTCTGGTGCGTCTTATAGAGCGAAAAATACGGCATATACAGATTTTTATTGCTATTTTTTCATATTGTTTCCGTACAAAGGGACCCTAACCATGTCTACTGTGACCTGAGTCCTACTCAATTCAACAGGGTTTTACTCTTAAGTAAGTGGGGTTTCTTGAAGCCATATAAGGCAGCCTGCCATCTCCCCATCACAGCTTTGCACAGGCTGTTATTCGAAAGCACTCTGCACATGCCTCTGCAACCCTCGCCGCCTGCATTGATGTGTAAACGCAAACTACCGTATTTTTTGCTCTATAAGACTCACTTTTTCCCTCCTAAAAATGTGTGTGCGTCTTATGGAGCGAATGCAGGCTGCGCAGCTATCCCAGAAGCCAGAACAGCGAGAGGGATTGCTGCTTTCGCTGCGCAGCGATCCCTCTTGCTGTTCTGGCTTCTGAGATTCAGAATATTTTTTTTCTTGGTTTCCTCCTCCAAAAACTAGGTGCGTCTTGTGGTCTGGTGCGTCTTACAGAGCGAAAAATACGGTACTTACTCATTATGCACTGACGTTTAATTTTACTATGGGATCCTAATGGGTTATTGAACATTGCTTTATTCGATATGAGCTGTTTATTTCAAAGCGATTGTGACAATTTTTAATATCGGACCAGATTGTCGCTATAAGCGTTTGACGTTTTATCATTACAGTGGAACCTCAGTTTTTGAATGTCTTCCGTTCTGGAAGTCCCGAAACATCCGAAAACCGAGGATCAAAGGGACTGCCGGCAAGTTTAATGGGGGAAATTGATAAACGCAAATCGGAAATCGAATGTTCGTCTCCCAAGGCGCATTCAAAAATGGAAGCATTCGCTTCCAGGTTTTTGGCATTCAGCTTCTGAAACATTCAGCAGCCAAGACATTTGAAAACCGAAGTTGGACTGTATTTTTATATGTGTTGGAAGCCAGATGGGCAGGGTATAAATTTAAATACAGTGGTACCTTGGTTCTCAAATGCCTTGGTTCCCAAATGCCGAAAACCCGCAAGGAAGTGTTCCGGTTTTTGAACGTTTTTCGGGAGCTGAACGTCCGACACGGCTGTCAGCTATTGTTTCTGGGGTGCCTGCACCAATCAGAAGCCGCGCCTTGGTTTCTGAACATTTCGGAAGCCAAACGGACTTCTGGAACAGATTAAGTTTGGCGCTTTTGTTTTCGCTCTTTATTTTGCCTTTTTGAGGCTTTTTCTGTTCATTTGTTTTTGCGACTGTGCGGAAACCCAGTCCAGCTACTGACTGATCAATTGTGTGGCTGCGGAAACGGATAAAAGCCCCCCATCCAGACGATGACCATCATCAGTGCAGGTAAAGAAAAAAATAATTTCAATTTTTATCATCTACAATACTGTCCTATTTATTTTATAGTACAGTACATTGATTCTTGCTTTCATTTTATGGATCAATGGTCTCGTTAGATAGTAAAGTTCACGTTAAGTTGCTGTTTTAGGGGTTGTTTTTAAAAGTCAGGAACGGGTTAATCCCTTTTGCATTCCTTTCTGTGGGAAAGCAGCGCGCCTTGAGTTTTGGACCGCTTTGGTTTTGGAACGGACTTCCGGAACGGATTCAGTTTGAGAACCAAGGTACCACTGTATATATGTGTGTGCCGTCTGGCTGAGGGACGGCACAGGAGACAGATCCCCGGGTTCACCGGGAGCAAGTTCAAGCCCGGAACGCCTCACTTTCTGCTTCACTGTCTCTTGCCGCTGCTCCAGGCTTCGGATCTTTTGCAGAAGCTGAGCTCTCTCCTGACGCAGCCGCACAATTTCCTCATAGGCCTCCTGGTCCTCCTGGTGGGGGGGAGAGAAACCCAAAGCTGAGTGATATGGGGCTGGTCCCCTTTCCCATATCGAGGGTGTTATAGGAATTCTAAGGTCTTTTATATATATAAAAGAAATGTACAAGGCAAACACATATATAAGTATATCAACCACGTGTCTGAAATAGTACAGGAGAGCAATCCTGAGGCCATTTTGACTCTCCGAAATTGACCTCAAATATTTCTCTGCAAGGAGGAAGGAGATGGGGAAAGCTTTCCAATGGTCCTTGGACTGTAGGGGCTTATGCCTCCCTTTGCAAATCCAGTCTGGCAAGTATCTGTTAAGTTGATATCAATATGTGTAAGAGATTCAGGAACTAAGTATTGACCATCTCCAAGGAACGGCCAGGCTACCCAGAAAAGGCAACTGATAAGGCATGATTGATCAGGTCTCCTGGCAGGCAGGAGAGAAGCAACACACTCCCATTTCTGCTGGGGACCACCTCTTTCTGTAATGTATGCGTGATGTTTTGGGGGTGGTCTTGAGCTACAGGGTAGGCAATTTCAAAAGTCTATATAAGAGCTTGCACACCAATGTTCAGGGTTCCTCTCCTCTCTCCCTGTGTGGGGAGTGAGGACCCTGTTGCAACAGTTTAATAAAGATCAGGCTTACTAGCCGCTTTGCTTCTCAATATTCTCTGCTTGGCCTCTGTTATTGTCTCCTACCGATAAAAAACCTACATAAGGACTCTAGACGGGCTCTTGGGGACCCCATAAGGGAAAAGGAGCAGTTTTTTCTCATAACAAGGGCATCACCGCTAAGGGATCCTCACCGTCGCAGCCGGAACAGGAGGGTCATTGTGGTGGGTCCGGGCCGGCTTGGCGGTGATGACTCGGTTGCCCCGTTCGGCAGGAGCCGGGTTGTGGTCCGGCGGGTGGGGGTCCTAATAATAATGATGATGATAATAATAATAATATTTGTTTGTTTGTTTATATCCCACCCATCTGGCTGGGTGTCTCCAGCCACTCTGGGCAGCTCCCAACAGAATATTAGAAAGACGATAAAACATCAAACATTAAAAACTTCCCAAAAAACGTAGCAGTATATATTTAAACTGAAATTCAGCAAGCAGGACTTATAGAGTCGTACCTCGAATCTCAAAAGCCTTGGCTCCCGAACAAATCGGCTCCTGAATGTCACAAACCCGGAAGTGAGTGTTCCGGTTTTTGAATGTTATTTTGGAACTCGAACGTCCAACGCGGCTTCCTATTTTCCCTACCTGGCTGGGGGCGCTTCCTGGGGGAGGCGGGGCTTTCCTCTTTCTCGGGCTGCTGTTCTTCCCTTTGGTCAGAGAGTGGCGCGGAGAGGATGCCTGGTTTTTATTTTGGAAAAAGAAAGAAATAGATGCGGAAAACGCAAATGAGGTACGTGAGGAGAATGTGCCCCCAGCAACATCGCCTGCCTTACAAGGATTGGGGGCTCGAAAATGTTACCTGGGAGGACGCTTCAGTCGATTCCTCTTCTGTGGGAAGCAGAAGGAGAAAGAGAGAGAGAGAGAGAGAGAACACAAAGATGGAATTAAATAAGATGGTGAGGGAACAACTAACTTGCGAGGCCCAGGTTCATCACCCTGTTAACAACTGAGATGGCTTAGATGCTGTAATACACAGTTACAGACTCACACTTGCGTGCATGAAAGGGTTAACCTGAGCCCTGAGCTCAAGTTGCCAGACTCGGTCTGGCTTCGCATGCCCTACCTTCTCAGCCTTCCCTCTTCCTGCTTCCCAGAACAAGCAAGAAGACATGCAGCCATGGCTCCCTGCAAGTGAACCAAATCTCTCTAAAAGGAGATTTCACTGCCTGCGTCTTTGCTAACCCAAATATTGCATGATCCTTTTTTTCGGTAAGGAAACCAACTCCCTCCCTCCTTTAGAGTCATTTGGAACCTTTTTCTTTGCATTATTGCTGGCGAATGGAGACTTGTTTGCTTTGGCATTAGTTCTGGAAATGAGTAAAGCTACCGTATTTTTTGCTCTATAGGACTCACTTTTTCCCTCCTAAAAAGTAAGGGGAAATGTGTGTGCGTCTTATGGAGCGAATGCAGGCTGCGCAGCTATCCCAGAAGCCAGAACAGCAAGAGGGATTGCTGCTTTCGCTGCACAGCGATCCCTCTTGCTGTTCTGGCTGCTGAGATTCAGAATATTTTTGTTCTTGTTTTCCTCCTCCAAAAACTAGGTGCGTCTTATGGTCTGGTGCGTCTTATAGAGCGAAAATACGGTATTTAGATTTGCAGAGCTGAGCGGCTGTGATTTATTCTAGCCTAAGCATTTTCAGGGGAGCATTTGTTTAAAGGACGACGAAGGCAGGTGCAGAGCTAGCCGAGTTTAAACCGTCTTAGAGCCTGTCTCCTCCTCCTGCCTACAGTTCCTCAGGAACGTGGAGACGCAGAAATGGCCTCCGCTTCTCACCAGGAAAAAGCCCAGTTCGACGGAGGGAAGGTATCCTTACCGCTGGCCCAGGAGTGGCGCTGAGCAGCTTCCTGCAGGTAGTGCTGGATGAGGGCGTTGCCCACGGCCGCGCCGTAATGGGCCGCGTCGTGACCCGTGGCATCAACAAGGCCGACCTTTGCCCCACCGTGGACCAGGACTTCCACCGTCTCCACGCTGCCGTTCTCGCAAGCCACCATCAGGGCTGTTCTGAAGCAAAGACGAGGCCAGTTAAGTTGAGAGGGGTACAGTGGTACCTCTGGTTAAGTACTTAATTCGTTCCGGAGGTCCGTTCTTAACCTGAAACTGTTCTTAACCTGAAGCACCACTTTAGCTAATGGGGCCTGTTGCTACCGCTGCACCGCTGGACCACGATTTCTGTTCTTATCCTGAAGCAAAGTTCTTAACCTGAAGCACTATTTCTGGGTTAGCGGAGTCTGTAACCTGAAGCGTATGTAACCTGAGGTACCACTGTAGCTTTGTTTGGACCAAGCAGCAGGGAGGCGTTGCAGAAAGAAACGGAAACGGCGGAGGGCTTGATTGGATTTGGATTTGGATTTGGATTTGATATCCCGCTTTATCACTACCCTAAGGAGTCTCAAAGCGGCTAACATTCTCCTTTCCCTTCCTTACTCCCACAACAAACACTCTGTGAGGTGAGTGGGGCTGAGATACTTCAGAGAAGTGTGACTCGCCCAAGGTCACCCAGCAGCTGCATGTGGAGGAGCGGGGAATTGAACCCGGTTCACCAGATTACGAGTCTACCGCTCTTAACCACTACACCACACTTGCTCTGTGATCCGGTCCGCTGTCCGGTGCCGCAGGGGGAAATGGGGAGGTTCAGAGGAAGGATGCCGCCCAATGCCACACACACACACCACAGCGGAAAAAGGCTCTCACCGTCCACGCTGGTCTCTGGCGTTGACGGCGGCTCCCCGGTGGAGCAGGTACCGGCACAGCTCCGAGTGACTCATCTTCGCCGCCAGCATGAGAGGGGTCGCGCCATCCTGCCGCCAGAGAGGAGAGTTGACGCAAAGTTAACAGCTAAAACCAGAGAACTTAATGACAACTGTTTCATGGAAGAACAGGTAAAGGTAAAGGGACCCCTGACCAATAGGTCCAGTCGTGGTCGACTCTGGGGTTGCGGCGCTCATCTCGCTTTACTGGCCGAGGGAGCTGGCGTACAGCTTCCGGGTCATGTGGCCAGCAGGACTAAGCCGCTTCTGGCGAACCAGAGCAGCACACGGAAACACCGTTAACCTTCCTGCCGGAGTGGTACCTATTTATCTACTTGCACTTTGACGTGCTTTCGAACTGCTAGGTGGGCAGGAGCTGGGATGGAGCAACAGGAGCTCACCCCGTCATTGCGGGGATTCTGATCGGCAAGTCCTAGGCTCTGTGGTTTAACCCACAGCGCCACCCGCGTCCCTCATGGAAGAATGGAAGCCTTTAAATATCATAATACCAGTGGCACCTTGGTTCTCAAACGCCTTGGGACTCAAGCAACTTGGAACCCAAACGTTGCAAACCCGGAAGTAAGTGTTCCGGTTTGCGAACTTTTTCCAGAAGCCAAACCTGCTCCGTTTTGAGTGTTACGCTTCTGATTTGAGTGCCACACTTTCATTCTAAGTGCCACACTTCCATTTTCCATTTACCACTCAAATCGGAAGCGTAACACTCAAAACGCAGCGCGTTCAGGTTCCGAAAAAGGTTCGCAAACCGGAACGCTTCCTTCCGGGTTTGCAGTGCTTGGGTTCCAAGTTGTTTGAGTCCCAAGGCGTTTGAGAACCAAGGTGCCACTGTAAAACTGATTGAAAAGAAAAGAAAACAGCGCCTTCTTGCATCCCTACCCAGCAGTGGGGGAAATCAACGCAGAGGGAGGTTTTCGTGAATTTGGATCGGCGCTTACCTTGTCCTTGGTGTTCAAAGGGGCCTTAAAGTCGCAAAGGATTTCAAGACAGGAGATGCAACCATTGACAGCTGCGGGAAAAGAGCAGGGAAAAACCTACTAAGGAGCAAACAAGTTGTCTTGCAATTTATTCTACAATGTACAAGACTTTGCACAAGCACTGAAAAATTTACAAGGTCTGTATTTCCCATATTATAATGCGTAATTATAATGGCAGTTCATTCCTTGGTTTTTAGGCAAAGGTTCATGTAACTGAGCTATGGGAACATGAGATTGTAAATATATATATATATATATGGCCCAAGTGAGGTGGGGTTATCACCTGAGATTCACCTGAAGCAGCAAAATGCCCCGGAGCCAGTGCCCACCCCCACCCCCGCTCCCTGGGGTTTGGGGAGATGGTGAAATATGCTGACCTGCATGGTGGAGAGCTGTCCGTCCGTGGCTGTCGGCTACGTCCACTGGACAGGATGCCTGGAAGAGAAAGAAAGAAAGAAAGAAAGAAAGAAAGAAAGAAAGAAAGAAAGAAAGAAAGAAACAGGGAGACAGGGAGAGAGACAGAGAAAGACAGAGAGAAGGAGGGAGGGAGGGAGAAAGAGGGAGAAAAAGAAAGAAAGAGAGAGAGAGAGAGAGAGAGAGAGAGAGAGAAACAAAGAAAGAAAGAAAGAAAGAAAGAGAGAGAGAGAGAGACAGGGAGACAGGGAGAGAGACAGAGAAAGACAGAGAGAAGGAGGGAGGGAGGGAGAAAGAGGGAGAAAAAGAAAGAAAGAGAGAGAAAGAGAGAGAGAGAGAGAGAGAGAGAGAAAGAGAGAAAGAGAGAAAGAAAGAAAGAAAGAAAGAAAGAAAGAAAGAAAGAAAGAAAGAAAGAGAGAGAGAGAGAAACAGAGAAAGAGAGAGAGAGAGAAACAGAGAGAGAGAGAGAGAAACAAAGAGAAAGTACAAAAGACAGACAGAGAAAGACAGAGAGAGAGAGAGAGAGAGAGTGTTAAGCAGTGAAAAGGAGCAGAGCCCCCAATCCTACCTGCGGCTTCCCGGGGAGAAAGCCCCATACCAACCCAGTGGGAAGATGGCCAAGGCGGATCCTGCTGTTGCCTTGCCTCTCCTTGCAAAGCCGCCTTGAAAACCCAAACCCACCCAGTTCAGTTTGGGATTTGGCCAAATTCAGTGCGCAGCCGCTGTTGAAAGCCACACATGAAGATTCCCCGAGAGTTACCTGCAACAGCTTGCTCACACATTGCGGGTGTCCGTGCTTAGCCGACAGGTGCAACGCTGCGTAGCCTGTGGGGAAGGAAGGAACATGAGATATGGGGGGGGTGTCTGGCACCGGCCATTGTCATTAGAAGACAATGGCCAGTGTCACATTCTGGATTAGTTGCAGTTTCCGGGTCACCTTCAAAGGCAGCCCCACGGAGAGCGCATGGCAGTAGTCCAAGCGGGAGATAACCAGAGCATGCACCACTCTGGCCAGACAGTTTGCAGGCAGGGAGGGTCTCATCCTGCACACCAGATGCCCTGGACACAGAATTGAGCTACCCTCAGGCGGACACCACCACCGAGAAGGCTCTCTGCCTGGTTCCCTGTAACCTCGCTTCTCGCAGGGAGGGAACCACCAGAAGGCCCTCAGTAGATGGACCCAGGTGTCTGGGGTGGAGATGCTCCTTCTGGTCTACTGGGCCATTTAGGGCTTTCAAGGTCAGCACCAACAATTTGAATTGTGCTCGGAAACGTCCTGGGAACCAGTGTAGGTCTTTCAAGACCAGTGTTATGTGGTCTCGGTGGCCGCTCTCAGTCCCCAGTCTAGCTGCCGCATTCTGGATTAGTTGCAGTTTCCGGGTCACCTTCCAAGGCAGCCCCACGTAGAGCGCATGGCAGTAGTCCAAGTGGGAGACAACCAGAGCATGCACCACTCTGGCCAGACAGTCCGCACGCAGGGAGGGTCTCATCCTGCGTCCCAGATGGAGCTGCCCTGGACACAGAACTGACCTGCGCCTCCATGGACAGCGGTGAGTCCAAAATGACCCCCAGGCTGTGCACCTGGTCCTTCAGGGGCACAGTGACCCCATTCAGGACCAGGGAATCCCCCACACCTGCCCGCCCCCTGTCCCCCAAAACAGTCCTTCTGTCTTGTCAGGATTCAACCTCCATAATAATAGCTTTTGCACCCTAAACCCACCTGAGCCGTCGGTCGTCATGGCGTCCGCTCCGTGCGCCAGCATGACTTCCAGGCAATCTGTGTTCCCTTTCGTCGCAGCCAGGTGGAACCTGCGGAACAGACCGACACTTGATCTGCGATTCCCACATCGCGAGGGGTTGGACTAGATGACTCATGAGGGCCCGACTATATGATTCTAGGATTTCCCTGTTAATCCAGGGACCTCGGGGTCAGATGAACCAGTGGCCTAAGCACCCGGCGGATCGAGGGTTTAGAAGCCCCCGGGGCATTGCTTGACAGCAGTGCTCTCCTAGTGGACAGTTGTGGGGTGGGCGGTGGGATTTCCTGGGGGGTCACCGGATGAAGCTCACCAATTTAAATAAATACAAATAAATAAACTTAGCAGTTTAGAACTTTGGAAATCCCCGCCACTTGAGATTAAGCAGGTGCAGGGGGTCAGGCTGGATGACCCCAGGGGGACCCCTTCCAATTCTGCAACTCTGAGATTAATTGCACGACTTCACAATGGCTCAGTCGGTAGATCAGGAGACGCTTTGTCTCAGGGCCATGGGTTCGAGACTCGCATCGGGCCCCTTTCGGCCGTGCGATTTCCCGACTCTGTGACATGATTTTATATCTCCTCACAGACATAGATAAGTATGTGACCTGGCGTGTAGCACTCTTTGCAACTGCCGCTAGGAAAATTAGAGTAAATTATATAGCCACCAACTGTAAAGGAGATGAATTTATTTGACCCTAAGCTATATTCTATCTTTATCACCAAACTCCGAATATAATTGCACATGGCATTAATTAACATTATTTTTTAACATGTGGTGATTTTAGCCTATAAATTTACTGTTTAATGTCTTAACCTGTCTATTAAGGTCCTTTCAAAGCTCTGTTCAGAGTAGGTAATATCTTGAATCAATAGCTGTCAACGTTTCCCTTTTTCTTTAAGGGAAATTCCCTTATTCCGAATAGGATTCCTCGCAAGAAAGGGGGAAAGTTGACAGCTATGGCTCTTGATAATATAAATGTTTTTTGTATTAATCGAGCATATTTTCTTTTAATTGTTGAATGTTTCTGTGTGCGTTGCGGCAGCCTTTGGCTATGTGCAATAAAACTGACTGACTGATTGTGAAATTCAGGTTATTTGGGCTTACGCCGATTTCCCTTCTGAGTCCAGCTTGGTGGGGACAAGGCCCTTTCGGACGAGGAGCGAGGAGACCCGGTCGGCGTCATTGTATTCCACCGCCTGCAGGAGTTTCTCGTCATTTTTGCTCCAGTCCTGGCTCTGTAAACCCAAAAAAAAAGGAAAAGGAAGAGGGGAAAAACAGCAAAAAGGTCAAGCGCCGTTTGGATCAACACGCCTAGAATGAGAGGTTTGCGGAGCGTGCCAAACTGGCAAATTTAACAATGGAAATGGAAATTGAACCGTTGAAAGCAGAGCTGGAGAAGAGGCAGGTTTTAGGCAGGACAGGGAATGTTTTGCAGACAAAGAGTCGTTTTAAACATTTAAAAACCGGTTGAAGGGATGGAGGGAAGTCAAGAGCTCAGCAGAGCAAAGGATTTATTTGTTTTGTTATTGTGTTAAAAAAGAAATTAGTAAAAATCATATTAAAAAGCTAAATAAACACGACGCAAGGAAGATTTGAACGGGGAACAGCAGGGAAATATGCATTTGGGAATAAGCAGGAAAGATGCAAGTTTGGCCATCACTGATCTAGGAGGAACTAAAAAGAATGCTAAAACACATATTTTTAAAGAAAAGGCTGCTATGCTTTGCAGAATCCTCCTGGCCTCCAGATTGCGGATTAATCGCTCGTATTCCCCGGAAATCACCTGGTTTCCACGGCAACGTTGGTTAATCCGAAAGGACCTGGTTTTCGAAGGCCGGGCGCCCAGGACAAGGTCGTTTGACCTCAGGAGATGGCAAAAGCTTTCCAAGTAGACTGGCCAGAGGAATCTCTAAATCAGCTTTTCCCCTCCCATAAAATGCACACAAACCCCTGGGCTGTGGGGTGCTGAAATGTCCTCTGTGCTACGCTACAACTCCCAGCACAGCACCCGGCGCGGCCGAAGATCAGGGATGAAGGCAGCCGGAGCCTAGCATCCGTAGGGCACCGTGTTGGTTAGCTTAGCAGTTCTCAACCTGTGGGTCCCCAGATGTTGTTGGACTACAACTCCCATCATCCCTGAGCTCTGGCCTTGCTAGCTAGGGGTGATGGGAGTTGTAGTTCAACAACATCTGGGGACCCACAGGTTGAGGATACAGCGATTGCCTCGACTCGCTCCGTAAGGGAAAATATAAATGCTTCCTTGCACAAAGACAGATTTGAGAGTTTTCTTCTTCTTCCCTGCTCAACTCACACCCTCTGTGAGTGTCTCTGTTTTCTAAGGAGGGTACCAGATTTACAGAAGCTGTCCCGGTTTCTGATCTGATCCCAGAATGTCCTGCTTTTCCTTAGGACGTCCCTATTTTCAGGGGAGAAAAGTTGGAGGGGATGGAATAGGACGTCCCTATTTTCAGGGGAGAAACGTTGGAGGGGATGGAATAGGACGTCTCTCTTTTCAGGGGAGAAACGTTGGAGGGGATGGAATAGGACGTCCCTCTTTTCAGGGGAGAAATGTTGGAGGGGATGGAATAGGACGTCCCTATTAGACTGCAACTAATCCAGAATGCGGCAGCCAGACTGGGGACTGGGAGTGGAGACCATATAACACCGGTCCTGAAAGACCTACTTTGGCTCCCAGGATGTTTCCGAGCACAATTCAAAGGGTTGGTGCTGACCTTTAAAGCCCTAAATAGCCCAGTAGACCTGAAGGAGCATCTCCACCCCGGACACCGGGGTCCATCTCCCGAGGGTCTTCTGGCGGTTCCCTCCCTGCGAGAAGTGAGGTTACAGGGAACCAGGCAGAGGGCCTTCTCGGTGGTGGCGCCCTCCCATCAGATGTCAAGGAGAGAAAGAACTACCTGACTTTTAGAAGACATCTGAAGGCAGCCCTGTTTAGGGAAGTTTTTAATCATGTTTTTAATATTCTGTTGGGAGCCGCCCAGAGTGGCTGGAGAAACGCAGCCGGATGGGTGGGATATAAGTAATAAATTATTATTAATATTATTATTTCCTTTCCTCTGTCGATTTATGGGGCGGGGGGAGATGGCAGGGACCAGCGATGTCTGAGAGCTGCTGTCTCAATGGCGAGCATCCGGCAAGCAGGGGAGTTGCAGGCCTCCGCAGAGGGGGGGGTTCGTGTCCTTAAAATATCCTAAGCCAGGGCTTGCAAACTAGGTCAGATTAGAGGATCCCATCAGCCGGCTTCCAATGAGTTTGGAAGAAGGACAACCGTCGTAGAAGGGAAAACTTAGGATGCCTTGCCCTCCCAAGAACGTGGAAAGTGTGGACCGGTTTGGGGGAGTTCACTGCAGTGGCAGAGGGCAGATTCTGGCAAGTTACAAACCCCCTTTTGCAGAGCTTTTAGAGAAACGGTTCTCTCTTCTCGCGTAAGTCTCCTTACAATAACGACCACCTTGCGAGGCGGGCCAGTCTTAACGCTTCCCCCCCTACTCTGCCAGGGAAGGGGCAAGGAGAGGCGGGGGGACTGCGCTGCGAAATATGCAGCCGGAGCAAGAATAAAACCCGGAATTGCCCAAGAAAGATGTCAGTGTGCCACAACTGCAGCTAGAATTTTGTCGGCCAAAAATTGGAAATTACAAGAAGTCCCAACAGTGGAGGAATGGCAGATGAAGATGGTGGGCTTTTAGGAGCTAGCAGACCTGGCCAGAAGAATCTGCAACCAGAAGGAGGAGGAGTATCAAGAGGAATGGAAGAAATTTAAAGATTATTTAGCTAAATATGTTAAGATAATTTAAACAGAAGTACTCGCGAGTATCAGGTTGGCCTAGGACTTAAATTTGTGATGTTGTAGAATACTATGGTAAAAGTTAAAACGAAAAGGAATAAAGATTTTAATTGACCAAGTAAATTTTATGTGAAAATAGTTTTGGAAAACTGCTACAATGATTTATATGGAAACTCAGCCAGGGGGACTCCAGGAAGTCACCTAACAATATTAACAAAAATGAAATTATTACAGTTAAGATAAATGTCTGTTTGTTGATTTTTTTTTATATTTGTTTGTTATAAATTTGGAAAACTAATAATTTTTTTTGGGGGGGGGGGGGAGAATAAAACCTGATTCAGGGCTCTGGGTCATCATTTATTTATTTATACCCCGCCCATCTGGCTGGGTTTCCCCAGCCACTCTGGGCAGCTTCCAGCAAAAAATTACAAATGCAATAATAAAAACCCTTTTGCTGAGATTCCTGCACCACAGCGGGGTTGGGATGGATGACCTTTGAGGGACCCCCTGCTCCCAACTTTACGGTTCTAGTGGGTCATGACCCAGCCATCATGGGGCCTCTTTTCCCATCACGCATCCTCTTTTTCTGGGTGTTAGCTAAAAAGGTAAGAGAAACAGCAAACACTGGGAAATAGAAGGAGAATGTTTTTCCTTCCACGGGGTAACTTGGCTGTAACTGAAATAAGGAATCAATTGATCTGCGTTCAAAGTTATATCTCAGGTGTCTATCCTTGGAAAGGTGAAAAAGGACTTGCGGGTGGAAGTCAGGGGTGTTGCAAATGGAGAAAAGGAATGCCGAAAAGGGCGCATTATTGGGTTTCAAAAGAAATAAAACAGGTAGATTTAATAATGGAAGAGATTTGATAATGTAGGTAGAAGACGGAAACCAGCAAGACGCGGGTTCGAATTCCGGCTCAGCCGTCAGGCTCCCTAAGGTGACCTTTGGGCCAGTCCCCATCTCTCAGCCTCACAGGGTTGTTGTGAAATGTGGGGAGGGGGGGGGAGATTATCCCTGGAAGGCAAGGAAAGCTAAAATTGGACTGTAACGAATTAAATTAAACGAGAGAAAAAGAGAGAGAGAGAGAGAGAATTATACGTCCCCGACTTCTTCAGTGGATGAGGATGAAGAAAATTGGCCGTTTGCCCAATGCAACAAAGAAGGATTTATTCAGGGAATACTGGAACAAGGAATATATATTCAGGGAATATTGGGACAAGGAATATATATTCAGGGAATATTGGGACAAGGAATATATATTCAGGGACTATTGGGACAAGGAATAAGGGACAAATTCAACTCTATCTTCCCTGCCAAAAAACAGAAATCACACAAAAAACACCACCCCTATTCCTTTCTTTCCCTTGCTAAGGTTCTATTCATGGGTGGAAAGCAACCTTACACAGCACATCTGTGTGTGTCTAGCCCCACCACCACAGAGCATGTACAGAGTGCATCTCCCTAAAGGCTGAATTCCACCCCACCCCACCCCGCTCCCCAAGGCAGCCTCTTTCACCAAAAAACGAATAGATAAAATGCGACGGTGATCGTTCGGCTCCAGACGAGGACAGAGGAGATGGTGCAATTGCGGGGGGGGGGTCATCGGAGGGGGAGAAAAGGGAGGAGGATCGGAGGGGGGGTACCCAAAAAATGCAGAATGTGGGGGGGGGGGGAGCCTACCGCGAAGGAGGAGGCAGCGCAGAAGCAAATTTGCTTCATCGTCCCTCCCAGGAAGTATCGGGTAGCCATCCATCCGATCTCAGCCGGCGGCGCAGGAGGAAGGACCAGGGATGAGGGATGCAGGGGAAGATGAAGGATGCTGGCGAGCGGTCCTGATGCTGGGATAACGGGCAGCAAAGCCGGCTTGCAGCAGCAGATCAGAGGCCAAGGGAGGAGGAGGAGGAGGAGGGAAGCGTCTCCCCCCAGCGGCAGGAGAAGGCAGCCCGGTTCCCTCCCGCCCTGCAAGGTCCTAAAAACCCCACGGCGACCGGAATCCTTCCAAAGGGACCACGGGGATCAACTATCCAGTAGCAGGTGGTTCCCCAGGCTTGCTTGCCTGGACTGAAGTTCGTTCCAGATAAGACAAAGAGGTTCTATCTAGTAGCAGGTGGTTCCCCAGGCTTACTTGCCTGAACTGAAGTTCAATCCGGATAAGACAGAGAGGTTCTATCTAGTAGCAGGTGGTTCCCCAGGCTTACTTGCCTGAACTGAAGTTCAATCCGGATAAGACAGAGAGCTTCCAGTCCAGGGGTCAGCAGACTTTTCCAGCAGGGGGCCGGTCCACTGTCCCTCGGACCTTGTCGGGGGCTGGACTATATTTTTTGGGAAGAATGAACAAATTCCTATTCCCCACAAATAACCCAGAGATGCATTTTCAATAACAACAACTCACATCAGACTTCTTAAACCTGGCCTTGAGACTCTTCATCTCAGCTGCGTTCTTGATTTCTGAAACAGACAGATTAAAAGATGTTAAAAATGTAGGGTATTTCTTCAGAAATAAGTCCAAGGGTCTTCGAGTTAAGCATGCCGCCTTTGGGACAGAAATAACCTGGCCCCCCTCGTCTGCAAACATCCCGGCTGGATTGCTGGGCTGCCCTTGGAGACAACCCCAAACCTCCATCTGCCCCCAAAGGCAGGGTTCCATTAAAATCCCATATTTTGATACAGCCGAGATTGTATGGGCAGGGTATAAATAATAACCTTATTATTATCATTGGGCCCTGGATAACTGGTATTAAAAGGGTCAGAAGAACCCTCGCGGCTGCTCATGCTGCCCTCAGAAGCTCAGGGGAGAGGGCAGGGCCTTCTCTGTGGCAGCTCCAGAGGGGACACCACTAAGAAGGAACCACCTGCCAATCGTAGGGTCTGAGATGGATGCTCTTGGAGGTATTTGGATCCAAAGCTGTTTACGGCTTTTATACGCTAGGGGACTCAGCTGCAAATAAAATGTTTAAAATTATTATTATGTTGTTGTTGTTGTTGTTGTTGTTGTTGTTGTTGTTAAAGTGCAATATACAAAGGCAGCACTAGATGGCAACAGCGAGCTATGCAAAATTCGACGTCTTTTTCAAAACATTCCCCCCCCCAAAAAAGCAGGTTTTTAAAATATACGGTTGTAGATTCCACCTAGGACTAATCCTAGCAGAATTGTGATCTCAGCTCCGAGGCCTTTCGTGTTTCGCACCCAGGGCCCAGAAGCAGGCGGTTGCTTGGGGGATCCATCCCACTTGGGATGCAAAACCAGGACTCGGTTCTCTGGATACGGCCGGCCCGGCCTGTTCCCCATCCCCGTGTGGCCTAATTAGAGGGCGTCTTTGCGCCCCGCTAGGGGAAAGAGATGAACGCTGCACTGCTTTGCAATTTGATTGGTTTATCCAGGGGAACTCAGCTCCACATGGGATAACGCAACAGCCAACAGGGGGCTGGGGATTCCCTGTAGCTTCTGAGAGTCAGCCGGGCTCTAAGAAGAATCTTGCAGAGCTGGAAAGTTAACGGAAGCGACTGAGCGTCTGCAACAACTCCTATTAGCAAAGGTCGCAACATGAATATTGGGTAGCTCAGTTGGTAGAGGACAAGATGCTTCATCCGAGGGTGGTGGGTTCGAGTCCTGTGGGGGGGAAAAGATTCCCTTCCATCCCCTCCAACGTTTCTCCCCTGAAAATAGGGACGTCCTATTCCATCCCCTCCAACGTTTCTCCCCTGAAAATAGGGACGTCCTATTCCATCCCCTCCAATGTTTCTCCCCTGAAAATAGGGACGTCCTATTCCTGAAGCTGGACCATTCAGGGCTGTCCAAAGGGAAAGGCATCTTTGGGCAAACCATGGAACTCATTGCCACAAGACGCAGCCGTGGCCAACAGCTTCAAACGAGGGCCAGACAAATTCCCAGAGAAAGAAAAGGCTGTCTTCAATTTTATGGTTTCTCCTCCGCTGTTGGGAGACATAAAATGCTTCTGGGTACCAGTTGCTGGAGGAGAGAGTTGTGTGCGAATTTCCCTCTAAAGGCGGACCTCTGCACAGAGAGGATGCTGAGATAGATGGCTCTGTGGCCTAATCCATCTCCTGGACCCCTTTTTCCTCTCCCATTTCCTTTTGCAAAACTTACGGTAGGTGGTCTCCCGGTGGGGCAGCCCTTTGCCTCAGTCTCCCCCTCCGTACGTCGACTTTGCAAGCGCCTTGTGCTCCTTCCACGAAGGCAAGAGACAGGGAAAAACAAGACCGGAGGGATCTCCTTACGGGAGCCTGGCTGAAAAGCGGTTTCGACATATCGGGGTCCTTTTTCGCAGCAGCTGGCTGTCGTCCCCGCCAATGAGCGGCAGATCCCGGGGGAACGGCCTCTCCTGCCAGCGGAATTGAGTTACCACCTGTAACAGGTAAGGTTACCATCCCAGCCTAAGCAGGAGCTTAGGAACAGCCTCGTCGCTCCGTTAAAAAGGAAATAAGAGGGGGTCAGGAAGGGAAAACACTTAGGGTTTTTAAAAGGCAGGGTTGTCAGCTTTCGGGTAACACAGGGTTCTGAGACATGAAGGTATTTGAACATCTTTTTTTTGTAACAACATTTTATTAATTTTCCAAACACAAAAACAAATAAAACAATGCAAATTAACATCTCTCTAGTCCCTTCCATGGTTCTATTATTTATCGACATACTGCACGTCCATTATTAAATTTAAAACCTATTTTAAAAACCTATTTAAAATGTGATTTTATTAAGCTGTGTTATTTTTACTGTTGTTAGCCGCTCTGAGCCCGCCTTCGGCTGGGGAGGGTGGGATATAAATAAAATACTATTATTATTATTCATTCATAACAAAATTGCAAGCAATCTTAAAACCCTGCTAATGTATTGAACTGTGTACAATGCTTCTGTGTATATATGCAATAGACATCTTCCATTGCATCTATGTTATTTAATTCTGATTCATGTCTATGGCGACTAATTCTGCTTTTTAATTGCAGGGATTATAACGGCAGAGCAATTAATAACACTACATAATATGATTTAGCAATTAATGACATGCATCATGCTGTTGATTTAAAACCAAAAGTCATCCAGGTGGCATGTAAAGCAGAAGCGAACATGTTGCAGAATTCAAATGTAAGATAAAATATATGCAAAGGGACTTGACAGGAAGTCATAGTTGAAGAAAAGTTTTTGGAAGATAAAAGGGGGGGAAATATTTACTTTCATTATTATCATTTTGTGTGCGGGTGTGCGGGTGTGGGTGTCTGCACATATGTTTGTTGTTGTATGCAATGTTTGGGAGGAAATAAGACGGTAAATAACAAATAACAAACTAAATATTGATGTATGTAATTTTTATTTCTTAATGATATTTAGTGGTAGTACGGCTGTATTGTTTTTTGTAACATAAAATCATTCAATAAAAATTATTTATAAAAAAAAAGAGCATGTTGCAGAATAATAATAAAAAAACACTCAAAATATATCTCACAATGTAACAGAATAAATAGCATTTGGACAGCTCTGCAAGAAACAAACGGCGCAGCTACGATGGCGCCCGCTAGATGGCGCTGGCGCTAAACCAGGAAGCAGCTCCATTTGCCAGGAACCAAGATGGCGCCGCCAGCCTCATCCTCCCGAAACGAGCATGGAGACGACTACTCGGATAAAACCACGCGTGCGCAGAAGGAGGCTTCACGGCTGGCTCCTTTTTCGGACACGCCCCTTCCGGTGAGCAGTCCTTACCGGAAGCTCCTCAACAAGCGGCGGCGAAACTTTATTGGCAGAGGGGAAGGGGGAACAGCCGGCGAGGGGATGTCGGCGAACTACGCGGCGGGGCTGTCGCCTTACTCGGACAAGGGCAAGTGCGGCCTCCCGGAGGTGAGCGGAGGGGACGGGGGGGGGAAGGGGTTGCCATGGATACCGAGACTCCCCCTCCCTCCCCCATTGGACTGCGCGGGGGGGGGCGAGGAGGGCGCCTGAGGGAAAAGACCCGGATGTGGAGGCAGAATGGGAAGGACCCGGATGTTGGGGATTCCCTCCTCCTCCTCCCCCTCCCGCCTCTGGGCTTTTAATGTTATATTTCCTTCGCTCAGTTCACAGTTTTTATTATTTTATTATTTTCATTATTTTATTTATTTATTATTGTTCTGTTTTATTATTTATTTATTATTTATATTTTATTTATTTATTTATTTTTTATTGTTTTATTCATTTATATTTCCAAACTGTTTTGCTTTACTGTATTTCATTTCATAGTCATTCATTCATTTCATTCATTCTTTTTTATTATTATTATTTCCATGTATTTTATTTTTATTTTCCGTTCATTCGTTCGTTTCGTTTCATTCTTTTTGTTTTTATTTCCATTAATTTCCATTTGTTTCTGTTCGTTCCATTTTTCATTTTTATTTCCGTTTATTTTATTTTTATTAAATTCACTCGTTTCATTTCATTTATTCTTTTTTATTTCCATTTATTTTTTAAAAAATTATACATTCAGAAAAGTACAGCATAGTACGGCTTATTGAGGAAAAATACATTTTAGTAAAGATACATTCAGATACATTCTTAAAGTCAATGAGAAAGATACAGCAAAAATGATACATTTAGGTACAGCGAAAAATGATACATTCTCCAAAGCACAGTTTACATTCTTGTAGGGGATTAAAGCAGAATACTATATATCTGATATTGGTAGAGTCATTTTCCTTTATTCCCCTCTCTGACCCTGACTTGCCGATCAGAAGGTCAGCGGTTCAAATCCCCGTGACGGGGTGAGCTCCCGTTGCTCGGTCCCTGCTCCTGCCAACCTAGCAGTTCGAAAGCACGTCAAAGTGCAAGTAGATAAATAGGTACCGCTCCGGCAGGAAGGTAAACGGTGTTTCCGTGCGCTGCTCTGGTTCACCAGAAGCGGCTTAGTCCTGCTGGCCACATGACCAGCTGTACGCCGGCTCCCTCGGCCAGTAAAGCGAGATGAGCGCCACAACCCCAGAGTCGGCCGCGACTGGACCTAATGGTCAGGGGTCCCTTTACCTTTACCCTGCCCATCTGGCTGGGTTTTGCCAGCCACTCTGGGCAGCTCCCAACAGAATATTAAAATACTATTAATAGACAGTAGTCTATTAAACATTAAAAGCTTCCCTCAACAGGGCTGCCTTCAGATGTCTCCTAAAAGTCAGGTAGTTGTTTATTTCCTTAACATCTGATGGGAGGGCACCACCACCGAGAAGGCCCTCTGCCTGGTTCCCTACAGCCTCACTTCACGCAGGGAGGGAACCGGCAGAAGGCCCTCAGGAGATGGACCCCGGTTTCTGGGGTGGAGACGCTCCTTCAGGGATACTAGGCCATTTAGGGCTTTCAAGGTCAGCACCAACACTTTGAATTGTGCTCGGAAACATCCTGGGAGCCAATGTAGGTCTTTCAGGACCGGAGTTACATGGTCTCCACTCCCAGTCCCCAGTCTGGCTGCCGCATTCTGGATTAGTTGCAGTTTCCGGGTCACCTTCAAAGGTAGCCCCATGTAGAGTCCCTGATGGGGAAAAGGCAGTTTATATAAATAAACAGAGGAGAATAACTGCAACTTTCCCAGCTGACCTATACTGCGCTTCCTCTGTTTCTCTCCCCCCCCCAACCTCCCATTCAGTTTTTTGACCCTCCGGACGAGCTGGACAGGAAAGTCGCCCAGCTGGCCCTCTTGATCCGGGAGGCTTCCAACGTGGTTTTCCACACCGGGGCTGGCATCAGCACGTCTTCGGGAATCCCAGACTTCAGGTGAGTGGAGCGACGGGTATTTGGGACTTGGGAACCCCCTACGCCCCCCTCCAAGGCCGCTGATTTGTTATGGGTCACCCATGAAGATCCTGGGTAGCAGCCTTTCTGTCAGGTAAAGATTTGCCCCCCTGTTCCCTGCAGAGGCCCCAATGGCGTCTGGACCATGGAGGAGCGGGGTCTGTCCCCGAAGTTCGACACCACCTTTGAGAACGCGCGGCCGTCCACGACCCACATGGCCCTCTTGGGGCTCCAGAGAGCAGGCGTCCTGCGGTTCCTGGTCAGCCAGAACGTGGACGGTCTCCACGTACGCTCGGGGTTCCCCAGGTAAGGGGACACTTCCCGTGGCTTTGTGCCGTGTGAAGAAATCGCTTTCGTTAAGCTCTGGGACAGCTCAGGGGGCAGAGCATGAGACTGTCAATCTGTGGGTCGCAGGTCCAAGCTATCTATCATGAATGCCGTGCTCCACGATTCTGCAGTTCCATGCACATTAAAAAAAGCAAAGCCTCTGGTCTGATCTCAGGTCCTTTTACAGCATCAAGCTGTCAAAGTTCCACACCCTCTCTTTTCTCCTCTTCCGCAGGGACAAGTTGGCGGAGTTGCACGGGAACATGTTTGTGGAGGAATGCATGAAATGTGGAAAGTAGGTACCCTCTCCGGCGATGTGGGTTCCTCGGCTTCCTGTGGGTGGTGGTGGTGGCAGGGAGATTCCTCCCCCTGGTTCCAGCTGCCTCCGTTGCAAAATTAAATGTGAGGATGTGGCACAGCAGGGAAAGGGGGAATCAAAACGACAGAGGTCGGGTGGGGTGGAGGAAAGGCCGCAGAATTTGGGGCCTTAATGCAGCAGTGGGGAACCTTTTTGCCGCTGCCCAAGACGCTGCTGAATCACAACTCCCACCATCCCCAGCCGTCGATCGTGCTTCCATGCAGGGGGCCTGGTGGGAGTTGTAGTTTGGCGGTGCCTGGAAGGTCACATCTGGCAGCCCAAAGGCAGCTCTCGCCAGCCCGGATGTTTTGGGAACTGGTAGGACAGTTGCGGAGGGACGCGGGTGTCGCTGTGGGTTAAACCACAGAGCCTTGGACTTGCCAATCAGAAGGTCAGCGGTTCGAATCCCCGCGACGGAGTGAGCTCCCGTTGCTCGGTCCCTGCTCCTGCCAACCTAGCAGTTCGAAAGCACGTCAAAGTGCAAGTAGATCAATAGGTACCGCTCCGGCGGGAAGGCAAACGGCGTTTCCATGCGCTGCTCTGGTTTGCCAGAAGCGGCTTAGTCCTGCTGGCCACATGACCCGGAAGCTGTACGCTGGCTCCCTCGGCCAATAAAGCGAGATGAACGCCACAACCCCAGAGTCAGCCACGACTGGACCTAATGGTCAGGGGTCCCTTTACCCTTTACCTTTAAGATGCTGCTGAATCACAACTCCCACCATCCCCAGCCGTCGATCGTGCTTCCGTGCAGGGGGCCTGGTGGGAGTTGTAGTTTGGCGGTGCCTGGGAGGCCACATCTGGCAGCCGAAAGGCAGCTCTCGCCAGCCCGGGTGTTTTGGGAACTGGTAGGACAGTTGCCAACCCAAACAGTTGGCCTGGAAAGGTGGGTGGGTGGGTGGGTGGGTCAGGGAGGAAAACCCCCCGACTGGAATGGACCTTTGCTGCAAGGTCTGAATTGCAGGGGCAAGCGGTGGATCGAAGAGGGCAGGGATTCCTCTTCTCATGGCATGACTCTGCTCCCCGCTTGCTCCCAGGAAACCTCCACTCCTCCCTCTGTGTGTTTGTCTTTAAGGCAGTATGTGAGGGACGCCGTGGTGGGCACCATGGGCCTGAAGCCCACCGGCCGGCTGTGCGAGGTCTCCAAGCGCAGAGGCCTTCGGTCCTGCAGGTACGTGGTGGGGGAAGGTTCGGGCTAGTAATTGTGTGTCATATTTTAATAGCCGCCACACAAAATTTTGACCACCTTGCGAGTTATACCATGGGGTTGTTCTCTAGCAGCAAGAAACTCTTCAGAACTTGCCGTGCATGTCTGGGGTATCGCACCTAGCTGAATAGAAGTAAGCATTTCAAATGAAACCCACAAGTTTGGGTTTCTTGTTTTTGTTTATCCAACTAAAACTCTCCCCACCCCAACCCCGCTTTTTCTCAAAAGAGGGAAGCTAATAGACACCATCTTGGACTGGGAAGATTCCCTGCCTGACCGGGACCTCAATCTGGCAAGTGAAGCGAGCAGGTAAGGGTATTTTATTTATTTTATTTGTTGTTTAGTCGTTTAGTCATGTCCACCTCTTCGTGACCCCCTGGACCAGAGCACACCAGGCCCTCCTGTCTTCCACTGCCTCCTGCAGTTTGGTCAAACTCATGCTGGTAGCTTCGAGAACACTGTCCCACCATCTCGTCCTCTGTCGTCCCCTTCTCCTTGTGCCCTCCCTCTTTCCCAACATCAGGGTCTTTTCCAGGGAGTCTTCTCTTCTCCTGAGGTGGCCAAAGTCTTGGAGCCTCAGCTTCAGGATCTGTCCTTCCAGTGAGCACTCAGGGCTGATTTCCTTCAGAATGGAGAGGTTGGATCTTCTTGCAGTCCATGGGACTCTCCAGAGTCTCCTCCAGCACCAGAATTCAAAAGCATCCATTCTTTGGCGATCAGCCTTCTTGATGGTCCAGCTCTCACTTCCACACATCACTACTGGGAAAACCAGAGCTTGAACTATACGGACCTTTGTTGGCAAGGTGATGTCTCTGCTTTTGAAGATGCTGTCTAGGTTTGTCATTGCTTTTCTCCCAAGAAGCAGGCGTGGCTGCTGTCACCATCTGCAGTGATCATGGAGCCCAGGAAAGTAGAATTTATTTTATTTTATTTTTATTTATTTATTTTGTCCCCTGCAGGAGAGCCGATTTGTCCATCACTCTGGGGACGTCCCTGCAAATCAAGCCCAGTGGAGACCTTCCTCTGTTGACCAAGAAGAAGGGAGGGAAACTGGTGATTGTGAATTTGCAGCCAACAAAGCACGTGAGTTCAATTCGGGCCTCACCGGCAGCTCAGGAACTGCAACCAGTCTTAGAAACTCAAATATATCAGCTAGGTGCCAAATGCCTCCTTAAACCAAGGTTGCGGTCGGCGAAACAGAATGTCTAGTTGTCACGATTTAAATCACGAATTTGGTTATCAAGATTTAAATCACTAGTCAGTAAGACTTGATTTAAATCATTTTATTTTATTTTACAGAAAGACTCAGCCTTGCTGGTATCATCTTAATATTTACAACCAGAGTAGTTTTTACAGTTGTATCCAAAATTACTGATTTGGTTATACTATTAGAAATACATAGACCGGTAATTACGAAATTATGGTGAGGTTTAATAAGTTAACTTTTCTGCTGTACTTTATAGGAAGGAGACAAATAACCATTTCCTTAATAGCAATTTAAACAATTAATTTAACTAAAACAATGACGTTATAGCGTATGTATCCATGTTTGTTTACTGATGCGGTTAAACAATTTTCAAAAAAATAAAAACTTAGACTGAGTTTAGGCACACATGGGAAACTTAAAACAAATCCTTATTTCCTGACGAATAGCCTTTGGTCTATAATGTAACTTAAATAGAAAATCTTTAGAAAAATTCCTCCCTCCCCAATAAAGCATTTCATTTTAAAAATCCGATTTAAATCAAATCCGATTTAAATTTTTAAAAATCTGATTTAAATTTAAAAATTCTGATTTAAATGAAAAAAAACTGATTTAAATGAAAAAAAATCCGATTTAAATGAAAAAAAAATCCATTTTTGAATTTATTTATTTTTTTAAAAAATCGATTGATTTTCATCCACCCTGCTTCGTAGGCCGCCTCGGCGCTGCCAACCCCCGTTCCCCACCTCTCTCTCTTTCTCTCCCCTTCAGGACAAGCACGCTGACCTGCGGATCCACGGCTATGTGGACGACGTCATGGCAAAGCTCATGAAACACCTCGGCTTGGAGATCCCCGAGTGGACTAGTCCGCTGGTGGTGGAGAGCGCGGAACTCGCTGAGACCAAAGCGTTCGCCAAGCCCGGCACGGACTTTAAGTTCCTGACCAAGGCGGAGCCCCTGGGGGGAAACCCGGAGGACGGCGCCTCTCCGAAACAGGAGCCCTGTGCGACTCCGGACAGCGACCGCGTCGTAGCCAAGCGTTTGAAATTGGAGCCTCTGCCCACCTGATGGATCCTGCGCACGTTCGTCCGGGTCGTCTGTCTTAGAAACATTTTTTTTACTTGTATATAGGACTTTTCAAAGACCATCCCTCCTTGTTTATGTGGGTTTTTTCCCCCCCACCGTGGGAAAGTTTGTCTCCTTTTCACAAGTCTACTTGCACACTCCAGGCACGTTCCGTCCCCACGAGATCGCTTCCAAGACCTCATTTGTACCTAACGAGGCAGCCACAATTTCCCACTCTGGGGTCTTTTCCCCGCACGTTCTCCACCCTCCGTCCCCCGCCGGCGGAGACGTTTCATCCGCATACGGACAAAAAAGGGGAAACACATACTAAAATGCTGGCGGGTTTTCACGAAGTTAAAAATAAAAACAAATTGCCAAATTCCTGGAGAATGGAACTTAAGTTCAGGGGAAGTGAGCAAACCAAAAGTGGCAAATTTGTCCATCTCTAATCCAAAATAAGCACTATAATAGGAGTGGAAGAATCAGTGAAATTATAAATGATGATTTCCCAGAAGCAATTTTCCTCGAGTTACTGGGTCTGCTACATGAATTTTTGGTCATGTCAATGGTTCTTTGAAGCCTTAACCCAAGGTATGTTGTTGTTATTATTTATTATACGATGGCACTCATCTGACCGGGTTGACCCAGCCACTCTGGGGGCTTGGTGCTCAGAATAAAGTTTCCCTGCATTCCCTTGGCAAGCAAACCACTTTGGGATTCTTATTAATTACGATTCTTCCGAAACCGCCTCTCTGCCCAACAAACAATCGGAACCTGGCCCAGGTGTGGTTGTGCAAACATGTTTGCACATCTTGCTTGGAAAGCGAGCTCGGGGAGCAAAAGAGCTCAGTGCTGTGGGTCGTCGTTAATCTCCCCTCTGCAATTATAGAAGCAGCAGTCATTGCAGCAATTACTTTGACGAACGATGCGCAAAGGGAGCAAAGGACAGGGCCAGTTTTCCTTCGCTCTCTGCAACTTTTGCAGCTGGTCTCTCTGCAGTTGCTGTTGCCCCTGGAGTCTCAGACCTCTGCTCCTCCAAAACGCTTCCTTTCCCTGGGTGCAGCCACAAATAGGGAGGGGGGCACTGAAATATTTGTTGTTGTTGAGTCGTTTAGTCGTGTCCGCCTCTTGGTGACCCCCTGGACCAGAGCACGCCAGGCCCTCCTGTCTTCCACTGCCTCCCGCAGTTTGGTCAGACTCATGTTTGTAGCTTCGAGAACACTGTCCCACCATCTCGTCCTCTGTCATCCCCTTCTCCTTGTGCCCTCCATCTTTCCCAACATCAGGGTCTTTTCCAGGGAGTCTTCTCTTCTCCTGAGGGGGCCAAAGTCTTGGAGCCTCAGCTTCAGGATCTGTCCTTCCAGTGAGCACTCAGGGCTGATTTCCTTCCGAATGGAGAGGTTGGATCTTCTTGCAGTCCATGGGACTCTCAAGAGTCTCCTCCAGCACTTCTTCTTGCAGTCCATGGGACTGAACTATTGGCTTTGCCTAAACTCAAATTCCCCAGTCTAATATCCCGAGTGCTGCAAGATCCCAAAAGCGCCTGGACTAAAATGGTCTATCAGAAAATTCACTCTGCTGGTTTATCACCACAACAGCTACTTGCTTTGGGTTTTGGTAAAGCAAGTGGTCTAATTTGTCGGCGCCTAAATGATATCAAGCGTCAGAACAACTAGGCCACAATAAGGAGATTTTGCCCATGGCATGGCTATTTTCCACCTACCCATTTTGACACTCCGGCACCCTATCTACAAAACCTAGCAATTCTAAAATACAGACGCGCTTTTACCCTCGGAAGATTGAAAGTCTTGCCCTCGGCTGGACTTGAAGGGACCAGGTTTCTTCGCTTTCTGAAAGTCTAGAAAGCATTTGTTGAATATTATTTTTTGCTTCGTCATTAAAAACTCACAGCAGTGATAATCAGTGGTTGTTTTATTGTATGTTATATATACATATATATATAATTAGTTTTCAATGGCTAAAAGAGGGGGGACAAAATTGCAGAATATTGAACCTGGTTGAATTGGGGGGGGGTCGCTTTCAGGCCAAGGGAGCTGGTGTTTGTCCACAGACAGGCATTGTTCTTTTGTTTCCAACTTCCAGTACAGTGGTACCTCAAGTTACATACGCTTCAGGTTACGGACTCCGCTAACCCAGAAATAGTGCTTCAGGTTAAGAACTTTGCTTCAGGATGAGAACAGAAATCGTGCTCCGGCGGAGTGGCAGCAGCAGGAGGCCCCATTAGCTAAAGTGGTGCTTCAGGTTAAGAACAGTTTCAGGTTAAGAGCGGACCTCCGGAACAAATTAAGTACTTAACCCGAGGTACCACTGTACCTCGTGGGTGGGGGCGATTTTGGTGTTCAGGTCTTTTCCTGCCAATGCCTGACGATTTAGCCTTCCTTTTTTCGGGGGGGGGGGTTGTCTTTTCCCTAGCAAGAGCTGCAGGAGGGCAGAGGGGGGTGTCTCTGTGCCTATTCAGCCCCCCCTTGCAGGAAAGGGGGGACCCCCAAAAGGAGACCCCACCCCATATTGGGGGGTGTCTTTTTTGTGGGGGAGGTGTTAAAGGCCCCACTCCTCTGTGGGGGGGGTGAGATTTACGTGGACGGGGAGCTTCTCCGAGGCGGGGGGCGCCGCTCCCCCCATCCTGCCCCCCATCCTGGGCCCGCCGCTGCTGCTGCCGCCCCCCGCCGCCATGTTGGCGCGCCTCCGCCTCCCCGCGGCCGCGCGCACGCTCGCTCGCTCGCAGCAGCAGCAAGTCGCGAAACGTCCTCAGCAGCCAAGCTTGGGAAGGGAAGGGAAGGGAAGGAAAGTAGCCGGAACCTTTCTGTCGAGGGGAGAGGGAGGAGGCCGGAAGGGAAAAGGAACCGGACCAAAACAAAAAAAAAAGACCGGATGCGAGGGAGGAGGGGGAAGCCGGAAGGAGGGGGAAAGGAGAGAGGGAGAGGGCTAGAGCGGCCCGGACAGAGAGGAGCAGTAGAGAGGGGAGGAGGGAGCGGAAAGAGGGGTGGAGACGGAAGGGAGAGGGAGAGAGGAAAAGGGAAGAGGGACACACGCACGCAGAGTGAAAGACTGATGGGTTCTGGGTAGGGAAAGAGCTGTAAGAGAGGATAGAGGTAGGAAAGGGTAGAGGGGTCTCAGAGGTAGGAAAGGGGGAGAGCTCTGTGGCCCTTCGGCCCCTATTCTACCTCTGAGACCCCTCTACACTTTTCATAGCTCTGTGGTCTCATATGCCACAGAGGGACCACAGAGCTATGAAAAGTATAGAGGGGTCTCAGAGGTAGGAAAGGGGCCACAGAGCTATGAAAAGTATAGAGGGGTCTCAGAGGTAGGAAAGGGGCCACAGAGCTATGAAAAGTGTAGAGGTGTCACAGGGGGTAGGCTAGGGGCAGAGAGGCCATAGAGCTAGGAAAAGGATAGAGGTGTCACGGGGGTAGACTAGGGGTAGAGGGGCCACAGAGCTATGAAAAGTGTAGAGGGGTCTCAGAGGTGGAGAGACGACAGAGCTATGAAAAGGGTAGAGGGGTCTCAGAGGTGGAGGTACCACAGAGCTATGAAAAGGGTAGAGGTGTCACAGGGGTAGACTAGGGGTAGAGGGGCCACAGAGCTATGAAAAGGGTAGAGGGGTCTCAGAGGTGGAGGTACCACAGAGCTATGAAAAGGGTAGAGGGGTCTCAGAGGTGGCGGTACCACAGAGCTATGAAAAGTATAGAGGGGTCTCAGAGGTGGAGGTACCACAGAGCTATGAAAAGGGTAGAGGGGTCTCAGAGGTAGACAAGGGGGTAGAGGGGCCACAGAGCTATGAAAAGGGTAGAGGGGTCTTAGAGGCAGGACAGTGGTAGAGGGACCACAGAGCTATGAAAAGTGTAGAGGGGTCTTAGAGGTAGAATAGGGGTAGGGGGGCCACAGAGCTATGAAAAGGGTAGAGGGGTCTCAGAAGTAGGAAAGGGGTAGAGGGACCACAGAGCTATGAAAAGTGTAGAGGGGTCACAGAGGTAGAATAGGGGTAGGGGGCCACAGAGCTATGAAAAGGGTAGAGGGGTCTCAGAGGCAGGACAGTGGTAGAGGGACCACAGAACTATGAAAAGGGTAGAGGGGTCTTAGAGGCAGCACAGGGGTAGAGGGACCACAGAGCTATGAAAAGGTTAGAGGGGTCTCAGAGGTAGAATAGGGGTAGAGGGGCCAAAGAGCTATGAAAAGGGTAGAGGGGTCTCAGAGGCAGGAAAGGGGTAGAGGGACCACAGAGCTATGAAAAGTGTAGAGGGGTCTTAGAGGCAGGACAGGGGTAGAGGGACCACAGAGCTATGAAAAGTGTAGAGGGGTCTCAGAGGTAGAATAGGGGTAGAGGGGCCAAAGAGCTATGAAAAGGGTAGAGGGGTCTCAGAGGTGGAAAAGGGGCAGAGGGGCCACAGAGCTAGGAAAAGGATAGAGGGGTCTCAGAGGTAGAATAGGGGTAGAGGGGGCCACAGAGCTAGGAAAAGGATAGAGGGGTCTCAGAGGTAGAATAGGGGTAGAGGGGCCAAAGAGCTATGAAAAGGATAGAGGGGTCACAGAGGTAGAATAGGGGTAGAGGGGGCCACAGAGCTAGGAAAAGGATAGAGGGGTCACAGAGGTAGAATAGGGGTAGAGGGGGCCACAGCGCTATGAAAAGGATAGAGGGGTCTCAGAGGTAGAATAGGGTAGAGGGGCCATAGAGCTATGAAAAGGGTAGAGGTGCCACAGAGACAGAATAGGGTAGAGGGGCCACAGAGCTATGAAAGGGGTGGAGGGGTCACAGAGGTAGAATGGGGTAGAGGGGCCATAGAACTATGAAAAGGGTAGAGGGGTCTCAAAGGTAGACAAGGGGTAGAGTGGCCACAGAGCTATTAAAATTGTAGAGGGGTCTCAGAGGTAGAATAGGGTTAGAGGATCCACAGACCTATGGAAAGGCGTAGAGGGGCCTCAGAGGTAGAAAAGGGGTAGAGGGGCCATAGAGCTATGAAAAGGGTAGAGGGGTCTCAGAGGTAGGAACGGGGTAGAGGGGCCACAGAGCTATGAAAAGGATAGAGGGGTCACAGAGGTAGAATAGGGGTAGAGGGGGCCACAGAGCTATGAAAAGGATAGAGGGGTCTCAGAGGTAGAATAGGGGTAGAGGGGCCACAGAGAGGCCACTCCTGCCCACCTAGCAGTTTGAAAGCATGTCAAAGTGCAAGTAGATAAATAGGTACCGCTCTGGCGGGAAGGTAAAGGGCGTTTCCGTGCGCTGCTCTGGTTCGCCAGAAGCGGCTTTGTCCTGCTGGCCACATGACCCGGAAAATGTACACCGGCTCCCTCGGCCAGTAAAGCGAGATGAGAGCCGCAACTCCAGAGTCGGCCACGACTGGACCTAATGGGGAGGGGTCCCTTTTCCTTTACCTAAAACTATTCCCCAATATTTCTGGGCATATTTACACTGCCACCACCTACGTATGGAAGTTCCCTCGATCTCTTCTTCACATTTCCAACACATTTTGGACCCTCTCTTGTACATGTTAGCCAATTTTACTGGGCGTCAGATACCACCTATAGAGCATTTTTCCCTTTATCAGATAGTGGCTTCCTCCTCTTCCCCCTTTTTCGACAGGGGCTGGACTGAGCACATCAAGTGAAAACCTCTGAGCAATTTTATAAAAGCCATATACCTAACTGAATTCATTTCTGATTTATTGCCACCTATTCGTCCACATTGTGTACTCATTGTATGAGCGGAACTCTCTCCCTGCTTCAGTCGGCCCTCGGTACGAGTGCCAAAGTGCGGACCGCTGGTGCGAACAAAAATCTCAAACAGGACACCACCTACAAACAAATGCAGAGAAGCCTTGGCTCTATGCAAATATTCACTCAAAGCAGCCAAATAGATGCTCAATTTTTTTTTATTGCTTAAAAGAATGAAGAAGATGTTGCTCTACGCGGTCTGTTTCCAGGAGGTTATTTCTGCTCGATCTGAGAGCCATGAAATAAGAAGCGAAGGGGAAGAGAAGAGAATCGGTCCCTTCCGATTCTATGAAAAGTCTTGATAAAATCAAGCTTCAGATGCTGACACGTTACTGCAAACCCAAGGATTTCTTAACAGGTTTCCAGATAACAAATCAGTATTTTGTAACAGGATCTACTGACTGTTTCAACATCACCAGATGTGCATCAATAGCACCAGATGCTTATTTCAGAGTTGCAAATGGAGGTGCGTGAGCCCATTTTTAATCTGGTGGAAGACTAACAAGGAACAATGTGGCTATTCAAATGGAATTTGTTCCTGTTAGCAGGTGGTAAAGTAAACGTGCTCTGCTTGGGGCTCCATTTGAAGGTGACCCGGAAACTGCAACTAATCCAGAATGTGGCAGCTAGACTGGGGACTGGGAGCGGCTGCCGAGACCACATAACACCGGTCTTGAAAGACCTACATTGGCTCCCAGGACGTTTCCAAGCACAATTCAAAGTGTTGGTGCTGACCTTCAAAGCCCCAAATGGCCCAGTAGACCTGAAGGAGCATCTCCATCCTCTTCGTCCAGTCTGGACACCTGGGTCCATCTCCTGAGGGCCTTCTGGTGGTTCCCTCCCTGCAAGAAGCAAAGTTACAGAGAACCAGGCAGAGAGTCTTCTCAGTGGTGGTGCCCTCCCTGTGGAACTCCCTTCCACCAGATGTCAAGGAAACAAGGAGGGGATGGAATAGGACGTCCCTCTTTTCACGGGAGAAATGTTGCGGGGGTGTGTGCGTATGATATCAGCAAACAATATATATATTTTTGCCAAATCGTTTTTATTGATTTTTCCAAATCAGCCACAGATTAAAACAAATTTAATACAATGTTTCCAGAAACTGATTTCCCGCATTTTGTTCTCAAAGCATCCAAGGTTTCCCTCTTGTTGCTGCTTTATTTTCCTAGTTCCCCACTTTTGAAACACCACAGCAGAGTTGATTTATTTATTTTTTAAATGGCCTTTCCCGGCTTTTCAATTTTATTTCCAACAAACTGGATGATTCGAGAGGAGGAAGGAACATTTAGCAATGCATGGAAATACGTGGCTATCTTTTTTTGGCTAGATCTTTTTTAAAGATAGAATATATAGCTGTAAATATTAAATGGTCCCCCTATCTTAACTCAAATAGCAGCAATCAGCTTCCTCTCAACTCCAAGAAAACCACAACACTAATAAACAGCGGCACAATAGTCAGAAAAAACCAGATACAGAATGGAATTTATTTATTTAATGTACAGAATAATTTAACTTTAAAATCCTGTTAAATTACCTTACCCTTTTTCCTAACCAGATGATCTTTGCTGTTGAGGTGAGGCCTCAGGAGAATAATGTAACATTTGGGGAAGAAAACGCAACCCAGGAGACCAGCGCCGGAAGCCAAGATGGAGAAGATCTCCACGGCCACCGTGAACTTTCCTTTGGTGCTCAGGTAGGTTGGGACGAAGGAAACCCAAACGCTGCAAAAGACCAACATGCTGAAGGTGATGAACTTGGCTTCGTTGAAACTATCGGGCAACTTTCTGGCGAAGAAAGCCACCAGGAAGCTGACGAGGGCCAGGAAACCCGGGTAACTAAGGACGGTGCAAAACATGGCGGCCGAACCTTCGTTGCATTCGGCTACAATCTCTCCCGGCGTGGAATGGAAGTCCAGATTTGGGAATGGCGGAGAAGTTGCGAGCCAGACGGTGCAGATAACGGCTTGGATAAACGGGCAGGCCACCACAATGGAGTTGGCCGGTTGTCTCCGCAAAAGCTTCCTCGCGACGTTTCCCGGCTGGGTGGCCACGAAGGCCAGGACGACCGTGATGGTTTTTGCCAGTACGGAAGAGACGGCAACAGAGAAAACGGTGCCGAAAGCCATTTGACGGAGAAGGCAGATGGTCTTCTTGGGACGGCCGATGAAGAGGAAGGGGCAGAGGAAGCAGAGCAGGAGGGAGGCGAGGAGGACGTAGGTGAGGTCTCGGTTGTTGGCTTTGACGATGGGTGTGTCGCGTTGTTGGATGAAGATCGCCAGCACTAGGGAGGTTGTGAGGAACAGCAGGAGAGCCAGAGAAGCTAAAACCATCCCAAGAACATCTTGGTAAGAGAGGAAGTTGGTCTTCTTGTAAATACACTGGTCTTGGTTTTCGTTTGGGTATTGATCTTCGGGGCACTTGGTGCAGTGAACTGCGTCTGGTACAAAGAAACAGAACTGAGATACTTCACACATGCAATGAAGTTTCTTTTTGTGTTATTGACCCAATGAGATGGCGTCATTCACCCAAACATTCCTGGAAACCTTATCCCTTAAATTATTCTTCTTCCCCTCGCCCCAGGTTTCTGTCTCTCTCCAAGCCACTCTTGTCTAAACAACTTCCGCACTTTGATTTGGGTGTCTAAGTTGGACCTACCTGTCTGGTTAGAGAAGGTCCCTTCTGGGCAAGAGACACATTCGTAGCAGCAAACCGGCCTCCCCTCTAGAACTTTTCTGCTCTGTCCCGGAGGGCAACTTTCTACACACCTGGAGAATGGGGTCTTCTAAAATGGAAAAAAATAACATTGCTGCATGAGATGAACGTTTCTCTCTTGCTACTTCGAAGAACTTCCGTCTTGCTGATAACAGGTGGACAACTTGTGGGGTGAGGGAAACATGTTGGTAAGTTATTTGGCACCACAAAAATAGAAACCCAGATCTCTTAATAATAATAATTTATATAGTGTCATCTATGCACATAGCTCTGTACAGAACTAAGCAATAAAATAGAATAGAATTTATTATTTATACCCAGCCCATCTGGCTGGGTTTCCTCAGCCACTCTGGGCAGCTTCCAACAGAGTATTAAAATATGAACAATACAATACAAATTAATAATTTTAACATGCATGATTCAGAAGTCATTTCATTGCATATAATAAAACCAGCTAGCCACTGCATCAACAGAAGTTGAGTGTCCAAATCAAGGGAAGTCATAGTCCCAATTTATTCTGTCTGGGTCAGGCCACACCTGGAATACTGTGTCCAGTTCTGGACACCACAATTTAAGAAGGATGTTGACAAGCTGGAAGGTGGGCAGAGAATGGAGACTGAGATGGTCAAGGGTCTGGAAGCCATGCCTGATGAGGAACGGTCGAAGGAGTTGAGAATGTTTAGCCTGTAAAAGAGGAGGCTGAGAGGAGATATATCTTCAAATATCTGAAGGGCTGTCACATGGAAGCATGGTACAATTGACACACCAAGGAAGTGATACCCATTGCAGCCTTTTGTATGAAAATGAGAGAATTAACTTGAGTTTGTGGGGAACCAACCCAAAGGGGATTCCAACAATCTAAGCAAGAAATAACCAGAGTAAGAGCTAAAAATGTATTATCAGTAGAAACGGGAAGAGAAGGATGAATGCTAGCTACGTTACGGAGAATGGAATCTAGTGCAATAGTCAATATTTAGTCAAAAACTTTCAACTAAATAAAGCCATTGGTTTGATTCGGCAAAGGATGCTGTTACATTGCCAAAGGATTTGGCAGCAACTTTTCAAGCAAGGGGTTCGATAGCAAGTTGACATGCTCTTGTCTTCTGTCTGCCCCAACCTAAGAATTGGACGTGAATATGGAGTATTCAGATTGTCTGCACCTGAGTAACCCACATGATTGCATCAGGGTTAATGCTGAAGTCCTCTCCTGGAGCTGCGTGAGGATCCAAACCTCCAACTTTCACTTCGGCCCACGATCCGTTGGGGAAGAAGACGCCGTTCAGAATATCATAGGCTGCCGGTCTCTTGTCACGTTCCGTAAAATATATCTCATCCCCAGCTGTGTTGTTAAACCGAATCTTGCTCAAAGAGGCCAGAATCTGAAATTAAAGAAATGTGATAGTATTTGTAACACCTGATAAATTATCTAAAATGTATAAGAAGGTTTCTAATAACCGCTGGAAGTGCAAAGAGATGGTTCTCTTTTTCCCCCATATGCGGGGGACTTGTAAAAAAGCGAGGGTATTTGGGGAAATGATATGTGATTAGCTAAAAAAGATGTTTGAACCGAATATACAAAAAACAGCAACAACAAACACTCCTGAAGCTTTTCTTCTAAGGATTATAGGGATAGAAATTGCAAAGAAGATGGTTAAGTTGTTTATGTATATAACTACAGGAGCTAGGATTCTTTATGCTCAGAAATGGAAAAAGTTCCCAGCACAGAAGAACAGATCAGCAAAGTTATGGACTATGTCGAATCAACAAAGCTAACAGCTAAAATGAGATTATTGGTGTTTTGATGGTTGCTTTATTTTTTTGAACAATTGAAGCATTTTTTCCCAGGTTATTTGAAGAAATACTACAGCATGAAGAATCTGTGAGCAGGTTTTGAACTATGAGCGACAGAACGATGAAAGATTATTGCCTTACGACTATGTATTTTAAAAATAGGGGAGACAGGGTTCGGCAAAGCAGGGGGTGGATAAGAAAAACATGGAAAATGTGGTGGGAAGTTGATAATGTTTAAAATAGGTGTTGGAGTTTTTACGTAGAACTTTTGGAAATTTAATCAGAAATGAAATGAAAGAGGTTTGTCAAGTTGCGGTTGTGAAACGGGTCTGGAGACATATTGTGAGACAACCATTGTGATGAGTTGACTTTGGACCTGCCCTCTGTTTGTCTTAAAGAGAAAAGATTGCTGTGACTTGAATTCAAGTGAAGGTCAGATATCTGGTCCAGGTGGGGAGACTGAGCAGCCTTTCAGAAAAAGCCCCATGGCGCCTCTGGGCTCTTTGGAACTTCCTTGACCCTCACTGACATCTTCTCGGGACTCCAGAGAGGGTCTTCTCATGAGCCAACTCTCTTGCCATTTCCAGGTTCAAATCCAACGATTTGATGGTTTCCTGGCACCACGCGGATACGCAGTTGCACACGAGTCGATCGTGCGGAAGTGGGGAACACACCTGTACCTGATTCTGCGAAGACGTTACCTGCCAAGGCTGGAGAGTCAGAAGTCTCTTGCCGCGTGGCACCATTGCAAGTTTGGATCCAGTTGAATACATGGCGTCATGCAATGCGTGGGCCATAGAATAGACAGCGTTGTAGATGCTGTAACTGTACCCAGTCATCTTCTTTGAAAACACAAAGGTTGGGAGATCCTCTGGTTTTTCCTGGCCTGTGCAGTTCCGCTGGTTCTTCGAAACGTTCTGGTCCGGTTTCAGAAATTTACAGTCAAATACCACTTCCCACCAGCCACGGAGAAAGATGTCTTCCGGAGACCGGTATGGATCTAAAGCAGAGAGAAATTTGTCGAACCCAGGCACTTTTCTCGTGCGGATTTTGAAGAAAATGGACCCATGGAAATGTTTCAGATACTTAAACGTTCTGGCGGATCTCACAGCAGCAAAATCCCACCGGGATGTCAGGATCCAAACCTTCCCAACTGAGGTCCCCTTGTTTTTCATCAGTTGGGTGATGGGCGCCATTAAATATCTGATGGAATTGGCGTCTGCAAAGAAAACCACCGTCTGAGCCTCACTCTTGTAAACCTTTGAAACTTGTTTCGCCCATTGTTTCAAATGCGGCAAAATGACGTGGGTTTCTGGCACAGCCTTTTCCGTGAACGCCACGCAGATGTCGTTCCGGGCCAGGAGCAGCACCAAAGTCCGGATGAAAATTTCGCCGCTGTCATCCTCCGAAGCGATGAGTCCCACCCAATTCCAGCGGAAATGCAGGAATAACGAAACTAAACCCCCAAACTGAAGGATCTCGTTGGGGTCGATGCGATGGAAAGAAGGAGATGCAAATCCCAGTTTGGGTGAGCCGTAACCGAGCTGAAAGAAGGAATGGCTTTATTTCAGATACAATAATCTTTATTGTCACTGTCCCATACAGAACAACGAAACTGAAAAATTCTACATCAGACATTCAAAAACCCACAAGCCTGCCATCCCAGCCTGGTTAGCCCTCTAAAAACTCTGATACCCCATAAGTGAATACAATATACTCACATAAAGACTACCTTACACTGTGTTTAAAACCAAAATTGCATTTGGATAGAAACTGTTTCTCAGGCGGCTAGTCCTAGTCTTTATAACGCTGTACCTTCTTCCAGAAGGCAGAAGCTGAAAGAGATCATTTCCAGGGTGTGCTATTTCTGCAGGTTTCTTATGGCACCTGGAAGCGTAGATTTGATCCAAGGTAAGGAGAGTGCGGGATGCGGGTGGCACTGTGGGTTAAACCACTGAGCATAGGGCTTGCCAATCAGAAGGTTGGAGGTTTAAATCCCCACGACGGGGTGAGCTCCCGTTGCTCGGTCCCTGCTCCTGCCAACCTAGCAGTTTGAAAGCACCTCAAAGTGCAAGTAGATAAATAGGTACCGCTCCAGCAGGAAGGTAAACGGCGTTTCCGTGCGCTGCTCTGGTTCGCCAGAAGCGGCTTAGTCATGCTGGCCACATGACCTGGAAGCTGTACGCCGGCTCCCTCGGCCAGTAAAGTAAGATGAGTGCCGCAACCCCAGAGTCGGTCACAACTGGACCCAATGGTCAGGGGTCCCTTTACCTTTACCCAAGGAGAGTCCACCCAATTATTCTCTCTGCAATCTTTACAACCCTGAACAGCATTGGTTTTTTCCTGTAGAAAAGGTGGCCCACACACCATGGACCTGTTTTGCAGAGCGTGGGTTTTGCATCCCTGTGCCAAAGGAACCCAGAACCCTGGTCGATTTCTCTCCTTACCTGTGGGATCTTGAAGGCACTCAAGATGGACGCCATCTGTCTCGACGTCTTTGAGTCGAGGCTGCCAATGACGGACAGCAGCTTGTCCTGCTTGTCGCAGTTGTAGTTTGGCACCATTTTTCTCCGCGTGGAGATGAGGGCAAGGCTGGTTTCCGTGGGCTTGTTTGCAAAACTGCTTTCCTGGTAGATGCGGAAGCCCAGAGTGGTGTTGGGCAAAAGCATCAAGTCCCTGTTGAGTTCCTGGATGGCAAAACCCAAAGCCAGAATATACTGGTAGTTCTTGGGCATGGGGCTACAACGAGAGTAGTAACATTTTCTGAGAATCCTCCGGAAAAGCAATCTCTCAAAGGACCTGTTGATGGCATTTTACCATTGTACTGTGGAGAGTGTATTAACTTATGGTCTGTGTGTGTGGTTGGGAGCTGCACAGCCAGGGAAAAAACAATGCTATCCAGGGTTGTAAAGACTGCGGAGAGAATAATTGGGTGCACTCTTCCCACTTTGGATCAAATCTATGCTTCCAGGTGCCATAAGAAAGCGGCAGAGATAGCGCAGGATAGTACGAACCCCGGAAATGATCTCTTTCAGCTTCTGCCTTCTGGAAGAAGCTACAGGGTTCTAAAGACCAGGACTGGCCGGCTGAGAAACAGTTTCTATCCAAATGCGATTTGGGTTTTAAACGCAGTGTAAGGAGTCTCTATGGGAGTATATTGTATTTAATTATGGAGTATCAGAGTTTTTAGAGGGTTAACCAGGCTGGGATAGCAGGCTTGTTGGTTTTTGAATGTCTGATGTAGATTTTTTCAATTTCGTTGTTCTGTAGGGGACAATGACAACAAAGATTATCGTATCGTATCGTGTGTAATAGGAGTTTAACTTTTAAAAAAATGATTTCCTGTATCATAAAGGGCTGAACTTGTGCTTAGAAACTCTGAAAAAGGGACTAATTCTTCTCAGTTGCAAAGTACTTTCCCTCCCAAAAAATACCCAGAGTCTTTTCTGTTTGGGGATAATTGTGCACAGCTGAAAACGCTGGCAGCATTAAGATAAATTCAACAGTGTGAATAAGTTTTGATGGATGCAGTAATGGAATACTGAATATTGTTGCTTTTTGGGAAATGTGTAAAATGAACCATGGAAGGAGAAGAAGGGAAGTCATTGATATCTTAAGGATGTAAAAAGGAGTGCTTTGAGTTGTAACACAGAAAATTTAATAAAAACTGGATATAAAGGTTATTATTGCACTTTTAAAAAATACTGGGCTAATCGACAATTTCTGCCTCTCCGAGAACTTACATGAAATGGGGGGAGTCCCCTTCTCTGAAATACTGCTTAAAGGATAAGTTTCTGACTAGAGCTCTGAAGAGAGGCAAATTCCCACCGACAATGAGATCACCTGGGCTGTAGCAGTTTTCCTGGAGTCGCAAAGGTCTGATGAATTGTCTTCTGACCTTCAGCATCGCACAGCTGTCCTGCGGCAACAGCCAACACAAAAACATCAACCACATTATCTGCAGCCGGAAAAATATTATCTCTCCTACAGCAATTGCACTTTTGCAGAAACCGATTTCCGAACCGCCCAATTTCATCAGGGGTTTCAGATAATAGGATAAATATACCGTGGTCAAAATTGCCATTTTTCCCATCCCAGCCCCTCCAGGAAAAGCTCGGAATATTATTATTTGGTTTTAATCACAGGCATTCTTTCTTGCGTTCTTCGTTTTCTTTATTATTGGTATTTAGAAACCCCCAAGGAGCGAAGAGGAATTGCAACAACTTTAAAGAAAAGAATGAACACCCTCTGCGTAATTCTAGGTTCTCCCCGCAATTTGGCGAGAGGCGGAGGGGAAAAAACATGTTTTCATCATAGGGATTGGGCTGTTGTTGTCAAGTTATGGTTTTTCGGGAGGATGTGAAATGGAACGCCTAAATCAAAAAAATGGCAACCAAAGCAATTCGCACAAAGTCCCTTAGTCCAGGATGAATGGTTTGGAAAAGACTGGAGCATGGTTGTATACAGTGCCGGATTTACGTATAAGCTAAACAAGCTCTAGCTTGGGGCCCCACTCTCTTGGGGGCCCCCAAAAATATTTAAAGGGAAAAAACAACAACTGGATGTACATTTCCAAAATATAAGATAAAAGACAAATAAAATAAAACCTACATACAGCAACAGTGTTTTGTGTTGTGTCGGCTCCTCTGATGTGAGTCTTGGGTCCCGCCTGCTAGCCTGCTCCCTCAAATATCCCTGGTTGCTCCTTTCTATATATAGGCTGCCTACATTCTGCTATTTATCATTCTTAGTAGTTTGCATCATATATTTGCACCTCTTATTATTTCATGTTATAGCAAGTTTCCAGAGACTAGATGATGAGTCTTTGTAAACGGTGTTTCTAAAGGAACTTTTGTCCTTGCCAAATGCCAATGTTTGCATTATTAAGCTTGTTATGAATCAAAAATCATTTTAGGTTAGAGCTTAATGATTATTTAACTATTAATCTACTACTTCTTCATTGTATTTCACTATTAATATACTTCTTATTAATTGTATTTCAGTTCAACAACGACTTTGATAAACTACATATTTTGCTATGTGCAAATGGTATGTGCTTTGGATACCTGTTAGGTCCATAAATGACCATATAGCATATATTCAACACAAAAAACAGCAGCAATTTGTTGTTGACAGCTTGACATATAAAGGGCCAAATTACCTTCAGTAGCTGAGGGCCACACCAAAACTCAATCTGGCCCTGCTAAGCAGACAAAAACATTAGCAGGATCTCTGTAACTCTTGTAATGTAACAAACACTATGGACAATATGGATAGATACAACATATAGATTATGAAATAATACACAGTTGAAAATGTTGACAATAGGACCCATGGAGGGGATGGTGGGAAGTCGAGAGATTCAGATAGATAGATAGATAGATAGATAGATAGATAGATAGATAGATATGGATAGGTATTTGGCACTGTTACAACTTGGCATTTGTCAAATCAAATAAAAACGATTTTTCTTTAAAAAAGATAAAATATTCCCTCATTTCTGCAACATCTGTCCTGCGATCAAATCTTGGGAATTTCACTAAGCAGGTGCTGGCTGCAACTGTTGGGAGTTGTAGCACAGACTGCCCAGAGGGCACCAGCTTAGCAACACCCGGCTGCAAGACAGGAAAGTAGCCCAGGGCTTCGAGATCTGATGCACCGATTTTGGGGTTGAAGAGAGAAAAACAAGGGGAAGATCATCCGCCTAACGCATCCTTAGCACGAGGCAGCTGCTCTGTATACGCAGATGCGAAATTGGGTAACGACAACACAGACCACGGGGACTGACACAATTGTTGTGGCTGGGACCTGCGGTACGGGGAGGTGTACAAATTTAATAGTGATACTTCCTTTTTAAGTTCCTTCGAGTTACACGCTGTGCTTTAAAAATCAACACAGATTTGGAGATTTTAAAACAGAAACATAGATTTGGAGATATAAGGGAGGGAATGCGTCAGATAACCATGAAATGAATTAATTAGCAAAGGTAATATAAGCAGGTATGTTTGCTTTTGTTTTGTTTTTCGAGGGCACATTGTAGTCTGCAAAGGTTGAAAACGCAGAATCAGGAATTTAACGGTGCAGCCCAACGCAGGTTGACTCAGAAGCAGGGACGTGGTGGTGGAATTCAGTGAGGTTTGCATTTTCCAGAGAAATTCAGTTTTAAAATGTGAACCAACCTATGCTCCAAAACAATACAGAAACGAAAGCACAACCGTCTTTTGAAATTTGCACTGTTTTGAATTTTGCAGTGTACAAACAAATGCACAGACAAGGGTGAACTGTGTATATATTAGTGCTTGTACTGGTAAAAATAACATTAAAATGCATTCCATTCTGCAATATCGCTTTGCAAAAAAAGTGCATCTTGTGAGAATTTTGGACTAAAAGTGGTGGCGAATTCTCAGGAGGACGTTGTTCTAAAATATCCACAAACTGATGTGGAAATACGGAGAACTGTAAAAATGAGAAGTAGAGATAATTAATCCACATTTACTCTCTCCTACTCTATAGATAAAATACAAGTGAAACAGAAAGATTCTGAAGACATAAGGGATTTATTTTGAAGAGATAAGGGTCTGGTTACAATTTCACCAATTAAATTATACTTTCTCTTAAGGTTTCAAAAAGATCTGTTTAAAAACAATCCTAAACTACTGTTGAAAATGTACAGATTGCTTTTGGGGTCGTATACAAAAGATGAACAGGTTAAACCCGTAATGATATACTGGGCAAGGGATCTGGGGCATAATATTCGGCTTCCAGATTGGGAAAGGTTATGGAAAACAGACTTGAAATTGTACGGTAAAAGAAAACGATATGAAAACGATGTACGGGTGGTACATCAAGAGAAAAACAAGGGGAAGATCGTCAGCCTAACGCATCCTTGCACGAGTCAGCTGTTCTGTATACGCAGGTGTGGAATTGGGTAACGACAATACAGACCACAAGGACTGACAAAATTGTTGTGGCTTGAGGCAAGAGGAAATGGGTTACTCCACTCCGAGGGACTGGAGTGCTTCGCAGAAAAATAAGCGTTTTTTGGACGCCAGGACGCAATGATCTGCATCCATTTGTTGTTGTTGTTTAGTTGTGTCCGACTCTTCGTGACCCCTGGACCAGAGCACGCCAGGCCCTCCTGTCTTCCACTGCCTCCCGCAGTTTGGTCAAACTCATGCTGGTAGCTTCGAGAACACTGTCCCACCATCTTGTCCTCTGTCGTCCCCTTCTCCTTGTGCCCTCCATCTTTCCCAACATCAGGGTCTTTTCCAGGGAGTCTTCTCTTCTCATGAGGTGGCCAAAGTCTTGGAGCCTCAGCTTCAGGATCTGTCCTTCCAGTGAGCACTCAGGGCTGATTTCCTTCCGAATGGAGAGGTTTGATCTTCTTGCAGTCCATGGGACTCTCCAGAGTCTCCTCCAGCACCAGAATTCAAAAGCATCCATTCTTCGGCGATCAGCCTTCTTGATGGTCCAGCTCTCACTTCCATATATCACTATCTGCATCCATATCCTTCTTGAAATGTAAATTCCTGATCTCTGCTGAGTCTACATTGCAGGGTTGTTGCTGCGAGCATCTGTGGAGGGTCTTGGGATGCCGTGAGCTCCTTGCGGGGGCTCTGGGCCAAACATGAATGACTAAGAAACACAGAAGTTGAGAATGAAGGGAGAGATTCAGATGAGGGACTTCCAGCCAGGGCCCTCTTTACCCGGGGGCACCCGGCACCCGCTGCTGAAGCCACCTAAGCTCTTAACTATCTACCTCATGGGTAGGCAACCTAAGGCCCGGGGGCCAAATCCGGCCCAATCGCCTTCTCAATCCAGACAGTCCGGGAATCAGCATGTTTTTACATGAGTAGAATGTGTGCTTTTATTACAAATGCATCTCTGGGTTATTTGTGGGGCATTGGAATTCATTCATTTTTCTTCTTCTTCAAAATATAGTCCGGCCCCCCACAAGGTCTGAGGGACAGTGGACCGGCCCCCTGCTGAAAAAGTTTGCTGACCCCTCTCGGTCTTATCCGTATTGAACTTCAGTTCAGGCAAGCAAGTCTGGGGAACTACCTGCTACTAGAACATGTGATATAAAGGTTAGTTTTGAAAGCCAAGAGGTGGGAGGGAAGGAAGTCAATAGGATCTAAAGGGCCAAAGAGGTAAAGTGGAAATAATGATGTGATTATATACGATTAAATGGAAAATGAATAAAAATGTTTTTTAAAAAAAAAATAGGCTGAAAGGATATTTTGCAAATAACGGCAACAGAAAAAAATCGAACCGATTTTTGCCCCGCCCCGAAAAACGTTATTTCTTTAGAAATGTTGTGCAATCTGAGAGTTTGGAAAGATGAACCCAGAACCCAGGACTCAGATTCATGGGTTTTCTGGACTTCTACAGAATCGATGAGGCAAGAATGTCACAAGGAATTGTGGACAGGAAGGATGTTGAGTGGAGTCTCACCTATAAAAAGAGGACCAGAGATGCTTTTTACTACAGAGAGAAACAAGACAAGGACAGACGGACAAGGACAGACGGACAAGACCCTTTTGGCTGGAAGAGAGGTATGTTGCATTTTGGGGAACTGAAAGCCATATTGGAGAGAGTTTGGGAACACGAGAAAAAAATATTGGTGGGGTATCTGGGATGCGGTTAAAAGATTCTCACCCTTTTGACATCAGACTCTGCCTGGGTGTGCATTTGGCAAAGACTTCGTCTTCCAACATTAACATTTCTTCAGCTATCCCAAGTGGTAAATTTCATTTTTCATCACTCAGACATGACCCTTCAAGCAGGTGAGTTGGGGCGACGCTGACTTCTGATGCCGCCATTTGAAACGAGGAGCTGAGTTCTGGGTGGAGACGTTCCGATTTAATTATTCAGAATCAGTCGTTTCAAAATACGGGGTTGAAAAGAGGCGGAAGGAGTTACCTCCTGAAATGTAAGCCCCTCCTGTGAAACTCCCTGCCACATGATATTTTTATCGACCAACTAAGAAGGAAACAAGCAGATAAATAAAGTACATGGGGCATTGATTCAAGGGGGGGCATATCTGGGACGAGGTTAAAATTGAAATGATCCTCTTCCTGTGAAAAAAGACTCTCCCCCTGTTGATATCAGACAGTCTTTATACTTCATATAAAATATTAGCATTTGTATCCCAAGTGGTGGGTTTTGTTTTCATTGGCTAATAATAATAATAATAATAATAATAATAATAAATTTTATTTATACTCCGCCCTCCCCAGCCAAGACCAGGCTCAGGGCAGCTAACAACCAATAATAAAAACAAGTTGATTAAAATACAACTTAAAAAACAAGATTAAAATACAACATTAAAAGGCTCAGAAACAAGCCTTTAAGCAGGGGAGTGGGGGCTATGCTGAATTTTGACGCCGGCGTTTGAAACGACGAGCCCAATTCTGCGACAGAGGCAGAATTTGTTTGTTTCCGTTATTCAGAACCGGCTGTTTCAAAAGAGGAGGTTGAAAAGAGGCGAAATGAATATCGCCCCAGTTGTCCACATGCTATAAGCGGAAATCATTAGGCAATGGAGTGGAAGTATTCCTTCTCCTTAAATGCACAAACCAACTGTGGAACTCCTTGCCACAAGAAATTCCAGTGGCCCACTAGCAAAATAAGTGAAATCGACAGGGATGATTTCTAGAGGGGGCGAACTGGCTTTCCACTTTTCTCGCTGTAAAGATGAATGAGTCCTACGGGGGGGAAAGCAAATATTGAGTGACGACGCTTTGGTCTCCTAGGTAGAGATGCTTCACCTGTGGGTGGTGGCCCTGACCGGGCTGGTCTTCCTGACACCCCTCGTCGCAGCGCAGGATCCTGCCCTCAACAATGCCTGGAATCTCTGGCAAAGAACCCATCCGAGAATATATGCCAAGGTGAGTTTTGCTCCCTGCTTCTGTGTCGAAACTTATGCAACCTGAGCCGTGTTCTCCTGAGCGTGTACAGAGTACCATTTTGGGAACCACGTTACGGTAACTAAGTATTTGCACCGGATTTGAAATTTTGGAGTCCCAAAAGTCCCGCTGGCTTCAACAAGGCGACCGCTCTGGGTTCTATAGGGAGTGCAGCCCATAGGCAGAAAGATGCCCTTTGCAGTAGCCAGGAAAGGGGTCTCAAAGGGAACTCTCTGCCTTCCAACACAAGGCGGGCTCGAGGTCACAAAAAAACTGCGCATGCTCAGAGGCACTCGCTTCTCCAGTCCTACTGCATCCCAGCGCAGACAAATCCTGGCTATTTCCTGGCGCTCAGTTCCCGTGGCCAACTGGTGGTGGCTTTCAAGCCGGGGAGGGGGGTGGATGAATGAATCTTGATTTGCGTCAGCCATTGGCCATAGCAAATTCTGATTGTCCCAGCTAAAAGCCTTGCCACCTTTGCTATCACCTGCTCATCTGGATCTGCCAAGAGAAAGGACACTTTCTTCTTTCTTTCTTTCTTTCTTTCTTTCTCTCTCTCTCTCTCTCTCTCTCTCTCTCTCTCTCTCTTTCTCTCTCTCCTTCACTCTCTTTCTCACTTTCTCTTTCTCTCTCTCTCTCTCTCTTTCTCTTTCTTTCTCTCTCTCTTCTCCATCTCTCTCTCTCTTCCTCTTCCTCTCTCTCTCTCTTTCTCTGTCTTTCTCTCTCTCTTCTCCATCTCTCTCTCTCCTCTTCCTCTCTCTCTCTCTTTCTCTGTCTTTCTCTCTCTCTCCTCCATCTCTTTCTCTCCCCCCCCCCATCTTGATCTGCCAAGAGAAAGGTCACTGGGGTAGTGGCTGGGTGACCCAGAATGGGCGATAAAAGAGGGGTGATAATCTCATTCCTCAAGTCTTTATCAAGAGGGCAAGCCAGAAGGGCATGTGCCACCGATTCGGGACGGCCGTCTCCGCAGGGGCGTTTTTCGTGCGGCACCTGTTGGCATCGTCCCTCAAGTCCAGCCAAGGGCAAGACATTCAATCTTGCAAGAGTCAAAGCGCGTCTGTATTTTAGAATTGCCCAGTTATGCAGAGAGGGTGCCAGAGAGTCAAAATGGGAAGGTGGAAAATAGTCACACCATGGGCAAAATCTCCAAGTTGTTCCGACGCTCGATATCATTTAGGCGCTGACAAATTAGACGGTTTGCTTTACTAACACACACACACACCCCGGCGGGGGGTCGTATATGATGTGCAGCCTTAACAATTTCGTCTTCTCACCAGGGGGAAGAGTATCTCCGCAGAAGTTTGTGGGAGAGCAACCTGAAAAAGATTGAACAGCACAACCGCGAGGCCGCCCAGGGAAAACACACTTATCGGCTGGCAATGAACCGGTTTGGGGACTGGGTAAGGAAACACATATCGTGGGAACTGCGGGCGGCTAATTCTCCCTCGGCCCAAACTGGCTGTGCCCTGACTCTGACATTCTGCCTGTCTTCTGCTCCAGTTTTCAATCAGTCGACTTCTACACACCTCCATTCTCTCAGGGACTAGGACTTCCCTTGATCTGGACACTAGACTTCTGTTGATGCAGCCTAGAATAGCAATAGCTTTTTTTGCATTATTATTATTATTATTATTATTATTATTATATATATATATATATATATTTATGATCTGTGATATTGTGTGTGTTGACGCTGGTCTGTGACCGTATTAATAAATTCATTCATTCATTCATTCATTCATTCATTCATACCCTGCCCATCTGGCTGGGTTTTCCCAGCCACTCTGGGCGGCTCCCAACAGAACACTAAAAACAAAATAAGAACTTCAGGCATTAAAAGCTTCCCTAAACAGGGCTGCCTTCAGATGTTGATCACAACAAAAAAACGATGCAGCCATTCTCAGAGTGAAGGCTCTTCCAATTAAGCTTCCCTTTTTAATTTTTTTTAATTGCAAAACAGTTTACATAAAACAGCAAAGGCAAAAAAAAGAACAGTATGTCAATAACAACTACACACACACACACACACACACACTAACAACAAATCTTCTAACTTCACAGACACTTTTGACTTCCGATTCACCTTATTGTGCTTTCCACATATTCTTAGCCTATACGCACTTCCTGTTATATCTATTGCATATCACGAAGAAATTTCTAAGTTTCTAGCATTCCTTAATAGCCAAGATTCAATCTGAACCTGTCAGGAGATCTGCATTTTCGCAATATCGTTTTATATATTGTCCATTCTTTACTCACTTTCTGATTTATGTTTCCTCTTATTCTCCCAGTCGTTTTTGCAAGTTCCCAGTATTCTATTCTGCCGGTCAAACTTTGTGGGAATTAAGTCACCTTTCCAGTTTTTTGCTGTTAGGATTCTAGCCGCCACAGTCGCGTACACAAAGATGGTTCTATAAAATTTTTGTCTTTCAATCGACATGATGCCTAACAGAAAGGCTTCGGGGGGAGGGGGGTTTCGAAGGAGAATTTTAAAATCTTTTAAAGTTGATTGTATATTATATCGCAGAATTCTCGTATCCTTCCCCCCGGGTCACCTCTGCCAGTTATCTCTCTCTTTCTGTTCTTCTCCTCCTAGCTGTTCCCAACTCAGCTCTACCGAGCTGTTGCTTTCTGAACTATGCCCCTCTGCAAACCAAGTCTCTAAATCTATACTGCTCCACTTTTCCTGGGCAGCTTCCGGAACCTGGTCAGGAGCAGGGAAAGGGAGGGGTTCCTATAATTCCTCGCCAGACCTGTAATCCTCAGTCTGGTCTCTGACACATGTCATATCTTGCTCACTGTAGCGGGTCGAGGGTTAGGATTGCACCCCAAAACTTCCAGCACAGCCAGGCGACATGTCCACTAAGGGCCCGACTGGCTCATTGCTTGATCTGTGACACAGGAGGAGTTCGGGGACGACGACACACAACTCCTGATGATTTTGCGCTGATGACTTTGGTCTCCTCCCCAGACCGACGGAGAGTTCAAGCAGAAGATGACCGGATTTCGATTTAACCAGACCAGACGACGCAATGACAACGCAGAATTCTTCAGAAAACTCTCTGAACGGCAGTCTCCCGATTTTGTGGACTGGCGCAGAAAAGGTTACGTGACCCCAGTGAAAGACCAGGTGGGTTGAAGGCTACAGGTGAAGATTCAGATGTCCACGTCAGAGGCTTGCAGTTTGCTACTGCGATCAGAATTGTGTTTATTTGCTTGTTTCTAAAGTTTAATGGATTGGTTTTCAAAAGTAGAAATGTCTGCAGCTTCCCCTGCCCCATTTATTGACATACATATATATATCTATTACAGTCGTACCTCGGAAGTTGAACGGAATCCGTTCCGGAAGTCCGTCCGACTTCCAAAACGTTCGGAAACCAAGGCGCGGCTTCTGATTGGCTGCAGGGAGCTCCTGCAGCCAATCAGAAGCTGTGTTGGACGTTCGGGTTCCAAAGAAAATTTGCAAACCAGAACACTCACTTCTGGGTTTGCGGCGTTCAGGAGCCAAAACGTTCGACTCGCAAGGCAACTGTATGTATAATCTTCTTTTTGTCAGAACTTGACAAAACTTGGGGCAATCAGAATAAGATTCACTATTTGACCATTGATTCAAAGCCCTAAAATGTATTTTATACAATTGACTTTTCATTTCTCTTCTTTGTATATTGTATTGTTGTTTTATTGTTATGGCCGACGGCTGATGCAAATCAAGATTCGCTCGTTCGTTTGTTCGTTCGTTCGTTCATACTGCCCTCCCCACTCTCACCCCCAAGACCTCCTTCTGGAAATGGTGGTATTTCATTTTCAACGTCCGCATTTGACACCCAACGGTCCCTCTCCATTTATTTCCCTGCAGGGCGACTGTGGCAGCTGCTGGGCGTTCAGTGCCACAGGAGCGCTGGAAGCCCTGCACTTCAAAAAGACGAAGCAGCTGGTGTCTCTGAGCGAGCAAAACCTCATAGACTGCTCCAGGAAAGAGGGAAACGAGGGCTGCCGCGGAGGCTACCCGAGCCATGCCTTTGAATACGTGAAGCGAAAAGGCATCAACTCTGAGCACTCCTATCCCTACGAGGCGGAGGTAAATAACGCAGGCAAGGCCTGCCACTTTTGCAATCACGGGCGCAAGGTTAAAGAAAACCTTATTTCCTCCACCTTTCCTTTCTCCTCCCCTTCCTTCCTGTTTTCCTCGTTTCTATCCTAAAGCCATGTCCCAGTGAAACAGCCGTGCCTATTCACTGTTGAACCGTATACGGCGGAACCTCGGTTTTCGAACGTAACCCGGAAACGGAAGACCGTTTGGCTTCCGAGACGTTTGAAAACCAAAAACGGTTGTAGGTTTGCGAGAAGTTTTGTAAGGTGGACTATTTGAAATATTGCCAAAAAAAGGTAACGAGGGGGACTGTTAGTTAAGATAGTTAAAGGCAATAGGAATCTAAGAAATGCAGAATAAGTGATAAGAACGGAGGATCATCAGAAGGGCTGGTGGAAGTCCAAAAAGATTGTATAAGAAGTGAGATTCCAGCACTGATTTGAACTCATTTTGTACATTTCTGCAATTCTACTCGGTGTTAGATACCAATGACACGTCATTTTCCTATAGTTTTCTTTCAGCGAACAGCAGGCAGCCCATTTCCTCTCCTCTTTCCATCACTTTTCCCAAGATGGAAGTTGGATATTATACCCCAAATCTCTAGCCCAATGTATCACCACTGCCTTGACTTCTGGGCAAAAGGTTCCTGCGTTGCAAGGATCCTTTCTCTATCTCTCCTGCGCCGTTCGGATAGAGAACGTTGCCAATTTATAAAAGAGTTTAAGCCTTTTTCGTTGTCTGTTTGCAGAATGGAGCCTGTCGTTTCAAGAAATGGGACATTGCAGCAAGATGCAAGGGCTTCGTAAACATTCCAGCAGGGAATGAGAAGGTTCTGGAAAAAGCAGTGGCGTTTGAGGGCCCGGTTTCTGTTGGAGTAAACACTTTTGACTTCCGGTTTTACAGTCACGGTAAGGTCCCCTTTTGGGAAACGATGAGACTGTTGTTGCTGCAATGGAGAAGTAAACTATTGGGTAGCTTTGGAAGCAGAGTAGTCATCTATGCAGGAGATTTTGGGGAATATTGTGTATTCCAGCCAACTACGGCCACACAAAGGGAATTTGCTCCAGCTCTCTTTTAAATCAGAACCAATGAAGGTGGTGAAGGTCCTGTGTGAGTGTCTGGAGAGGGTTGGAGGATGGATGGCGGCTAACAGATTGAGGTTGAATCCTGACAAGACAGAAGGACTGTTTTTGGGGGGACAGGGGGTGGGCGGGTGGGGGGACAGGGGCCGGGTGGGTGTGGGGACTCCCTGGTCCTGAATGGGGTAACTGTGCCCCTGAAGGACCAGGTGCACAGCCTGGGAGTCATTTTGGACTCACAGCTGTCCATGGAGGAGCAGGTCAATTCTGTGTCCAGGGCAGCTCCATCTGGTATGCAGGATGAGACCCTCCCTGCCCACAGACTGTCTGGCCAGAGTGGTGCATGCTCTGGTTATCTCCCGCTTGGACTACTGCCATGCGTTCTACGTGGGGCTACCTTTGAAGGTGACCCGGAAACTACAACTAATCCAGAATGTGGCAACCAGACTGGGGACTGGGAGCAGCCACCGAGACCATATAACACTGGTCCTGAAAGGCTCACATCGGCTCCCAGGACGTTTCCAAACATAATTCAAAGTGTTGGTGCTGACCTTGAAAGCCCTAAACGGCCCAGTAGACCTGAAGGAGCGTCTCCACCCCGGACACTGGGGTCCATCTCCTGAGGGCCTTCCGGCGGTTCCCTCCCTGCTGGAACAGACACTTGTTCCACAACGTGCCAGAGCTATGTTCTCTGTTTTTCCTCCTCTGCCAGGAATCTACAATAACCGCCAATGCGGCGACCACCTAGACCATGCGATGCTGGCCGTTGGCTACGGGTTCAAGAGACATCAAGGCCAGAGACTGGTTGACTACTGGATCCTAAAGAACAGGTGAGAAAGAGGGGCTTGAGGCTCCCCACAAGGTCTGGGGGACAGCGGACCGGCCCCCTGCTGAAAAAGTTTGCTGGCCCCTGCTTAGAGGCTCTCACCATCTCTCAATTCCTATTTCCCTCCCTCAGCTGGGGCTCGGATTGGGGTGAACATGGCTACATGAAGATGCAGAAAGGAGTCAACCTCTGCGGAATAGCAGAGGATGCAAGTTATCCCTTCTAACCAGCCGTCGTTTCCTCGTCTACTGGATCCATGCAGTTTGCACCAGCGAAACCTCAGCATTTATCGAGCCCCTTCCTTCCTCCTTTCTCCTCCTTTCTCCTTCCTTCCTTCCTTTCTCTTCCTTCCTCCTCCTCCTTTCTCCTTCCTTCCTTCCTTCCTTCCTTCCTTCCTTTCTTCCTTCCTTTCTCCTCCTCCTCCTTTCTCCGTGGCTTCCGGACAGAGCAAAAAAAATCAAGTTCTCCAATCCAACTCCGTAGGCTGCATGTCAAGTTTTCAAATTTGGTTCTTTTCAAAACAATAAAAACCATGTATTTGTGCACTTTGAGCGAATGTTTCTTGCTTTGATCCGCTGCTGTTGATGAAATCGGCTCGAGTTCAAGTCTTGCAGCGAAAATGTCTTCTATTGACCTGTGTTTACTACAGTCATACCTCGGGTTACAGACACTTCAGGTTGCGTTTACAGACCCGCCAAAACCCGGAAGTACTGGATCTCTGGGCGGCTTCCAACAAAATCTTAAAATACAGTAATGCATCAAACATTAGAAAGCTTCCCTAAATTTAAATGCCTGTCTCCTTCGCATAGTAGTATTTTTAGCCACGGCCTCTGAAACAGAAGTCGCCGGAAACGTGCAAATCCCAGGCAGACCTCACCCCCAAGGCTGGCTGGTGAAAGTGTGGGAATTAATGTTATCAGAACGGCTGAGCCGTCCCAGTAGCCTTCCCTGAAAAATGGCGCAAGGCGATAATTTTATCGACTTGTGGTTTCCATTTACAGCGATTGCTAACCAAACAAAACAAAAATAGCCAAACCACTTCAACCTCCCGCAATTAATAATGACTTCCTGAAGGACTTGTTGAAGCGGATGGCACATACTGGCACGTAGCAGAAATTGCCAGTGTGCCCTGGCTTGTGAGCTGTCCTTCTCTCACCTCGTAGAAAAGCCCGCCCTCCTGGGGAAAAGCCTGCAAGCGCCACACACACGCTCCACGCGGCTCGTGAAAGGGAGCGCTGAGCAGAGCCTGGGATGCAGACCGGCTCTGCTCAGCGCTCCCTTAAAATAAAATAAAAATTCTTGCATTCCCCCTCTAAAAACTAGGTGTGTCTTGTGGTCAGGTGAGTCTTATGGAGTGAAAAATACAGTTAGTTGTTGTTTAGTCGTTTAGTGGTGTCCGCCTCTTCGTGACCCCCTGGACCAGAGCACGCCAGGCCCTCCTGTCTTCCACTGCCTCCCACAGTTTGGTCAAACTCATGCTGGTAGCTTCGAGAACACTGTCCCACCATCTTGTCCTCCGTTGTCCCCTTCTCCTTGCGCCCTCCATCTTTCCCAACATCAGGGTCTTTTCTAGGGAGTCTTCTCTTCTCCTGAGGTGGCCAAAGTCTTGGAGCCTCAGCTTCAGGATCTGTCCTTCCAGTGAGGGCTGATTTCCTTCCGAATGGAGAGGTTTGATCTTTTTGCAGTCCAAGGGACTCTCAAGAGTCTCCTCCAGCACCATAACTCGAAAGCATCCATTCTTCGGCCATCAGCCTTCTTGATGGTCCAGCTCTCACTTCCATACATCACTACTGGGAAAACCAGAGCTTGAACTATACGGACCTTTGTTGGCAAGGTGATGTCTCTGATGAAACTAGGGAAATCCTATTGCATAGTAACAACAATAATAATGTTATTATTTATACCCCACCAATCTGACTAGGTTAGCCCCAGTCACGCTTGGCAGCTTCCAACATATATAAAAATATTATATATAAATAAGAAGACGTGTTGTGTGGGCTCCTATGGTGCAAGTCATGGGCCCCGCCTGCTCCCCTGTTCCCCAAAATGTCCCTGGTTTGCTCCTTTCTATATATAGGGTGCCGACATTCTGCATGGACTGGTTGTAACAAATACTTCGATAAAATGCATATTTTGTGATGTGCAAATGGCTCGAGATACCTATGAGGTCCACAAATGACCATATAGCATCTATTCAACACAAAAGAACAGCGGCAATTTTGTTGTGGACAAAGGGCAGCTGGACATAGAAAGGGCCCCGTTACCTTCAGGAGCTGAGGGCCACATCAAACCTAAACCCGGCCCTGCACTCAAAGCATGCTCAAAGCACACAGCGTCCCACAAAGGACCCCGGGAACTGTAGTTCACCCCTTCAAAGAGCTACAGTTCCCACACCCGTTACAAGGAACAGTTCCCAGGACGGTTTGGGAACTGTCCGTTTCTGCATTTGGGGAGAGAAGGGACTTTTTCACAAGAGGTGAATGTCCTCTGTGACCCAGAGCTACAGAAGACCCCGGACTAGGTGTAAAAAAAAAAAAAAGAGGAGATAATACTTATTTTGTTTCTCTGCACAAAAGAACAGGCCCTCTTTGCATCCCTCATTGCGGTCCGGGCAAAGTTTCCATCTGATTTTCAAGGACAATCTTAGAGTTTATCACATCCCCTCTCCCTTTATGAGGCAGGAGTTATTGCAAGGAGACATTTATCATATAATGGAATTTCAGTGGTACCTTGGAACCCAAACACTGCAAACCTGGAAGTAAGTGTTCTGGTTTGCGAACTTTTTTCAGAAGCCAAACGTGCTCCATTTTGAGTGTTACGCTGAGGTCTGTCTGTTGTTGCTATTTATTTTGCGTTTGCGTTTTTGCAGCTTTTCCATTTTGTTTTGGCAACTGCGTTGAACCCAGTTCAGCTACTGATGGATGGATTGTGTGACTGCAGTACATTGTTTATTGCTTTCATATTATGGATCTGTGGTCTCGTCAGATAGTAAAATCCGTGTTCAATGGCTGTTTTAGGGGTTGTTTTTAAAAGTCTGGAACGGATTGATCCCTTTTGCATTGCTTTCTATGGGAAAGCGCACCTTGGTTTTGGAACGCTTTGGTTTTGGAACAGAATTTCTGGAACAGATTAAGTCTGAGAACCAAGGTACCGCTGTATTCCTAAATTATTCCTAAATCTGATCCAAGTGACGCGGCCGTCATCTGCCTCACGGTGAAGGAATACCCTGCCCTGCGGCTGCCAGACATCTTCTGCCCATTTCACAAGGCTATCACCTCCAACCTTTGAAACGACTGTATAAGTACAGGATGCTGGGGTTTTTTTCCCCCATAGGAAAATAAATTGATGAGATTTTGGGCACCCACAAACTCCCGGCTGCAACTTTTCCCACTGAGTCGTGGCAAAGTAAACAGGCACACGGCGTCATTTGACCATGAAACGCCACTTCCACTCAGTCACGTTCCCAAGAACTTAAAGTGAATTGGACTCCCTCTCTATAAAAAAGGCGGTTCTGGCTCATTCTGAACCCAGGCAGGTTGAGAGGCAGACGAGATCCTAGTCTCTAGATCTTTCGATTCGGGCGAGAAGGTAAGGTTTGGCGGAAAACATTTTGAGAGTGTCTGTGAACATCAAAATAATTATTATTTATTGAATTTAAGAAGGAGTGGTAGAACATGTTGAGGCTGCACCGTGCATGGTGGAAACAGGGAAATAAGACTATTTTAGAGACGAACCAGAAAGGGTATGGCTACTACAGCATGTAAGAATAACAATAACAAATTTATTATTTATACTCCGTCCATCTGGCTGGGTTTCCCTGGCCACTCTGGGCAGCTCCCAACAGAATATTAAAATAACACAATAAAACTTCAAACTTAAAAAACTTCCCTAAACAGGGCTGCCTTCAGGTGTCTTCTGAAAGTTAGATAGTTGTCTATTTCCTTGACGTCTGCTGGGAGGGCGTTCCACAGGGTGGGCGCCACCACCGAGAAGGCCCTCTGCCTGGTTCCCTGTAATCTCGCTTCTCGCAGGGAGGGAACCGCCAGAAGGTGCTTGGAGCTGGACCTCTGGGCTGAATGATTGGGGGGGAGAGACAGGAGATCCAGGGAGGTCACCTACAATGGAACCGATCAGGAGGAGATCCGGGACCAGACCAAAGAAAGGGGCTTTCTTTGTGCCGCGCAACGCTAGCCTGTGGAATTCATGGCCACAAGGTTTTCGGAGAATATGCAGGAACGTAGGAAACTGCTACATACTGAGCCAGATTCTAAGTTCTTAAAGGGATGCGGGTGGCACTGTGGTCCAAACCACTGAGCCTCTTGGGCTTGCCGATCAGAAGGTCGGCAGTTCGAATCCCCGCAATGACGGGGTGAGCTCCCGTTGCTCGGTCCCTGTTCCTGCCAACCTAGCAGTTTGAAAGCACCTCAAAGTGCAAGTAGATAAATAGGTACCGCTCCGGCGGGAAGGTAAACGGTGTTTCCGTGCGCTGCTCTGGTTCGCCAGAAGCGGCTTAGTCCTGCTGGCCACATGACCCGGAAGCTGTACGCCGGCTCCCTTGGCCAATAAAGCGAGATGAGCGCCGCAACCCCAGATTCGGTCACGACTGGACTTAACCGTCCAGGGGGTCATTTAACATTTTTACTCCAGCCCCATAGGCCTGCAACTTTTTCTTCTAGTGTCAACTGACTAGATTTTCCCGTGTGTAGACATGCATCTGATATCTTTGGTGGCCCTGACCGGGCTGGTCTTGCTGAGGACCTTTGCTGCAGCGAGCGACCCAGCGCTGGACCAAGCCTGGAGAGACTGGAAGATGACCCACAATAAGGTTTACCGCGAGGTGAGTCCCCTCTTAACATATCCCCCAACCCCTTCTCCAGCTGGTCATGAAATTAGAGCAACCAAATTGTGCTCCCAGCAGGGTGGGTCAAAATCAACAAATTTTTTTAAATGATTTTTAAAAAAAATTAAATCGGACTTTTAAAATAAGATGCTTTTGGAGGAAAAATCTTTCTAAAGATTTTCTGTTTAAGTTACATTAAAGTCCAAAGGCTATTCATGAGGAAATAACAATTTAAGTTTTTCATGTGTGCTCAAACTCAGTCTAAGAGGTTTTTTTTAATAAGAAAAATGCTTAACCTCATCAGTTAACAAACACAGATACATATGCTATACTGTTATTGTTTTAGTTAATTAGTTTAAATGGTTATTAAGGAAAGGATTGTTTTTCTCCTTCTGATAAAGCACAGCAGAAAAGTTGTCCAAATATAAACAGCTAACTTATTAAACCTCACAATGATTTCATAATTATCTGCCAGTGTATCTGCCAGTGGAACCAAATCAGTAATTTTTGATACAACTGTAAAAACTACTCTGAAAATTTATTATTCCAAAAATGAAGCCTTCATCTGGTTGTAAACATTAAGATGGTACCAGCAAGAATGAGTCGTAAAAAATGATGTAAATCAAGTCTTACTGACTAGTGATTTAAATCGTGGTTTAAATCGATGTGATTTAAATCAAATCTACCCTGGCTGTTAGCATCATTTCCTGGAGGTGGGCTCTGGCCTCAAGGTCTCCTAAGGTCCTTTTTGGGGAAGTTGTGGTCCTGGACTGTGTCCATAGTTCTCAGCCAAGTGTCTTCCTTGCAGAGGAACTCAGAGAACCACCGGAGAACCATATGGGAAGAGAACTTCCGGATGATTGAAAAGCACAACCGTGAAGCTTCCCGGGGGAAACATTCCTATCGGATGGCAATGAACCACCTGGGAGATTTGGTAAGAGTTCAGCTCATATCACGAACTAGGTAATCTTCGCTTGATGCCTCAAATCACCAAAGGATTCACGACAGAGGGAGGCGAAGTTTGAGCTCAGGGTTTTGCCAGCTGACTGATCAATTCATCACCATCATCCTTTTTAATTTGTATACCGTCCTTCTATCTTACAATTCTCAAGGCGGTTTACAAGCTGACTTGAAGAACAATCTAATGCAATACAAAAATGTGATGATAAAAGAACTTTAAAACAGGCAACCTACCTCAAAAAAGTAACATTCAACAATCATTAGAATAGTCTAAAATGATAATATCAACATATAAAAGTTAAACAGAAATCCACTCAACAGTTACAATAAATAATATCTAAACTAGAATCACATATCATCGCAGGCGCTTTGAGCTCAATAAGAGCTGCGCTGGGGGGCAGCCCTGCTTTGGGACGTTTTTAACATTTGACGTCTTATTTGTGTTTTTATATGTGATGGAAGTCGCCCAGGTTTTGCTGGGGAAACCCAGCCAGATGTGCGGGGTATAAATACTAAAATTGCTAGCACTGTACTAATAATAGTAATGATTTATTACTTATAGCCTGCCCATCTGGCTGGGCTTCCCCAGCCACTCCGGGCGGCTCCCAACAGAATATTAAAAACACAATAAAACATCAAACATTAAAAACTTCCCTAAACAGGGCTGCCTTCAGAAGTCTTCTACAAGTCAGATAGTTGGTTATTTCCTTGGCATCTGATGGGATGGCGTTCCACAGGGCAGGCGCCACCACCGAGAAGGCCCTGTGCCTTGTTCCCTGTAACCTCGCAGGGAGGGAACCGCCAGAAGACCCTTGAGAGGAGGACCCCGGTGTACAGGGTGGAGACGCTCCTTCAGGGATACTGGGCCAAGGCTGTTTAGGGCTTTCAAGGTCAGCATCATTACTTTGAATTGTGCTCGGAAATGTCCTGGGAGCCAATGTAGGTCTTTTAGGACCAGTGTTACATGGCCTTGGTGGCCGCTCCGTCCCTAGTCTGACTGCCGCATTCTGGATTAGTTGTGGTTTCCAGGTCACCTTCAAAGGCAGCCCCACGTAGAGCGCATGGCAATAGTCCAAGTGAGCGATAACCAGAGCATGGACCACTCTGGCCAGACAGTCCGGGAGCAGGGAGGGTCTCATCCTGCATACCAGAGGGTGCTGGCAGACAGCCGCCCTGGACACAGAATTGACCTGTGCCTCCATGGACAGCTGTCAGTCCAAAATGACCCCCAGGCTGCGCACCTGGTCCTTCAGGGGTACAGTGACCCCATTCAGGACCAGGGAGTCCCCCACACCTGCCCACCCTCTGTCCCCCAAAACAGTCCTTCTGTCTTGTCAGGATTCAACCCCAATCTGTTAGCCGCCATCCATCCTCCAACCGCCTCCAGACACTCACACAGGACATTCACTGCCATTGTTGTTGTTACAACTACTACTTGTCTCTCCTCCCCAGACTAAAGCAGAGTTCATGGAGAGGCTGAATGGACTCAGCCCTGAACTGCCCAGAGAACGTGGTCGGAGAACAACATTGTTCCAAAAATCTGACAACCCGTCTCTTCCTTCCTCTGTGGACTGGCGCTCCAAAGGCTATGTCACCCCAGTGAAAGATCAGGTGAGTGTAGCATCGGCACTTGGGAAGGCTTAAATGACCAAAGCCAGGGATTCAAAGTTGGCTACAATTATGAGAATCCCTCCATTGTGGGGAGGGATGAAAGTAGGCGCCATTTCTCCGCCTGCCCCCAATGCATCCCGTCCACTGCCTGCTTCTAGCCTGCTGTGATTCAACTTGTGCCAAAGAAAATGGTTTCGTTTCACTTCCCAGGAGCAGCAGGACAGTATAGATTTGTAACAGTGGTTTGCAGAGGGACATAGTTCAGAAGGCAGAAGCTGGGAAATACCAGATGGGGAACAGCTAGGAGAAGAAACCCTGGAAGAGAAAGGGTTAACAGATTCATCAGGATCAGACCGGGTTTTTACCAGGTCGCCAAATGAAGAACAACGTAAGGAATATAACAGATATTATTGAATATCTGGAAGTAAGAAACGAGAAACAAGCTGCCTTATTGTTTATCGATGCTGAAAAGGCCTTTGACAACGTTTCATGGAATTTTATGAAAAAGATGATAGAAAAAACAAATTTTGGGGAATCATTTGGGAGAGGAATAGAAGTGATGTAGCTTAATAGGGATGGAAGGGGGTGTAATCCTTAACTGGGAGCACCACCATTCCTAGGAGATGTATTCTTTGTTCTCTCGCTGTGATTATTAGAGTTTCTAACTGGTAAGAAGACTCCTTTTCCTTTCTTCTGCTTATCTAATGCCATGGGGGGAGGAAGCTGATTCCCTGAAGCCTGACACAAATCGCTTGTCCCTTTTCACAGGGTAGCTGCGGGTCTTGCTGGGCGTTCAGTGCCACCGGAGCCCTGGAAGGTTATCTCGCCCGGACAACTGGCAGGCTGGTCTCATTGAGCGAACAAAACCTGGTCGACTGCTCCTGGAAGCAGGGCAACCAAGGCTGCAATGGCGGGTGGCCAAGCTGGGCTTTCCAATACGTGATGGATAACCACGGACTCGACTCGGAACAAAGCTACCCCTACGTCGGACAGGTAACCTCCAGACGAAACCTACCATTCTGTGATCCTGTGGCCTGTTCGCCACGCTCAACAGAATCTCTTTTCTTTCTCCGTCTTCACTCCTTTGGGGCCAAACTTTAGTTAGGTACAGAGGATAATTCTTTTATTAAGTTTGAACTGAAGGGGCTTAACCCACCTCATCGGCACTTTCAGAAGTACAGTGGTACCTCGGGTTACATACGCTTCAGGTTACAGACTCCGCTAACCCAGAAATAGTGCTTCAGGTTAAGAACTTTGCTTCAGGATGAGAACAGAAATCGTGCTCTGGCGCGGCGGCAGCGGGAGGCCCCATTAGCTAAAGTGGTGCTTCAGGTTAAGAACAGTTTCAGGTTAAGAACGGACCTCAGGAACGAATTACGTACTTAACCCGAGGTACCACTGTAATACGGGACCCAAAACACTGCCATTCTTCAACATTCTCTATTCCCTAAATACTGCAACATGGTCCGTCCCCCTGTCCCCCAATCAAGTAATGTGCCCAAGGTTGAATGTACTGTGTTAGTATATTGGTGAAAAAATGTAGAATTTGTACTGTTAAAACGGGAAAGGGTCAAACCATTGTGAGAGGTGTTGAAATTTTCGAAGGTTGGATAGTTACAACGGAATGGTCTTGGTGGTGGGGTGCACAATTTTTATTCTTATTTATTTACAATGCTTTTTGCTAAAGAAATTTGGCAAAACTTGGGTGTCGTCTTATACATGGATAGCGAATGCGGGGGGGGTGCGATTAATGGCAGCAGCAAGCAGGAGATTGGCAGCGGCGATTGGGCGGGTGATTGGTGGCTGCAGCAAGGCCTGCTGGCGATTGGCTGCGGCCGTGGCAAGTGGGCTGAGCAATCGGCAGTGGCGGGCAGGCGGGGGAGCGATTGGCGGAAGTGACCTCCCCCACGCCCCCCCCAAAAAGCTAAACAACTTAATTTTGGGTTATAGAAAATAGGGGGCGTCTTATACATGGGGGCGTCTTATACGTGGTAAAATACGGCAATTGCTTGCTGTTTCTTTGCAGGATCTAGCTTGTACGTACAAATCCGCAGACCTCGCAGTCAGGATCAACGGCTACGTGGATATCCCAAGCAACGATGAGGCGGCCCTCCAGGAAGCTGTTGCCACTTATGGGCCAGTTACTGTGGCCCTGGACGCCTCAGACTTCCACTTTTACAGCTCAGGTAAAATTCTGGAGGAATGCAGCGGCGAGAAAACTCCCTGGGTTGCATTTAAAACATATAGGGAATCTGGAGATTCGGGGTTTATGATCCACCATAGGAAAATAACGAGAGCTCATTGACCCCTATAGTCCAGCTTCCTGTCCTCACAGCAGCCAACCAGATGCCCACATCAGTATCCCAAACCCAGAACCTGAGGTCAACAGCCACACTCCCCAGTTGTGATCCCTGGGAACTGGTTTTTGAAGACAGGAGAAGCAGAGCAAAGCAGACCCTCCAGGTGTCCCTGCTATCCAGGGACAGTCCCAGATTTACAGAAGCCATCTGGTTTCATATTTGACCCCGGAAGTCCCACTTTTCCTTGGGACGCCCCTATTTTCAGGGGAGAAACGTTGGAGGGGATGGAATAGGACGTCCCTATTTTCAGGGGAGAAACGTTGGAGGGGATGGAATAGGACGTCCCTCTTTTCAGGGGAGAAACGTTGGAGGGGATGGAATAGAACGCCCATCTTTTCAGGGGAGAAACGTCGGAGGGGATGGAATAGGACATCCCTATTTTCAGGGGAGAAACGTCGGAGGGGATGGAATAGGACGTCCCTATTTTCAGGGGATGGGGTTATGCAACACAAACACCCCAAGCCACGGAGACAAGTAACGATCGGCCCTTAAATTTGTTTCCCCTCCATCCAGGAGTCTTTGACTACCCCAACTGCGGGACATCCTTGAACCACGCCGTCCTGGCAGTCGGCTACGGGACTCAGAACGGGACCCCTTATTGGATCATAAAGAACAGGTAGGGTGGAGAGCCCGGGTGCCAGAAATTGATGTGCAATGCTGTGGGAGCTTATTGATTGTTGTCGTGGAGGGTGAGGAGAGGCTTTGCCCGGCCACACGGGGGAAATTGGGGTACCTGGGTAGACGGAGTGTCCACATTACACCTAGGGGGTCCCAGATCCAAGCCCTCACATTTCCAGGGCACGCTGGGTGAGACTTCTGCCTAAATTCCTGGAGCTGCCACCATAACCAGTCAGAATGGACAATACTGAGCTAAACAGGCCAATGCAAGCTTAGGTAAAGGTAAAGGGACCCCTGACCATCAGGTCCAGTCGTGACCGACTCTGGGGTTGCGGCGCTCATCTCGCTTTATTGGCCAAGGGAGCGGCGTACAGCTTCCGGGTCATGTGGCCAGCAGGACTAAGCCGCTTCTGGCGAACCAGAGCAGCGCATGGAAACGCCGTTTACCTTCCCGCCGGAGCGGTACCTATTTATCTACTTGCACTTTGAGGTGCTTTTGAACTGCTAGGTTGGCAGGAGCAGGGACCGAGCAACGGGAGCTCACCCCGTCGTGGGGATTCGAACCGACCTTCTGATCAGCAAGTCCTAGGCTCTGTGGTTTAACCCACAGCGCCACCCGCGTCCCAATGCAAGCTTCCTTATACCCGAATTTCATACAGATATGCACTCACTGGAGAAGTGTTTATGAACTTTCACAAAGGGGTTCAAAGTAGAAAAAACCAGTCACAAATCGCTGCAGAAATGGGGAGAACTGAATTTTAGACTGGAAGGATGTGAAACAAAGGGAAGCAAAACTAACAGGTCCATGCATCCTTCGTCTGATCCCACCTGGGAGTCATCCCACTCGCCTCTTGTTGCTTTCTGAAACTACGACTTATGGAGACTCTCTCCCTATCTTCCTTTCACAGCTGGGGTCCCGAATGGGGTGAAGGTGGCTACATTCTGCTGAAGAGAGGATCCAACCAATGCGGTGTAGCAGAGGTCGCTAGTTACCCGGTGTAACCAGCTGTGGGTCCACAATCCTTCCTTCGGGGACTTTCCATCCGTCAGCGCAACAAACCATCAGGATCACTGACCTTCCCCTGCACCTCTTTATCTGGTGCTTACCAAACAGAACAGAAACGACATTCAGGAAGCAAATCATGTCAAGCACCTCCTTGATATTTTTAACAATAAAAGATTTGAGCATGTGGTTTGGCTGTTTGGAGCGAGTACTTGCATAAACGTCTGCGTTTCCTGGAGGTTGCGTTCGGTTTGAACGGGGGTCCCTACCCTCAGGGACACAACTTCCCCTGAACTTCAGCTACAAGTTAAACCTCGGTTGTTGAACGTAATCCGTTCCGTAAGACTGTTTGGCTTCTGGAACGTTTGACAACTGAGGTGCGGCTTCCAATTGGTCGCAAGAGCTTCCTGCATTCAAGCGGAAGTTTGGCTTCCGGGAAATGTTCAAAAACCGGAGTATTTGCTTCTGGCTTTTCGGCGTTTGGGAGCCAAAATGCTCGAAAACGAAGCCGTTTAGGAGCCGAGGTTGACTGTACCTCAAGTTTCCCTCCCTGAGACAGTGGTGGACTTTGGGCTTTGCCATTGAGCCCTGTGAAAAATCCGCCTTCCATTGTCCACCATTTTTTGTGGTGCCCACTTTGGGCAAACCGGTCCTGCCACCCTAAATCAGATGCTAAGATCACAACGTTGTCATTTTTACAAAGCTCCCCCTCTTCCAGAAGTGTCACAATACCTCCACACACACCCAGACCATTCTCTGTCCCATCAGCAGGCTCCCCACCTGTCCACACACGCGCCTCAGTTTCTCTTCATCTCCCTCGTGTGTCAGGGAGACTTCGCCGGATGTGGGGCTCGAGGGCAAAGGAGGCAGGCCTGACCCCTCCCCTACTGCCTCTCGTAGACCAGAGATATTGAGGGAATGTGCAGAGACCAGAATTTGGATCGCCTTCCCTCATGGGATGGAGTCATAACAGAGGGCAGCACTACCCCGAGAAAAATAGAAAGGAAACAAAGTTTGTGGTCCACATTTTTCATTTTATTAGATCCACTTACCTCTGGTGGTCAGTCGGGGTTGGATGTCTGAGATCTGGAGATGTCGACCAGGAAGGGGGATTGCAGCCTAGCTGTGGGTTGGCCAATGGTCGTCTGGACCTTGGAGCAGGAATTCCCCAGAGGTAATACCCAACTGGCCAATAGTCATGGCTTTGGTCCATTCCCGGTGCTGGGGGTAAAATGAGGCCTCCCCCAGCCTCCTCGTGATTTCATTGTTGGATCTCCCACCACCCCTCACTCATACGTTTTGCTTTCATGCTCGACCTTGTGTCAGCCGCCATATTCGGGGCCAGGCAGGACTCCCCCCCCCCCCCACTTGGCAAATCGGCTCGTGGTTTTTGCCTACGTCATAGCAATCATCACAACCGTGCGCAGTTAGGCATTAGGAAGAAAGGTTTTCCTTGCCTTCCACACGACTGGGTAGTACACAGAGCCACTGCTAGTGTTTTGTTGAAAATATTGGCACTGAAATTGATAACTTCTCTCTTTCATCCTTTGAAATTGATATCCTCTCTCTTTCGTCCTTGGGAAACGGGCCTGCTTTTGTTTGGGTAAGGGACCAAAATGCAACTCAGTTAATTTTCTGGGAACTGACACACCGTGATGATGAACTGCCATTTAGCGTTGGGGAATTACGTGCAGCTTTGTAGATCTGGAATACAAAAACCTACCTCTCCCTCAAAAAAGAAAAAGTTAGGCTTATAAGGAGGGGGAAACAGCTGAAACTGGAGAAGTAGGTTTCAAGGGCAGAGCGCTCTCTGCTGGAAAAGGTGTTTTATTTGAAGGGAGAGAAGAGGGAAGTTTCTAGTGTTAGTTGTAGAGCGCTGGCTGCAATTGCCAGTTGCCACGGTACAGAATTTGGCTTGGGGAAACGATTCAAAAACGGGTATTAAAGGACTTCCAATTTTTAAAGAGCAAGGCACTTGCTTTCAGGAGAACCTCATCTACCAAGTTACTGAAGTTTGGACTGGTTGTACACGAACTGACATACAAAAGGTAATCACTGTTCTGTGATCCTCAGTGTGGCACTTATCCCAGCCTGCGCCCACCGGTTCCACCTATGGCATCCGGAAAGGGTTTCGCCGAACCATCTCCTCAAAACTCAACAATGCACCAGTTTGCTCTCCCTACTCAATTCCTCTTTCCGTGGCTCAGCCTCTCCCGCCCTGAACAAGCCCATGTTCCCCCGGATGCCAGGACTGGGCAGCCCTCCCCTTTCTGAACAGAGGAGGTACAAAAAGCTTCTCTGGGTGAGTCGGCGCCACCATGGCTGAGGTGGGAGCCTTGTCCCCCAATGACTGGGGAGTGTGCCTGCATCGTTTGGTCTGGTATCCTCCAGCAGCCCGTGTCCTGCCACACACCCCGGGATGCCAGCTGTGCCCGCCTGCCCCCCAAAGTTGTGGCAACCCCAAGCGCAGTTCCACCTTTGCAGAAACCGCACTTCTCACAAAGCTGAAATTCGAACTCTAGTATGGACTGCATGTCCACAAGCATGTTAAGCAGGGAATGTGGAATTGGCTGCAGAAGTTTTTGCGATACGATAATCTTTATTGTCATTGTCCCATACAAAACAACGAAATTGTAATTGAAATTTTTCTCAAGAGGAAAGAAGGGGGGGGGAGCAAGCTCGGCGGTAGGCCCCCAATGCCAGAGGCAGGTTAAGTAAGGTGTGTTTTGTGTTTGTGGTATGGAAAGGGGCTTCAGCAGCCCTGCGCTGCTTACCTTTCCTGCGACAAGCAGTCTAGGATCTATTTTATACAAAGCCAGAGACGTTATACAAGCCTGATCAATGTGTGCAAATTATGCCTGGCAGTAGCTAGTGTCGCCCTTTTTAAAGACACAAGTATCGGGGGACACACACACACACACACACACACACACACAAACACAATCCCAACCAGGGCTGCGTTCACGCTCACAAACATACTTTGGGTGGTGCAAAAGAACAGGAACAAAAACCCGCAGCTGTTCTGGAATCAGCTGCGAATCCTGCATGCGATTTGGTTAGCCGCGTGCAGGGGGACAAGTGCTATGGAGTCGGGTTAGAGAGAGAGCAGGTGCTCATAGCTTCAGCACTATTCCAGAGGCGTCCGGACTGGAGACTTTCTCGGGTTTTTTTGTGACATGGGCTTTTCAACATGTGATGGTTTAAGGTTCCTTTTGGGGGTGTCAGACAGGGCCGGTCCAAACCATTTCAGCACCTAGAAGAAGGGAAACCCAGCTGATACCCTCCACTAAATCAGAACAGGGTACAAGGGGGAGCGGTTAGGGGATGCCTGGCATCGTGCGAGAACCTCAGGCTTTGTTTTATTTAATAAAAAAAAAAGAGGTTTGTAGGCCTAATGGCTGCAGAGGTGCAACATCACCAGTGATGTCTGCTAAAATAAATCAGAATCTAGACAGGTGGGCAAGTAAGGTTTTCAGAAGTTGAGGGTGAAGTTCTGTTGACTATAAAAAATAAAATAAAAAGAATTGTGCAAATCCGCCTATCGGAATGCAAAATTCATCTTTCTCTAGCACAGGTTTTTGTTTTTGGCAGATTGCACACATCTCCCCTCACTCTTGCCCAGCTGCCAAAGGTTTCAACAGGACTCCCAAATAAAGGAATTCATGGTGTTGTGTCGTCAACGCATCGCAGAATGTTTCCGCTCCTGGTTCTCGGGGCGTGTCGTGTGTGAGAAGCCTGCCTTTAACTTTCCCCGTGACGAGACCCCCAACTTTAAATGTCCGACCAAGCTAGCAGGAGGCCTTGGGTGCGATTTTCTGAAAACGCCGGGGGCACTCGAAAGACAACGAGGGGAAAATTCAACTGCGGCTTAGACATCTGGATAGCAGCGTCATACTTTATTTAAAGTAAACCCATGTTAAAAACAAAGTTAAAATGAAAAAAGTGGTACCTGAAAAATAAATTATTTGATATAAAACAAAATCAATAACTTAAAAACACGCTAAATATACAAAAAAAAGTCTTAAGCATATATACTGTACAGTATGGGGGGTGGGTGGGAACCGATTAAAAGCCTTCTGTTTGCACAGGCAGACGACTTTATTAGAAAAAAGGAAAAGGAAAAAATAAGGTTACACTAGAGATAAAGGGGAAGCCAAGTGAGACCGAGGGAGGGTGCCATTTACAGCTCACTGAACTCGATCGCAAAACTGGCATTAATGGTTGCAGATGGCACCCGCCCTGAACGTACACGGACTATTTCAACTTACGGGCGAAAGGAGAGCTGCGTCTCAACATAAAAGCTCCAAATATCTTTCCACTGTTCCTTCTTAAAATGACCTCATGGGGTGGGAAAGTTGCTCAATATACGGCGAAGCTTTTTTTTAAAAAAAAAAACAAAACGAAAAAACAGGGAAAACCAAAACCGTTCTCAGCGAGAATCCTTTTAACCTTCCTTCGGAAACGTTAGCACAAATAAAGCAACGGCGTTTTTTATATATATATATATTTTTTAAAAAGAATCGAATCCGGCTGGGTTTTCGTTAGCGTTAGACGAAAGTATAGAAACTCCACGCAACAGGGGGAAAGAAAACCAAACCAAAAGAAAAATTAAAATTAAAAACAGAAACGAAACGGAAATTTTCAGTAAATCTATAAAAGGAAGTTGTCAGTGGGATGTAAGAAGGGTCGGCAGGCCGGGCCAAAGGCGTGCCAGTCCCTGCGTGTGATGTGGGTTCACACTTTGCTTGCCATACTAATAATAATGCGTCTTACTTTTTTAAACCATGCACTGGGAGAAATAGAAGAGCTTATGCTATTCCGGAAACGGATCGTTTGCACTACACAAAAATGATACAGATAAAAAGACGTGGCAGATAGAAGTGTCATGTACCCGATTTTGGAACTTAAAAAAAGAAAAAAGCAAGCAACGTTGATTGTGAGCTGTGATTTCTTTTCTTAAAAAAACCACAACAAAACCTTCTATATTACACCAAGCACCCTTTTAAACAAAGAAGGAACAGGGTTAAGATAATGAAATCCGCAAATTTTCATTATGCCTGGGGAGGCGGGGACGACCGCTCCCACAGCAAATTTCCATATATGCAAAACTTTTAACTATTAGGTTCGATCGTTTGGCTTGTACCTTTCCCTCCGTTGGGATTTCTGAAACTGGGGCAGGACCGCGGGTCACTTAAAAGCCCTGAAGGAACGGGTGCAGCTATGTCCTGGCTCAGTGACGTTTGCGGCTGCAGGGGAGCTAAATCAAGGCGAGTTTTCTTATTCAAGAACTCCCCGTCCGCAAGAGGTTGGGAGAGGAAGATGCAATGTTTTGGGGCTGGAGGGGGTTGGTTTGAGATGGATGGGCTAAACTCTTATGAAACAAAAACACACAAAACACTCGTAATTTGGCAACATTATAGGGGGAACGTGGAAATTGCTGCCAATCGTTCCTCTTAAGACATGCTTCACGACATGGTTTCCAAAAAAAAAAATACGCAAAGCCACTTGTAGCTAACTGATCAAAGGGCTCAATTCGTTTTCTTTAAGTCAGGGTGGAAATATTCAGGGATAATCCTCAAGGACATCAAAATGAGAGAGTTGTGCAAAGCTTAACCCTGAGAGCCAAACAAGCCCTTTGAGACAACTTGAGGTCACCATCTTGTTAGCCCAACAATGGGAAACTCTTTAACAGCTAATGTAATAAGCCAGGGAGATGTTTGCACTGAATATTTCGATTTCTCTCAGGGAGGAAGGAAATTTAGTTTGCATCAGTCAGCTTAGGAGTCTTCTACAAAATGGTTGCTGTGTTGTTCCCCAGCCACCAAAAAAGAATTGCAATGATAAGCAAACCTGCTGTACCTTTTTTTTTTAAAAGGAAACCAAATCTGTCCCTGTACAAATTTGCATTCCTTAAAAAAATATAAAGGGAATCCAAGACAGCTGGCAGACCTGAGATCACGTAATAGGCTACCACATGCAGGAAGTATTCCTATTACACGAACTGACTTTCCCTGCCATCTTTGCATTCTGACACAAGTGATGGCTTTTGCCAGCTTGGGGTGGGAAAAGCCTTTTACTGCTGCAAGCTTAAGCCAGCGATTCCGTGAAACGCAGCGGCTCAGGCTCCCTCTACCCGGCTCAGCGTGCGCTGGCGGGCTTTGCAGAATTGGGTATGGCACCAGGAGGAAAAGCTGTGGGGCGACAGGAAGGCAATGCTTTAAGCACGGACTCCACAGAGTGATCTTTATTTCCTTGCAGGGCTTTGTGGATTAAGAGACTTCTGCACCCAGGACTGAGAGCAGGTCTTCCCCGAGAGAGGAGACATGTAGAAGAAATGAAATCCAACGATTTGCGATCTTATCGAGAACGGGCCCTAATCCACTTATTTGACTGCTGTCGATTCATATTGATTGAGCGCACCTGTAGCTCTCGTCGAGATCTGCATGAAGGCAACTCTGGAGGGTTAAGAGGCAAAGCTGCGATATTCGCCCAAGAGGAACTCAAGCTGGAACTCAACAAGAGGAAGCTGTTATTCCAGGATGAGACAAACACAGAGATATTTGGCACCTTTTGCAACTGATTCCATTTTGGGGAGGTGGATGCCGTTTTATCGCGTTCAGATTTTCATGAGGGGGGAAGCAATCTAATGAAAATACAGAAAGTAACCGCAGCCATACAGTAGGAGAGCCCAATGTTGTGATTACTTAGGGGCTTTGAGATAACCCTCTTTTTTTGTAGGTCTACATCAGATTCGGAAATGGACTTCCAATGCAGTTTTGCCCTTGCTGGGAGCCTCTCCAAGCATTTCCTGGAAATTTACTTCTGAATTCAAGAGCTGCTACAGACTTGCCAGGATGAACACAGCACAGGAGAATGTGAGTCCTGGGAAGTAGGTTTGGGCAGATGGCAACGGGGACAAGACTCCGGGAAGACGCAAAGTGAAGCAGAGAAAAGGTTATAAATGCAAGGACCACGAGAACCTACAAGATCCAAAACTGAGCTTCCTGATTGGACCAAAAATTCCATTATCTGAATGGCAGAGGGGAACAAATATAGGAGGGACAGAAGCAATCCCTGGCAAGCTACGACCACCCAGCGTATAAAGTACAGCGCTTTCCATACGAAGCGGCATTAAAAGGGGAGAAACGAAGGAAGAAACATTAGAGGAGTTCTTAAAGAGAGAAAACAACGATGCCACAAGGACATTCGCTGCTGAAGACTTCCAGGTGACTTAAGAGGGCTCTGTAAAAGTGGCTCTGAAGAGCCGTCTTTGAATGCTAGTGGGCATATCCAAGAACGCAATCCATTGGAAAAGTGTGCCTGGATGCCAACCCCACTGAAATTAAAGGGTAGCTTCCACAAGATGGTATTCATTTTGGCGAGGTTTGCAAAGGAGAACTCCAAACTGAATTGTGCCCTCTTACTCTTGGGAGATGCCCAGGGACTGCAATAGAGAGCATTACCTAGCGAGAGTCTGCAGCGGTGCTCTCAGGAACGCCAGCTGGTGCCACGTCCTTGATTCCAAACAGGGTCTGAATAGGGTATCAGGTCAGTTCCCAGTTTATAACCCCAACATTTCCTGTGGGAATGGCAAAGGGACACTGGCAGGAGGGAAGGGAAAGGAGCCAGTCCAGGAAGCAAAGGCTGAACGAATGCGGTTTGTGGTCAACCGATATTGAGAACGGCACACAGAAGATGTGGACTGTCTCGGGACTTTGAGAAGTCCACAACAAAACACACCAAGCATTCTAGCAAGAAGGCTTCTAGTTCAAGCTGTTCTGTAAATTCATCTTGCTGGATTATTTCCACAGGCCAAAGACTTCTTAATAATCAAAGCATTTCCAGAAAGATGCCGGAAATCGCGATGAAAACCTCCAAGAGGATGGGTAATTAGGGAAGCCGTTATCTAGAGGGTCCGCTTAGTTTGTAAGAGAAGAAGAACATCATATATGTGCGATGTACATTTGAGACCTCAAGAAATTGGTTAATGAGGAGATGCACTCTCTCAGAAGAAGCCAAGCAGGTTACTTGGAATGGGGTTAAGCAGCTTCCTGATGAAGATATGCGAGGACATCATTTCCTACAAAGAACTTGCCTTTGCATAACGAAGATGTACGAGAAATGTCACAGGGTGTACACACAAAAAGCAGGGATGCAACGCATCGTAAGGATACAGAAATCCCAACTCCTGTGAGCTGGCTGGAACAGCATTGTTACGAAAGACGGCCACTCAAAGCCAGGAAAGGGCCCGAAATCTCCATCGGAACTGCAACTTGCAGGCTTTGCCAGCAAGTCCTTTTTCTGACGGTGGATTTACGGGCGTGGGTGGTGCAGCCGGTCTGAGGCAACCCTCTCCTGGTGTGCCAGGGTGCTGCTCCAAGTCCTCCTGGCCAGTCCTCAGGGCGGTGGCAGAGAATGGTTGTGGTGCGGCTGTAGATGCAGGCAGCCTTGGGGCAGGCTCGAAAAGGATGGAGACTGGTGGAGGATTCCAAAATGCAATGACTGAGCCCCTCACCGGGCTTGCACAAGGGGGCTTCTCAAATGTGGTGTGTGGCAGACTTAAGTCATTCTTAGGATTGGATCAGGGTGTTCCCTTGGGCACAACCTTTCTGCTTTTTGCACACTCTATGGACCTACTGCCTACATGTTTTCTGGAAAACTATTGTGCCCTTACAAACCCTCGCTATGTCAAAACGGGTTGCAAAGGATTCGTATATGTAAGCCTTCAAGTCTCCTAACTGGTCGGGTTTATCGTTGTGGCACTTTAGCAACACCAGATCGTTCCTACTGGGGAAAAGAGCTGCTGTTAATCTTTCGTGTCGGACGTTGTGTAATAATGGAGTGGGGGTTAAAAATTAAAATAACAAACCAAAACAAAATTTGAGCAAAACCAAATCAAATTTAATTGGTCTTAAATGCAAAAGTAAAAACAAACAAAAACACAAAAAAGCAAAAGAAAATTAACAGAAAACAGAACTCAAAGTTTCAAGGCAGCCTGCAGAAAACTCAGGGGATTAATTAAAATTGTATAAGTCTACCCAAAAAAAGGAAAAAAAATCATTTATTTTCTCTCTTAAATCTCTACCTTCCAAGTTTTAATGTACTTTTCTGCTGAGAGTTCAAATATGTAAAGCTATCGTCAGAACAAACCCCTATTAAAATAGTGGGGGAAATCGTCTAGTACTTATTAGAAGGGATGCAAAAAAACGACAATGCTCAAATGTTCATTAACAGCTTTATATATATATTTAAAAAAAAAAACCCTAAGGATGCAAGAATTCGAACTAAAAAATTATATTTGAAAGGAAGTTAATGTTAGATCATGCCACATTTATCTGACCAGAACGTAACACAATATGATGTGCTACCTGGAGGTACGAACTCCAAGGAAGTGGCAATGCTGGGTATGGAGTTTCATTTTTACTCTGAAATCTTCCCAGAGTTTCTCTGAAACTCTTTGGTCCATTCTTATTGGAAACTGGGCTTTTAAAAGTGGGAGCAGGGACGGGCTAAAAAAGCTGTTCCAATTCGACATATAAAAAAAAAAAGCGCCTACTGACCAAAGAGCTTGGCCAGTGGCGTTAACTGAACGCTGGCACGCTCTCGTTTACCAGAGTCTCTTTACAGACACTTTCCTTCTGCGGATTAACAAACTTTTCCGCTAACTAAAAGTTCCAGTTTCCAAGCTTTGCCCTCGGCTACCAGGGGCAACATTATGTTGAAGCCTGGTTAAAATGGCCCCCGTCCTGGCAGTGAAATCAACAGCTAACCTTTTAAGGGAAAGCAAGCCTGGCCGTTTTCAGGGCTGGTCTGGATTCTACTTGGTAACTGTTGAGATATATATGTATATATTTGTATTATTATTATTGGCTCGGGGACAAGGTCATGAAGCAGAACCATCTAAAATTAAAAACCAATAAAACAATTGCAGGACTTTAAAAAAAAAAAACAACCCGAAACATTTGAACATGTTGGTGGCATCCCAAGAATATATAAAAACCCTTTTATCCCACTTCTCATTTAGACTAAAGACAAACAACTTTCTTTGTGTGAAAACTGGCGCAAAACAAAAAAAAGAAGAATCGAGTTGTACACTAACGGAAACAAAAAAAAGAAAGGTTTCAAACTTTTTCCGTCACTCGGTTATCTATTCCATACAAAAAAAAGAAAAGCCACGAGCGAAATTATTTGTGGGATTTGTTGGTTTTGAAGGAAACCTGCAAGATTTTGTCCCCCAGCCGGTAGCCGTTAAGACTCGCTATGGCCATGGCGGCTTCTTCATAGTTTGTCATTGTCACAAAGCCAAAGCCTTTGCACTTGTTGGTGTTGAAGTCGCGGATGACTTTGACATTAGTCACCGCGCCAAAGGGGCCAAACATCTGCCAGAGGATTCCCTCATCGGCATCTTGGCCGAGGTTGTAGATGAAGATGCACCATCCCGAAGAGGAGTTTCCTGGGACATTTACACCAGAAAGCCCACTCATGTGATCTACACCCATAGGAGAGAACCTACCAAATAAAAAAGGACATAAAATAGTTCATGTAAACAAAACAACAAAACAAAAAAAGTCAGTTTCAATCAAGTTCAAAAAAAAAAGAGAAGCTCATCGGGGGAATTAAAAGGTTAGGAGCGCTGGGCGGGGAGGGGACAGAATTCAGAGCACCTGGGCGCTGCGTTTTGGCAAGAAGACAGAGTCTCCCTGGGACGCCTTAAAGGCTGTCGGATTTGGTGCGGCCTCAGCGTTTCGTGGACTAGGCCCTGCTTCGTCAGATGCGCGGTTTTTAAAAAAAATTATTTGTTTGCTTTTACTTCGGTTTAACCCGTTTACATGCAGCCCTTTTAGGGATACAGTGGAACCTCGGTTTTCGAGCGCCTCAGAAGCCCAACGCCAAAAACCCGGAAGTAATTGCTTCCGTTTTCGAACGCGCCTCAGAAGTCGAACGGCTTCCGCTGCATGTTTTTAAATTTTCTCAGTGGATTTGGCCGGCTGCTCATTGCTCCTCGAACGTTTCGGAAGTCAAACGGTCTTCCGGAATGGATTACGTTCGACAACCGAGGCTCCACTGTATAATCATTCATAACTGTGAAACATCAAAACACAGAGGCATTGGTTAAAAACCAGGCTACACCCCCCCCCCCACCAAAAAAGATTGGGCAGCAATAATTAATATAAAGACATTGAATAAAAGCAGTACATAAAAAAGCAATGAATTAAAAAGTGGCCTGAAATAAGAACCTTACGCTTTTTCTAAAAACATTTTCTCTAAAAAGATGGGGTTAGGAGGTGTTGTCCACAGTCGACCAAGGAATTCCCTCTCTCACACACAGAGCTACATTATGCTAGAAGTGTGAAAGAGACCCACAATCCTGATTGTGAAACCCACAATCCTAGGACCACACGATGGAAATCCACGATTCAAATTGGGGCCATAGATCTCTTTCGTGTTACAGGCATTCAGTTAGCATTGCAGGCTGCCAACATAACCAAGATTTGCTGTTTTATAAATGGGCCACTTTATTCTTCGCCTAAACACCCGTACTTTTGCTTCTGCCCCATGTATTTCATGACTTGTTTGCATCTTGTTATGCATCTGATGAAGCAGCGGCTCTAGTCCACCAAAGCCCGGCCGTGGTAAATTTACTTGTCATCTTAACGATGCCGCCAGTCCCTCTGCTGTGTTTTACTGCAACAGACAGAGGCAGCTGCCCCTCTAGAATTTGCCAGGCTGAAAGCCATCGATCTACCAGGAATGTGTCCTGCGCAGGTCCCAGCAAAATGAACCAGAGCGGGCTGGGCACAAATTGCACTCAAGCTGCTACCACCCACACCGGCAGGGCTTGCACAGACATTTTTCGGAGGCTGTGCCCTGCGCATTGTCAGGCTTCCTGTCCTGTCAGCGAGGTCAGAGGCTGATGCGGATGCACCCTTGGCAAAGGGCTTGTGCCTTGCCCCCTGCGGGACCCCAGCGGCCTGTCTCCTCAAGTGGCATTCTGAAAGGGCCCACAAGGAGCACTCGATATTGGGCAAAAGGGCTTTGGGCGGGCTTTCTGGCCCCTTCTACATCATACATTTCTACGACTTAGATCTGCCATTTGAGCCAAGTGACCTCTTGGTTCAGAGTGTTCAGTAGTCGGGAATGAGGCAAGTGGAGCTGGATGCACAGGGAGATATTAAGGCTCTCATCCTCGTTCCCTAGCAACTCTGCCGTACTCGCCACCCCGTTCCCAATAACGTGAAAGGAAACTCTCTGCTGTTGGCCTGGCATCTTTCTAGCACACAGCACAAAGGGCTCGTTCCCCTTTCAGTTCGTCCGTGACTTTCTCCCCGCTACTTATTCTCCCTCCCTCTCGGTGGCCTAGGTTATCTGCAAAGTGACCCCCCTGGGCTTGACCACCTGAACCTGCAGAGCATATGATCACTGTGTGCTTTTCTAAAAACAAAAACAGGTTATGTAGGACTGCTTTTTCTGACAAGGCAAAACAATGCATCCTTTATGAAGCAAAACCAAAGGGCGCAGCAGCTAGCAACTATTTGGTTGTGGAAGAGTAGCACTGCAGGGGTTTTTTTTTGGGGGGGGGGCATTGCTACACACTTTGTTCTTAAGAGGAGCATAGAGAATTGTTTAGCCAAGTGATTATTCAAGGCACCAGGCCCATACAATATGGCCACCGTTTGCCGCTAAGGATCAGTTCAGATGATCCTCCAGTCTGGAGGATTGCGACTGAGCCACCGATAGACACGATCCCTTCTCCTCTCCCTTGGGCGGATTCCCTTCTGTTTCCCGTCTGGGTTAGCCATGACGTGTGGATACACTGACGCCGACAGGCTGTGGTGAGCGCTTCCCCTCCAAAACCAGAAATAGGCATTTCAGAACGAAGCTCAGGAGGAAAGCTCTAACCACCGCCCCCCAGATTCAGACATCATGGCAAACACGAGAAAGGGAAGGTTGCGTTTAAAAGCGTTTCGTTCTGGGCCCTGCCACACCATAGCTTGACATATCATCTGAATTGAGCCACTGGTTCCGACCCCAAGCCAGTTACAGTCAACGTTTAGGGCTGTAGTACTGTGAGAAACATTAACACGGGTTGTTGTCTTGTTTTTTCGGGGGGTGGGGACCATCATCTTACATGGAAGAGGCTGAGTACAGGCAGATAGAAGAACATGTATTTATTTAACATGTGACAAGAATTCTACGACAAGAATTCTGAAAGATACCCATCTGACTCTACACTTTTGGAGAAATTAAAAAGAAAAACATGCAAGGGATTCACTGAAGAAGCAACTACTAAGAAGGAGTTTACAACAAGCATCGTGTGAAAAATGAGTAAGGACTTTAAAAAAAAAACAACCAACAAAAAAGGACACATAAGCAAGTGAAATAAGAAATCCAAAAAACCAGAGGAACAGTAAATTAGGAGAGGGCCATCTTGACAACACGACTAGTGTTTTCTTTTGTTTTCAAAAGTGTGTGTGTATGCCTAACTTGTGGTAAATGAGGTTCTCACAAGGCAACTGCTGTAGATACAGAGGATATAACTAGCTTTCCAGGGGGCAAATTATACCCCAAACAGAGCAAGTTATGAACTGAACTGTTGCTTATTAACTGCTGCTATTAAGTCTTTTGAAGAATGAACTACGTATTAATGGTTTTTAAAAGGGTTTTTAAAAAGTAGCTGATTTAGTGGTGCTGGGTGGGACTCAGCAGGCTAAGAGGCGTGAGAGATCTTGCTAGCTCATTACCCACTCAACAGAAGGAGTGACTTGCCTGGATTATTACGTGATTTGTCTTTTCTGTACGAAACTTACAGGTTGTAGGACTTGGCCCACATTACGGGCTTGAACTTTAGTGAATAGTACTTTATCAACAATTAAGGAACTGCTAGTATTTCTGTGGGACTTTTTGACAGGGTAAAAGCAAATTCTCACACTGTGCTCCGAAGGACGCCCGGCGCCGCTTTAAAGATTTTCATGGCTCCTCAAGAAGACCAGCAACCATGAATAAGATTCCCAGGAAGTCCAAGAGCAGCCACATCGAGAGGCCCACAAACAGAAATTGGCTCATAGCCAGCCTGTTTGTACTTGCTATCCGTCCCCTTCCTCAATTACTCTGGTGTGCAAAGGGGGCTAGACGCAGAAACTGCTCTCATTTGCACTAGGATGTGGTTAAATGGGGGGGGGGGGGGAGAGATGGCCAGCACTGCATGCTTCGAACACACTGGGTTTCAGGGTCAATTTCCCAGTTAACTCAGGTAGCAAGAGCTAGACGTGGTCCCTCTCTGCTACAGCCACTGCCAGTCAGAGTAGACAGTGCTAGACTAGGTGGCAGCTTCGCCTATGTGTCTGCTCTCCAGCTTATGCAAGGAGACAGCCAGCTCCAAGTTGAGGATTTATTTATTTTTCTCCCAAATGAGGCTTGTGATCAATGACAACATAAAGGAGAAACTGAGGGAACTGCAATCCCGTTCTGGACTGCAGAACTGCACTGTTGCACGCTAGGGCTGGTGCAACAGGTTTTGCCAAATGAGAAAGTGATAGAAAAACCTTCAAGGGGTATTATGTATGGTAGAGATGACTGTATCCATTATTGTGAAGTTTCAAAGACAAGGTGAAGGCTATCGAACCTTGAGATAAGAGATTATATACTCTATATAATCTATTCTATTCAAGGGACTTAATTTTGTTTCTTAGATCGACTTAGGTCTTTTGGATCAGGAACAGATGCAAATAAAGCACATATTAAATTGGTCAGCAAGTAAAAAGTAGCAGCTAAATTTATGAAACTAGTGTTAGACAGAAAAAATAATAATATATGTATATATCATCAATATAGGAAACATTTATCAATAGGGGGAGCTTATCAATCTTGTAATTATGCAACGAGAAGAATGGCTGAAAATCTTATCTGCTATTTAAGAAATGGAACTTTTCAAGCACTATCTTTTTTTAGAAGCAAGAACACCGATGAGTCGAGAACACTTTAAAAACAAAAACAGTAATCAAATAGATGGCTTTTGTAAGAACTGAACGGGAAATGAAAGTGGAAAAGTTTGAAGAATGGTTTAAGGAAACAAAAATAACTATTAAAAAACAAAAACAAACCACAGTACAAGGGATGAGTTTGTAGCCTGTTAAAAGTATGTTATTCCCTAGACCTGGCTGGTAAGTTTAAGTTTCAGAAATATCTGAACAGAATCCCAATTCCTAACACTACACAAGGCAAAAGAAGTTATGTTTCTCCAGCAGCTTCTTTTGGGGCGAAAGGCAAACCCAGCTATTAAAAAGATCTAGGCCTTAGGTTCTCAAGTAGCAAAAGTTACTGCCCAGGGTGGTCTGTGCCATAGTAACCTGGCACAGTCCATCATTCTGCTGCAGTTAAGTGCGGCTGAAATCAGAGGGTCAGTCTTAGGCAGAAAGTAGTTACAATGCAAGCAGCGCAATAATATTATGCATTTCGAATTCAACGAAACGTCTTCCCTGGCAAGCGTGCATCAAATTCCGGGCTTAGGCTGTGTGAATCTCTCCTTTATTTCTATTTTAAACACAAAACTAATATTGGAAAGATGAGAGCTTGGGCATTAGTAAAGGAATGCCGTTATGTGGCATGCCCAATTTGGACTTTTCTTCGAGTAACTACGGACTGAAGGATTTGGGTTGCAAGCAGGGGATGGGGAAAGGTTTCCTAATTACGCCTGCCTTGCCAGACAAGGGTGTCCCTATCTGTCAATGCAGCAATGTGATCTTTTCTCATGAGAGCAGGAGTCTCCATTCTACTTTTCTTTATTAAGTCGCATTCCTGTCTCCAACCTGCTTCCCCCAAAATTAAACGTACTGATCTAACTTAAGTGCTCAGTATTGCTTCCTCAGGTTGGAAGTCTAAGATTAATACACTTTATTACAAAGGACACGTACACACGTTTCCTGGGAAAGTGTCTTAACTGCACACCCTCTTCCCTTTTAGCGCTGTTCCGCATGGTATGCGCATTATAACCTCAACTGCAGAACAAACCATTGCTTTTGCTTTTTCACTGCCAGTCTGCAACAACTGCCTGCAAACCTGCGGCTTTATTTGGGGTGCTAACCCACAGGCAGGCAAAGTTCATTGGAGGGTTCTTAAAAGATCGCAGGTATTTGTTGCTCTCTTATTAGCCGTAATCAGGACTGCGGGGCATGCATTTTAGATCTCGGAACCAGAGCTGAGGTTACTGCAATCTGGTTTTATTTAAATTGCCTGCTCCTCCACCCCCAGCCTTACAACAGGTATTTTTTTTTTTTACTTCTATAAACTACCTGGAGCACTATTTTTAGTTAGAAAAGCAGTACCAAGCAGCAGAACAACTCAGGCCTAGCTTGAGAATGTTCCCGAATGAGGCTCTGCGCAGGTGTGGAACCCATTAAGTGCAGTTGCACAAGGCCATTAAAAAGAACAAGTTGTTTTTAAAATGACAAGAAACCTTTTAAGCAAAACAAAACAAAAAAAAACTTGCTTCGGCAATTTTAGACTATGAGAAGGAACAGGTTTTTACATGCTTGAGAATACTGTTTTAGCGGTACTAGAATTGCACCGTATGAGAAATAAGTTCATTACAATCAAGTACCAGACCACCCCGTTCTTGCAGAATTTTTTTTTTAAATGCCATCTTTTGACACACTGTTGTGAAGCATCAGATCAGACAGACAAATTTTCAATCTTTATTAACCGGGGTGGGTGGGGACGGGGAGGACCTGGAAGGCTTTTTAATCCTCTATTTAATTAAATTCTATTTTTTGAGGGGGGAGGGAGTGAGATAAGAAGAGAGAAATCTGATGGAACAGAAATAAGAAAAGAAATGGACATCAACAATGATTACTGACATACCGTGGGAATACATATTCATTTGGGGGGACAGAAGCACTCAACTGCCATTAATTTTGAAAGATCTTTTTTTTTTTCAGAACTCTCTAAAGTTATACAGAATGAACTTTAAAAAAAAAAAAATCTAATGGAAGAAGTTGGAGGTGCAATTGGGACCAAGCTGATGGGTTCCACGTGAACTGTCAAGAAATATTGGGAAAGAGTTGGTTAAAGTAATAACAGAAATCACTGGATACAAATTTTACATTGAATCCTATTGCGACCCCTCCTTTTGGGATATCCAATATAACGCTACCTACGGCTGATATAAAGGCTTAGCTAGCATGGAATACCCTGGGCAATATAATTAGATAAAACACAGTAGGATTAGGCTGTATGAAGGTAGGCAACAAGAAGTATTCCAAGAAAAGTGGTCTTTATTGACTAATTATCGGAACAAAAGCTCTTCACATACTGTTAACCCTAGAATTTTGGAACGGATTAACATTTATGTCGGTGTTTTACTCCTCTCCCTTTAACTATCTACTGGAAGTGTTTCGCCTGGTGATGAGCAGTAATGATTTTAAAACAAAAAACAAAACAAAAAACGAAAAAAACCAAGAGAGGCAGAGGAAGAGAGAGAGAGAGAGAGCAACACACACCACAGACCTCCAACCATGTCAGCTCTTCCTAACCTACCTGAATCTCTGAGCCTGGTGGTGGACGGGCCCCCCGAATCGTCTGGCCGGGGAGTGGTACAGCTGCGACAGCAGCGCTACGTTTTTGTTCTGGTTGGGGTTGGCGGCGAACTTCACCGTGATCGGTTCGGAGGAGCCGGGGGGCTTGTGGCCATTGAAGTTCGAAATGGCCTCTTCGGCTTCCGAGCGCTTGTCAAACCGGATGAACGCCACCCCTCTGGACAGACCTTGAAACCGAAGCGACAAAAACACAGAGTTCAGTGCGTCTCCTCCGCTCCCCCAAATGTGCCCAGATTGCCTGGAACAAGGCTGCACAACAACCGGGGGGGTGGGGTGAGGGGACAGAATCCAACCTCCATCTGGCTGTCTTTTGCCAGCAGGCAAAGACAATCCAACTGCCTAAGTACCTTCCATGAATGTCTTGTTCTATATCGGCAGCCGGTGCTTTTGATGCCCTTCTTAACAGTATTTTATAACATGGTTTTAAAATGTTTTCACCCTGAGCAGTGCATAGGCGCTAGAAGAGTGCTACAGAAATCTCTATGCAACCAGAAATGTTAAGAATGTCCCGCTTTGTGGACTTTAATGGGAGATATAAAACACTCGCTTAACTTGACTTTGGCAGAGGCAAGTTCCTAGAGAGAGCGCATGTTGTTGTTCAGGATCTTAGAAGGGCTCCCAAAACGAACAAGATCAAAGCGCTTGTTGAGCGAGGGTGGAATCGTATTTGGTCAACCACCTAATCTGGACAAGAGTTCAAAAGCTATGCAAATCGCCTTAAGGAGGTTCATGTTCTATACGTCCAATGGAGGGATCTCAGAAACAGCAAATCTGTTCCAATCATGGAGATGGTATTTCATGAGAGTCATCACTCGGGGAAAGTGCTCACAAGCAGAGTGAATTATTAAGGGGAGCTGGGGTGCTGGCCACCTCCACAAACTGTAGCCACACTGCCCTGCTACCTAAGGTAAGAGTGGATGGGGGGGGGGCAAAAAAGGGGTGGGAGAGTTTCCAAGTGACACATGTGATAGCCACTCTTGAGCAAAAGGAGCCAGTCAAAACGCCAAAGCTTCTAAAACAAAACCATCGCCGCCTTTCACACCTGTAGTTTGGTCAACCAGCACGCGCGAGTTGATAATGCGTCCAAACCGTGAAAACATGTCCTCAACATCTTTCTGTGTCATTGTCCGCGGCAGTCCGCTAATGTACAGGTTTGCGTCTTTGATAACCTCAGAGCTTGGGCGGGCATACGAAACCTAAAAGGAAAAGGAAAACCATTGGATGGGCATGCGAATTCAAGAAGTGTCCCTCCAGAAGTTCTAGCATCAATTCGGCTTCCTTCTTTTGCAGTTGCTAACAAGATCATCCCTGCAGTTTGGCCCAACTTCTCCCCCTTTTTGGGGTAGCCATCTGTCCTGCAAATGAGGACTTGAACGTCACTTGCAACAACAGTTGCAGGCAGTATGCTGAGGCCATTTCCCCCTCACTTGACCGCCAGCTGGACGTGTTACTGCTGCTTATTGGGAGGGGCAAGGTGGAGGTGCTTCAATGCAACAAACACATGGGCAGAACCACTCTGGTGCCCCTGCCAGCGGGTCTGCAGCTGCAGCAACCTCGCCCCTCTACCTCCCAGAGATCGGGCACCAAGCTGTTCAAACTTGAGCGTTCAAATTTGGGGCAGGAAGAAAAGCAGCAGGTGCAATTTCTGTACGGGTGGTATGCGCAGGGCTTCTAACTCTGCCACAAAGGTAATCGCAATTGCCTAAATCTGAGCTGTGCCGCAGTGGCTGCTCCTATCTTGCATGCCCCCTTATTGTAACCAATTGAGGTGCTGGATATAACGAAGGAAAGGATGCAACTGCCTGGAAGTTTCCTCTAAGGGACACGAGCAAGGATCGCACACCCACGGAATTACTCCTCCACACACTACATGGCGAAGCAACAGAATGAATGCCTGCAGGGCTGTTGTTTTTAAGAGAACATGAACATAGGCATGGGAACTAATGGCAGAGCTGTTCACAAAAAAAAAAATGACCCCTGGGCAAGCCTTTAAGAACCTTCCTGGGTGTGCCCCTTTGGCCCTGTACACAATTTGCTTCCTATGCACAGCTCTTGGAACACACTACTATTCAGAGGCAAGACTACAATGCAGCAATTAAAAGTCAGGGTTAGCTTTCTCATCTGACAACCTCCTCCCAGCGAGGCTTTGGTAAGCCGAGAGAGCGAGCGACGCTGGGAAGGATACAAGCAGCTCATTCATGGGTGCGCGGCCGCCAGCACGCAGTCACGCGATCCGACTCTCAAAGCAGTGACAGCTGTGTTGCTCAGATTGGGAGGCAGGTCAGGCCACCCCCTCACTTATTCCCCCCCCCATGCTTCTTCCCTGACCCGTGGCTTGTCCCTTTTGTCTTGTGAGCCATGCAGCTGGTAGAGAGCCAAGCCAGACCGCCGGGCTGCCTTAACATCTCCCCTTCCACAAAGGCGACAGGCGCACACATAGATATCACATTTAGGGCTGGAGGGTTGAGGCCGCTAATTGGTTAGATTCGTATATCAGCACTTTAAAACGAATCAAATGTTCCCCCACCGTCTAGTCACTGCTTATAAAATTAATGCATGGCAGTGCCATCTTAAAAGAGGCTTTTCCTCACGAGAAGGGAAATGACTCTTCCACGATTATACCTGCTATGACACATGCATGTGAATTACTAGTGTTGCTGTTGTTAATTGAATTTATATACCACCCTATACCTGAAGGTCTCAGGGCGGTTCACAAGATAAAAGCAGAATGTAAAACCACAAACTACATAATCGAAATAAAAACAACCACCACCCAATAATGCATTTTAAGAGGGCATAGGTTGTCAATCAAATCAACCAAAGACCTTTTTTAAAGAGGAACGTTTTTGCCTGGCGTCTAAAGGTGTATAATGAAGGCGCCAGGCAAACCTCCCTGGAGAGAGCATTCCAAAGACAGGGAGCCACTGCAGAGAAGGCCCTGCTCTCGTGTTGCCACCCTCTTGAGGAAGAGGCATGCAAAGAAGTGCCCCAGAAGATGATCTCAGGGTCCGGGTCTTCATATGGAGAGAGGCAGTCCTTGAGGTATTACGGTCCTGAACTAAGCTTTCCCCTCTAGAACTACGGTTTCTCATTAGCAAACTTGCATAGTTTTAACCAACCAACTTAAAACATGAAATTAATCAGCCAAAATGTCTTGCATGCTATTGAATATATTAAAATACAATATGTAAAAAATGATATAATGTACACACTCTCTCTCTCTCTTCATTGTTCACATCGTGTATGATTAAGTAGGTTTAATAAATGTGTCCACTTTTAAATGTCACACAATTATTGGCTGTTTCTCCTGCAACTGACTAATAAATCTGCTCTGCTAGAATTCAGGTTTGCACATTTTTATTGAACATGTATACACTGCCTCCCTGTCCATTGAGTTCAAGGCTAATGAAACAATAATGTAACATAAAACATTTTAAAAATATACATTCATGACCATTGTAGGGGGCGGAGGGTGGGGGGGGGGAGAGGAAAGGGTTGGACAGTCAAAAATAAGCAAAAATTCTAGATGAAGACTGACTCCTGCTAGCCACAGTTGAGTCACTTTTACCTTGATAGTTTTGGACTGGAGTCGCAGGCCATTCAGCGTGTTTATGGCTCTTTCGGCATCTTTCGCCGTGACGTAGTTCACAAAGCCGTAACCCAAGCTGTGACCTACAGGGACGAAGGTTAATTAATTAAACATAGTAAGCGGGGAGGTGGCAGAGGAGAACCACTTTGCTTCAACACTGGTTAAAACGAAGCACTCCTTATCTGGACTAATTAGGGACCTGGTTTATTTTGCATATGAATGGCAAAAAAGCCACGTAAAAAACTGCACTATGGGAGTTTCAGAAAATGAGGACCACTTACGTGGGGATTACGTTCCAGGCCCCAGCGTGCACAAGTGAAATCGCATACGGTAGGGAGCACCCCACTTTAACAGGGAGGGCGTGCAGGAAGGAAGGAAGGGGAGAGACAGTGCGCACAGCCTTTGGAGTAGGGAGGCTTGGAAGCTGGCAACTCTCCCCCAGGATGCAGAGAGGCAGTAGCAGGGAGTGAGGTGGACCAGGCGATCATCAGGGGGATGAGGCTGGGCTAGGCAGGTTGACCTTCTCGTCCCCTCCCCTCTGCCCAAACCAGGTCCAGGAGAGGCAGAGCGGGCACCTCATTCCCAAGCGGGATATTGGGCCGCTCCAAGTGCACAAAGGCTCCACCCTGAGGCTGCTGAGCCGCCCAGGCCGTGGCATCCGGTTGCAAGCAGGGCGAAAGGGCGAGGAGGGCAGCCGAAAGCAGCTGCCACTACAGTACGTCCTCTCCCCACCTCCAGTGTTGCCATGGATGGGCAAGAGCGTCTGTGCTGCCCCAGCCAGAAGGCAGACAAGCAGGCGGTCGGAAGCCAAGCCAAGGCGCCGGGAGGGGCCCCCTGCAGTCTCCTCCCCTCCAGCAATTTCAAGGCTTGCGGGCTTCAAACGTGCCATGGCCCCTTCCCTCACTCACAGCCCCGAGAAGGTAAGTCCAATCTGTTTATTTATTTCACAGCGACCCGCATAAATGTGGTCAAGCACAAGTGCGATATGAGTAAGTGGGGGGCAGAGGGTGTCCTGTATTTCAGGACAGGCTAAATGTTGTTTTTACCTGCCACTTTGTCTCGAATAAGCTTGGCAGATTCAACTTCCCCAATGCTGCAAAACAGGCTCCGTAATTCATCCTGGGTCATGTTCTGAGGAAGGTAGTTCACAATTAAGTTTGTCCTCCCGATATCGTCCCTGCAGTCTTCAGCCATGTGATCTTCATAACCATTAGACATTTTAATTAGAAAAGAAATCTGCCAAAAGGGAGAAAAAATACAAATTGTTCAGCTCTGCAGGTTCATGTGGTTAAAAAGAAAGAAAAGACAACCGGGAGGAGGAGAAGCATGCGACTGACCCAGTGTTTGAAATTCCCCAGGCCGGGCATGTTATGCTATTAATGCGGGTCCAATTGCAACAAAGCGGAGATTTCTGGGCGCCGTGTTGGCCCCTAACATCTCCATCGAGGCGGCTGACTCGCGTACCGCCCTCAATCATCACATCAAGCAAAGTGCAGAGCTGAGCACAGACCTGTGTACTGCACATCTGACTGCGCTGCAACCTTGCCACAAGCCACTAGGGCCACTGCCACCACTATGGTTGTCTAAAACGGATAAATGACGATATCATCGATCACCACACAGCCTTCCTCAGGAGGTGAGCCAAGTTGAATCCAAGCAGGACTTTTGGTTGAAGGCTTGGCTGCCAAATGGTGGTATTCAGGACAATCCAAAGTATGGCGATGAGTCACAGTGAATACAAATAATCTGGGGCTGCCAGGCTGCCAACAGGCCTGCCAGGCGGCAGAAGCGGTGGCGGGGAAATAACAGCATCGGCCTTGATTAGGGTCCTCCAGAAATATTCATGGGGGCGTTGATGGGGGGCCCTGGATGAGAGACATTAAAATATTAAAAAGAAGGTGGTTTCTTGGGCTTGTCAACGTAGAAAGCGAGCCCATCTAGGAGAAGAAAACTTTTGATCCTAACCCTTCGCAGCCTTGCAGGATATTATTGGAAGAAAAGGCTAAGGAGTAAACCAGACACAAATCTGGAGTAGAGACCCTTAAGAAGGTTGGATATCTTCTTGCGTGCCGCCTCCTGGCAACTCCTGCAGCCAAGCTACTCCCAAACACATTGCTCTGCTTTCCTTCGGACGCCATCAATGAGGCCAGGAGGGGGGTCTTGTCATCTGGGCAGTCCAGGACCTCCACACACACACTGCCCAGTGTTGCTAACGCTGTGAGTTGACTTCAAACCCCCAGGCGCACTCCATTGTCTCTCAAGACAGACGGATGCCGCAAACAGCAGCAGCAGCAGCAACATGGTGGTTTCTGTATGCAAATGTGCAAGGATTTAGGAGTTTTCTTCACCAAAGCTGGTAGTAGCCATAGCACCAAATGAAGGGGAAGTTGCAGAAGGGGGGGCAGCAATTTGCCTGGGAGAAAGGTCAGAGGGATTGTTTAGTTCCCCAGTCTTCTGCCCACCACGATTAACCATGGCACCTGCACCAGCTCTATGCTGGGTTTCACATTACCTTCTCCCTTCTTTGCGTTACCAGGCCTGGGAGCTCTCACAGAGCTGTCCTGCATTGAGGCAGCAGTTCTGCCTAAATGCTTCCTACCTGCTCAATCTCATTTCCAGCTCAAGGAGAGCAATTGGGGGGGGAGAGGGATGCTCCACCATGTGTGAGGCATGCAATTTCCACAGAAAAGTGGCCTCCAGGAGAGGCAATTAATCACCCCCAGCCGTTTTTGCCCTGGAAGTCTCTCTTAAAGCCAAGGTTCCAATCCTACACTTGCCTTGTGATGGGACAAGGCCTTTAAGCAGTAAAGTGGGGAGCAGAGAGTTGCCAGAGTATGCCTCACCACCGCTTTTCTTTTTAGCTGGTCAGCAGCACCCCAAGTTCCCAGATGAGTCAGGTGGGCTAGAATGCATCTCCCACAGCAGAGAAGGTTTGGAGGAGAGAATCTTAGTTCAGCCTACAATATTCCTGAGCCAACTTCACAATCTGAAGCAGGACCATCACATCTCTATGTAGCTCCTTTTGGCAAAATCACAGAAGCCCCCAAACCCCAAATACTGTAATATAGAAAAGGACAATGAACATACATAGGCAGTAGCCACTGTTGTGTAACAAACATTTCTCCAAACCCATCAATTTATAACGATGAGATCTCCTGTGATTTTGCCTCTCACTAGGGTTTTTGTTTGTTTGTTTCCCATGCCATTGTCTGTTGTTTCTCATACTCTTAGGGACCTTCTCCGTTTTGGTTGCTTCTCTTGGCAAAGCGCTTAAATTAGCCCCCCCCCCCCCCCCGCACAAGCTCCAAAGGAACCAGTCTTGACAGTCCTTGTCTAATAGCATACTCTGATCCTCTGCAAGGAAACAAGGAAGAAAAGAGGTCAGGCCGTCTCAGCTTGTTCAAGCCTTGCGTACCCGGTAAGAGCAAACAAATTGAGATTTAAAACAAGAACTTCCTGGCAATAATGATTTCCAGGTGAACCTGTCAGTCTGAGGCATCACTTTTGGAGTCGTCATTTCCTTCTCCATTCAGTACCAATGCACACGCACACTTCGGAACCAGGGCTAATTCACATAAATCTCCCAGTGTACAAAAGCTCGTTTCATGCTCAAGGGTGAGAAAGAGGAAGTGGAACTCACTGGAGCTGATGATGGACAAAATGTGTGATTAAACAGAAGAAGCCTTTCAGTGAAGGAAACCACTCCACATTAGAAACTTGAAATTCTGCCGCTCACTAATTCTGAATCTGCTGCTTTGGTATTCCTGCTTCTTCCCCTCATCTCAAAATGGAAATACCAATGTATTTTAGGGCATTTAAATTCCTGTATACGCAAAACAGACTGATTATTTGAATAAATATATTAATCCTGTGGTACCCTTCCTCAACTTTAACTATATTTGTCAGTTCCATCGTGTTTCCTTCAATTATATTCATACAGCCCAAAGAGGAAGCAGCAAATCAGTTACTTTCTCTCAGCCGAGGAGAAGCAATGCAGTGACCCCTTGATGTTGCTTTGACTCAAACTGCCATGAACCCTGACCACTGACCCTGCTGGCTGCCGGAGCACCTGGGAGTTGTAGACCAACAAAACCTAGAGGGGACTAGATTAACTATCCTGTCTTGGCGTAACCCAACTTACAGGACTGCCGTGAGGATAAAATGAGAGACAGGAGTGTATTGCTAAACAGTGCAATGCTCTAAACGTCTGTTTCAAATGACTGCTGTAGTTGTTTATATATATATACCGTATTTTTTGCACCATAACACTCACTTTTTTCCTCCTAGAAAGTAAGGGGAAATGTCTGTGCGTGTTATGGAGGGAATGCCTACAGGTGGCATGCCTACGGGTTTTCCTCCTCTAAAAACTACGTGCATGTTATGGTCGGGTGCGTGTTATAGAGCGAAAAATACGGTGTGTGTGTGTATATATATATATATATATATATATATACATACACACATATATATACACACACACACACACATATATATACATACATATATACATACATATATACACACACACTCACACACATATATACCGGTATATATTCATATTCTTCCTCCCAAACTGGCTTGCATAGTAAAACAACATAAAATACAGTCATTTAAAACTGAAGGATCACCAGGAAGCAGTTTTGAGCACTCCAAAACCCAACATAAATGCTACATACTATTGTTTTTAGTTGGGTGGCTTAGAATTAAGCACATTTTTAGCTTAGCAATACGAATACTGACCTACCTCATAGGGCCCTGTAAAGATTACTGAGATGCGCTTTGAACAAAGCTTACCATTTCCCCTTTATTTCCCTCATCTTAAGGAATGTTTTCTTAGATTTAATACAGTACAAGTAACAGTTTATTATTTATACCCCACCCATCTGGCTGGGTTTCCCCAGCCACTCTGGGTGGCTTCCAACTGAATATTAAAAACACAATACAGCATTAAATGTTAAAAACATCCCTAAACAGGGCTGCCTTCAGATGTCTTTTAAAAGATAATTGCTTATTGCCTTGACATCTGATGGGATGGCGTTCCACAGAACGGGTGCCACCACCAAGAAGGCCCTCTGCCTAGTTCCCTGTAACTTGGCTTCTCACAGTGAGGGAACCGCCAGAAAGCCCCTGGACCTGGACCTCAGTGTCTGAGCTGAACCTTGCAAAGCTGTTGTCTGTCAATAATGTGTGTGAGCACCTGCAATGCTCCCCTGTGCATGTGTACACAGCAAGGCCTCAAAAAGGCCAAGCCTTTGGGTTGTGCCAAATGATATTCTTACTCAGGGTAGATTAAACTTCCTCTCGTGCATTATTCCAATAGGTCTGCTCCAAGCAGCTGGGACGAAACCCCACTGCTGCTATTGCAATTGGCTTGCACCGTGCTCAAATTCTTTCCCTGCGAGGGAGCAAGCTGCCTACAAAATTATCCAACACCCCCACCGCAAAATTGCAAATCAGGCTTATTATCAAAATTTACAGACTTCCAGCTGTTTGTAAGGAGCAAATCAAACGAAAGCCATTGAAACATCTCCAACACAACGGAAGCTTCAAGCGGGTTCCACCCCAACCCGCCCCCCCCGCCCCCGCAAAAAGAATCCAGCTGAAAACTCAACTTTGATTTTGCTCGCTGCAAATTTTGATAATAAACCTGACTGGTGTGTGTGGGGTGTGTGTGAATGACTTCAATCGCAACACACCCTGCACACACCCCCAAATTCAGCCGGAAACGCAACTTTTGATTTCTTCCGTGCAAATTTTGATAATAAACCTGGATTTGCCATTGGTGGTGGGTGGGGGGAGGGGTTTTAATGTGAAGGGTTCCGACTCCGATCTCTCTGCACCCCACCCCCACTTGTAAAAGCAGCGAGGCTGGCCCGCCTTCCAAAAAGGCAGAAGCCTAAAGACAACAATAGCAACCAATAATTATAATTTCAATAATAATAATATGATGATAATAATATGACCATCCACCACTGTGATCACAATATGATAATAATATGCTGATGATGATGATAATATGACCATCCACCGCTGTGATCATAATATGACGATGATGATGATAATAATAATATGCTGGTGGTGATGATAAAGATAATGATAATATTAATAATATGATCATCCACCGCTGCGACCAGCCTGGACGGCCGCCCTGCCTCCCTTCCCCGCCCTAACAAAAGACTCGGCGCTCCCCTCCCCTCCCTCGTGCGTGCTTTTCTTTCTCTCTTTTTTTGGGAGGGGGGTGGGAGAGAAAGAGGGGGGGGCGCTTCGGGCCCCGCCCCCTCGGCGCAGGCCCCGCCCCCTCCTGCGTCACCGGCCGCGCAGGCCGCAAGGCGAGCCTGGCCCGCTCTCACTGTCGCCGCGGCCTCCTCCTCCTCCCACCAACCGCCTCTTCCCTCAGCGGCGGCGGCGGCTTCGGCCTCACCTGACGACGTCGCTGCCGCTCCGACGAAGCGGGGAAGGAGGGCGGCGAGGCGAGGCGAGGCGGCGGGCCGACGAAGCTGAGGGTCCCTCCGGCCGCGCGACGAGCCGCTCCGCTCCCTCAGTCGGCAGAAGCAGCAGCAGCAGCAGAGGGAGGCGGGCTCCGGCACCGGCCACGCCCACCCCGCCGCCCGCCCGCCCGCCGACGCTCATTGGCCGCCGCGCGCGCGACCGGCGCGCCCATTGGACGGCCGCCGCGCCGGTTAAAGGCGCGCTGTTGGGTGAGGGAGGGAAAAAACGGACGCTCGCCGAGCGGCGGCTCGCCTTCGGGCCGGCGCATGCGCGGAGGGCTGCCGTCGTCGTCCTCCTCCTCCTCCTCCCCACCTTTTTTTTTGGGCGTGGCTGCGCGCTTTTCTTTTTTTTCCCCCCCACCAGTCACGCGCTCCGAACCTTCTTCCCGCGGGACGCGCGTTCACACATTACGTTTACAGCGGACGTGAAACCCGGGTGTTTTTTTCGTGTGTTTTTTAAACACTCCCCACCAACCCCTTTTTTGGGGGCGGTGCGTCAACACGCAAGCATTTAAATGCGTTAAAAATAATAATAAAACACGGATGACGCAGGCCTAACAGTAATCATCCGGAGCCCACGTTTTTTAAAAAAATTAAAAATGTGGAATGGCTGCTCTGCCCACGTGCAAACGCACACGCAACCCTTCCCCTCTGCAAAAAAAAGAAAAATGATTTTCAGTAAAACATAATAATATTATTATTTAAATTTGTATACCGCCCTATACCTGCAGGTCTGTAGACTGTATAAAAAGACTGTATTTAGATGCCCAAGAAATTAAGGGTGACGTGAGAAAGCTCAAACCCTTATAGGAAACCAGCCCTTTTTTAAAGGTTGGCTTGCATTGATTAAATGGTTCATTTCATCGTATTACGCACAGGCTGGTATTATTCTTTTCCTACCATCATCATAGATGAAACTATACAATTTTGTAAGCCATTAACTGTTTGTTGGTGGTATTGGGGTTTTTTTTAATCCTTGTAAGGGCAAATAACCTAAAAAGTGACTTCTTTTTTTAAAAATCTAATTAAAATTAATTAATTGAGTCATGCGCACTAGAACGCTGCTCAAATGATCTGAGGCGTAATTGAGATATTGGAAGGGAAAGAAAGCCGCCTGTCATGGTTAGAAAAGGCCGATTAAAACATTTCCCCCTCCATTTCCTTAAAAAGATCTCTATCGCAGGAACTACAGGTGTGGTGAAACAGCTTAGATAAATAACATTTGGACAACGAGGATTTGCGAGATAATTATTCGGATGCTTTAAAGCTCTTTAGAAGATCTGAATCTACCAGTGCTGGTTTGAAATCTTTTAAGGAAATTTATTATGATGTTCCTAGTACAATCCTCGCCATGCCCACTCACATGCAAGCTATACATTCGGAGCAGGACCGTTCTGTTTAAAACAATCCTGGCTTTCTCTCTGGGAACTGTAGTTTGTTCAGAGCTAACGCTATTATAGGCTGCATCCTCAGAAGTCTAGTGTCCAAGGAAGTCCTAGTCCCTATTTATTCTGCCACGCCTGGGGTACTGTGTCCAGTTCTGGGTACCACAATTTTAGAAGGATGTTGACTGACCGAACCCAAAGTGTGTTCATTACTGGTTCCTCAGCATCCTTGGAAAAAGTGACCAGTGGGATCCATAGGGTTCTGTCCTGGGCCCGTTGTTGTTCAACGTCTTTATAAATTTGCAGGCGACATCAAGCTGGGAGGGATAGCCTGTGTCTAAAATCCCTGGTAGGGGACAAGGATCCTGAGATCACGTTAGGGGTAGCCAAATTCTGTGTGACTGCCATAAAACTTAGGGAACGAGCTGTGCTATCATAATGATTAAGGTTTTAAATGATAATTTCAGGTTATATGTTAGTGACTAAGTTTTAATTTATATATTTTTAACTGTTGCTATATCTGTATTGTCCCTGTTATACCTAATTGCAAATTCAAAATTATCCCCATCGTGTTCTATGACTTCCTTGATATCGTATGTGGGCTGGAACTGGTCTGTGACCGAAATAATAAAATGCATTATTTGGGAGGGGTAGCCAACGCCACAGAAGACAGAATCGGGATTCAAAATTACCTTAAGAGAACTGGGTGCAAGCTAACAAAATGAATTTCCGCAGGGACAAGGGTCAGGTTCTGCCCTTAGGCTGGAAGAACCAGATGCGCAAATATAGGATGGGGGACACCTAGCTAGACTGTGGTACCCATAAAAAGGATCTGGGGGTCTCGGTGGACCGCAAGCTGAACGTGAGCCCACCGTGTGATGCAGCAGCAAAAAAAGCGAATGCTATTCCAGGCTGCATCCACAGAAGTCTAGTGTCCAGATCAAGGGAAGTCCTAGTGCCTCTATATTCTGCCTTGGTCAGACCACACCTGGAATCCTGTGCCCAGTTCTGGGCACCACAATTTAAGAAGGATGTGGACAAGCTGGAAGGTGGGCAGAAGAGGGAGACCGAGATGATCAAGGGTCTGGAAATCGAGCCTGATGAGGAAGGGTTGAAGGAGCTGGGGATGTTTAGCCTGGAAAAGAGGAGACTGAGAGGAGATAGGAGAACCATCTTCCAATATCTGAAGGGCTGTCCCATGGAGGCGGGAGAAAGCTTGTTTTCCCACTTACTTGGAAGGAAAGCCCATTGAATTCAATGGGACTTCTGAGCAAACATGGTTAGAACGGCAGCCTTCATTTGTTAAGCTGAAAGCCGTCCCTGGTGAAAACCACAGTGGTTGTTTCCAAATAATTTTGTATATTTTGTGCACGCAAAATTGCTAAAAAGCAGCAACCATCAAAATGTAAGCAATAAAATAAGTGCAGAAAACATAACATGACGTAATATAGCTGTAATGCAAGATAACATCGTCGTCAACATGATAAAAGTAACGGCTGTTTTAACATAATTTATGTTCGGTAAATTTTAGCATTGGAAACGCAGGATGGCTGCAAAACTCTGGAGGGAACACAAAGTAAATTCCATTCCATGTTTATTTGTATTAATTAATAATATATATATATATATATTTTTATTTGTATTAGTGATAATACACAGGTGGGGGTTACTGCTCCTAAACAGCCATTTCTTTATATTCTTTATTTCCCTGTAACCAAACTCTAAATGATTTTATTGCTGTTGTCAGCCATGCAACCTCAACCAGTTTTTAAAGGAGATTAATAAGCTAGACACCTTTTTTCAGCTAAATCAGTTTTTCAATTAAATCACCTGGCCACAGAGATAATTTGGCTGCCCCCTCCAAAAGGGCAATACCAAATTGGGGGTCTTCCTTTTGGGGTTGGAGTATGATTGTACGATTTACTGTGGTGTATTTGTATCATTTCCTATGATTACATCTCATCTGAATTTTAAATTTTCTCTGATGGTCGAAAAGGCCTAAGAGTTGTCCGGCCTGAAAGGACATATATCTAGGACCCATGAATCAGGTCTGCTTTGGGAAGGCTGTGTACAAAATAGGCTGTACTCGGAGTACAACCATGGAAATTAATGCACCCAATTTAGTCCAGTCTATCCATTTCAACGGGTCCAGCCGGGAGTAGGGCTAATGGCTCCCCGTTTGCAGGATGCTATCCCCAGGGCGGTTTGCCTGCTGCCGCCTTCCTTATACACCTTCAGGCGCCAGTTGAAAAACATTCCTCTGCAACCAACACTGTGCTGTGGAAGAGGGGGTTATCTCTGTTTTTGTTTATCATGTCTTTTTCATATTTTAATTTTATGTTGTGAACCTCCCTGAGATCTACAACGATGGGCCGGTATATTAAGAACAGTAACGATGACAATGATGGGTGCAACCTGCACTGAACTAGGCAGTGCAAAATGACATCATGGCCATGACATCACAACACACCTCTCCCTCTCCTGCCTACTGCAAAATCAACCAGACTTCCATTTTTATTTTTATTACATATCATGTCCTTTTTATATTTTAATTTTATGTTGTGAACCTCCCTGAGATCTACAGGTATAGGGCAGTATACTACTACTAATAATAAAAATAATAAAAATAATAATGGATGCAACCTGCACTGAACACGCAACTAGGCCGTGCAAAATGACATCATAGCCATGACATCATGACGCACGTCTCCCTCTCCTGCCTCCTTCAAAATCAACCAGGCCTCCATTTTCATTTTTATTACGTATTTTGTCCTTTTTACATTAGCATACTACTACTACTGCTAATAAAAATAATAATGGATGCAACCTGCACTGAACACGCAACTAACTAGGCCGTGCAAAGTGACGTCATCGCCATGACGTCACGACGCACGTCTCCACCCCGCCTATTACAAAACCAACCTGGACTCCCTATTCGAATTCCGTCCCCGCCCCCTTCTTTCCCCCCCCCTCTGTTGCCATGGCGCTAGAATTCGGGCCACGCCCACTTTCAAAGTAACGGCCGCGGGAAGGGAACGGGCACAGCGAGCGGCGCGCCTGCGCAGAAAGGGGGAAACGCCGTCGTCCCGCCCTGACAAGATCTCGCGAGATCACGACGCGGTAAAGGGGCGGGGCCCGCTGCTTGAAGGACGGGAGGGGGGAAGGGAAGGGAAGGCATTAGATAATCATGGAAATGGGATAGAGCGGCGCACGCAAGGCTTCCGCCGAAGCCGCGCCGATAAGAGAGGCGACGGAGGCCGTTAGATATTGCCGGGGCTCGAAAACGCGTTTTAAAAAAATGAAAATCCTTTTTACCTCAGTGAGGAAAAGACTCGGAGCGGCCCGCCAGCGAGACTCCTTCCCGGCACTTCCGCTTCCGGTCTGACGTCAGAGGGTCGCGGCGTCGCCATAGAGATGCCCGCGGCTAGAGCGGCCGCTGGCCAGGGCGCGCTGACTTCCGGAGGACAGAGCTACGAAAGTGTAGAGGATCCACAACTGCAGCAAGATCTTTGTTAGCGAAGAATTGGAAAACACAAGAAAGATTGGCAGATGAAGATGATGGATTTTTCGGAGCTGGCCAGCCTGACTGGAAGAGTCCGTGACCAGGAGGAGGAGGAGTACCAGGAAGAATGGACGAAATTTAAAGACTATTTAGTTAAATATGTTAAGTTAACTTAATTGGAAAAGCTTGCAAATACCAGATAGGCTTAGGATTTAAATATGTGATGTGATGAATTAATATGTTTCATGCCAAATTTGAAAGAAAGAAAGATGTTAAGTGATTAAGTTAATTTTATAAGAATATTTATATTTATAAGAAATCAGCCCTGAGTGCTCACTGGAAGGACAGATCCTGAAGCTGAGGCTCCAAGACTTTGGCCACCTCAGGAGAAGAGAAGACTCCCTGGAAAACACCCTGGTGTTGGGAAAGATGGAGGGCGCAAGGAGAAGGGGACGACGGAGGACGAGATGGTGGGACAGTGTTCTTGAAGAGACCAGCAGGAGTTTGACCAAATTGCGGGAGGCAGTGGAAGACAGGAGGGCCTGGAGTGCTCTGGTCCAGGGGTCACGAAGAGTCGGACACGACTAAACAACAACTATAAGAATATTGCTTTTGGAAAACTGTTAAAATGATATACACTGAAATTCAACCAGGGGGATACGAGGAAGTAACTTAACAATGTTACTAAGATTGGTTTAAATAAGGCCGAGATTTATGTTTGTTTGTCTAAAAAATTTATTGGAAAATTCATTGAAAAAAAGAAGAAAGCACTAGAGGATCACATCACCTCCTTTGCACGGAGACATTCCAGGTTCGCGTTGCTAAAGGGGGAAGGATGAATTCCAAGGTTGCTTTGGCCTCATTTTGATCTCCCCAGATCCCCTCAAAAGCAGCAGTTAAGTTTGGGGTTCATCCTCTTCCTAACTCAGTTATTTTATTTTTAAAAGCAATTAAAGGTACCCCAGCCAAGGCAGATTCTGGCGCCCAAATAGCCCAATGTTGTAGCTTTAGGACTCACAACAGCCCAACAGTGAAGGCTGCCCTCAATGCTCTGCTACATGGCTTTGGGCTGGCACCCCAAAATCATATTGCACCCTCCGCACAGCAATAATTCCCAGCACCATTAACAAACGACAGTTCCCAGGATTCTGGCAGAGGGGCCCCTCTCCCCAGGACAGGCAGCACCTGAACTCTGCACCAAGAAATGTGGGGGGTGAAGGGATAGAATAATAGAAATGTAGAGTTGGAAGGGGACCCCCCAAAGGTCATCCAGCCCAACCCTCTTTCAATGCAGGAATCTCAGCTAAAGCATCCATGACAGATGACCACCCAACCTCTGCTTGAAAACCTCCAAGAAGAGCCCACCGCTTTCCATCGCACGGTCAAACAGCTCTGACCGTCGCAAAGGATGTTGAGTAGGCATCTCCTTCCTTGCTACGTGAAGCCACGGGTTTGAGTCCTACCCTCCCGGTGAGCAGGAGAAAACAAGCTCGTTCCCTCTTCCTTTTGTGTGTCGGCCCTCGAGATGTGTGCCGAGAGGCCAAACTCCCAGCCTAGAGGCAGGTGGGGTCTGCAGGAAGGCACAACATAAACAAGTAATGGGGGACCCCTGTTTAGGTGGGACCAGAGACGGCAACTGTGTGGGACCACCCTCTGGAAGGCCTGTGACGGCGCTCTGGCTGCCACACCCAGATGGGGACAAGTGGGGTGCTGCCCTGGGGTTCTGCCCTGGGCTCCAGAGCTTGCTGTTCTAATTTTGAGCATCTCCCCTGTTACGTTTACTATTTATTTTTTTCTTGAACACAGCTCAAAGAGAGAGAAAACACATACACATTCGAAGGGGTTTACTCTCCCACTATCGTTTCGCGTTCGCTCCTTTGGGCTGTGCTTCCAGCGACTGCAGGCAACGGGGATTTCAGGTCCGGGTCGCCACTGAACCCCTGGGCTGCTAATGGGAGTCCCCCACTGGTGTTGCAGCCGAGGAAGGAATCCCCTCTTCTTGGGGGTCCATGCCGGCTGCCCCCTGCTTCTGATTCTGCACGCCCATTGCAGAGAAATCCTCCCCTCCCTCATATTCCCAGGCTCCCTGACCCACCCACCCCACAAAGAGGCAGAGGACAGACAGTGTTTCCAGCTCAAATACTGATCAACAGAAGCTCAATTTATTTGAAACAGACTTTTCGGCAACAAGTGAACAATGGCCTCTTCGGCAGGAACGGTGGTTTGCTTGCTTGGTGGTGGTTCCGACGGCTGGGGGCGAGAAGGGGGTGGCGGTGGTCCCGTGTCTTCAACCTGGCTTCAGCAGGTAGCGCTAACCCGGCCCCAAACGTCACCCCGAGCCAAAATGTCGAAGAAAACCTTTACACGCAACCACGGGGGGTCCCCGTTTCCGCAGCAAGAGCCACAATGGATCTTTTCCTGTGGCTCCAGCAGGGCCCTTTAAAGCTGCCTAAAGGAAGGCGAGGAGATCCCAATCTTGGCTTTGTTTACTCTTGGGAAAGGCAGACTTGAACACTGGATTACCGGCACTGCAGACGTTTCGAGCCAGAGTTCCAGGGAAGGGAAGGAGGCGGAACGAAAGACAGAAAGGGAACACTGACATGGGGAGGGGGGGGAGATGTGCTTCCTAAACAGCAAAGCCCGACTGGTCACTGAGTAAAGGCAAATTGCTCAGGAGCAGGTGGAGCTTGAGGAGGAGCAGGAAGAGGAAGAAAAGCATCGACATCCATCCAATTTTCTACACACACCGTTTGAAGCCAGACACTCACAAGAACACTGTGCACATGTTTTCTTCTGCTGGGAGACCCAATTGCTGTCTTTTCAAAAGCAGCGTCAGACATCATGGCAAAACATGGAGAGGAAGCTTCCTCGCACGCGAAAATGAGGCTAATTTTCCAGATGCAGGGACTTTTCTGCCACGAAGGAGCAGCCCGGCGTGATCCAGGCATGGATTTTCCAGCTCGGCTGCTGCTTGTGAAAACTGCAGAAATCGGTTCTTCCCCCTCGGCTCCAGAATTGGTGTAAATTTGCTCAGTCCACCCGCTCTGAATTCCCTGCCTTCATGGGAAGGAGAGAGAGAGAGCAGGTTTTCTGTGAGCGATGCGTCGTCCGGAGTCTCCGTTCCGAATGTCGGCAAAACAGGCCTGCGCTAATAAGTGTGGGGGCTTTGAGGGGCGTCCGCAGAGGTCAAGCAAGGGTTTGTCTGGCAAGAAGGGCTTGGCTAATACTCGGAAGCAGCTCCGGAAAGCGGATCATAAACGCTCAGGCTTCTGAAGCGCGGAAATAAGACTGGCCAGGTTTTTCCTGAGGTCGGCTCTATCTCAGGGCAACAGCTAACTCCTAACGTGATTAACACTGAACAAGAGAAACACACACACATTCACAAGGTCGGTGCCGAAGGCTGCCGGATTGGGGACTCAGGCTGGGTCCCGCTTCCAGCCGGCCAAACCTTCCCCACCCCCCGAGAACCACCTTCCGAGCACCAAACGCGTTTCTGAACTGGAAGATGCGCCGTTTCCTCGGTCGTGGCTGTTCAGACGGCCCTCACTGTGTCCGGAGTTGATAATCTAGGGCAGAGGAACAGGAAAGGACGGGAGACGTTTAGAAACTAGGAGGAAGTGTTTTACTGAGAGGAGCAAAGGAGGGAGGGAGGCAAGGCGAGAAGTCCATTTTTAAACTGGTGCTGAATCCAAATTGATTTGTTGTTAATTTGTTTAAAAATTTGGAAAACTTGCCAGAGAAGAATGGCAAATTAAACTGTTGGGTTATGCCAAAATGGCAAAACTGAAACCCAGCCGGATGGGCGGGGTATAAATAATAAATTATTAACACATTATCATATTTTATTCCAAATTTTTAAAAATGATTTTCACAAAATTATAAGCAAACAAACAAATGAACAAACAAACATAAATCATAACCTTATTAAAATTACACTTATTAACATTGCTAAGTGACTTCCTCACTTCCCCTTGGTTGAATTTCAATGTACATCCTTTTAACCGTTTTCCAAATCAAAGTTCTTATAAATTTAACTTAAACATTAACATCCTTAAATCTTTTCATTTATTATCACATTACTGTAAGTTGAGCCCCTACTCCTGCTGCTTCGCAAACCCAGACCCTCCTGTTCCCCGCTGCTGTTCACACATGCATTTGCAACATCAACAAGGCAAGCCCCGCCCCAGACCACTACCCCTTTTCCAGGAGCCAGGAGGGGGAAGAACATGCGCCTCTCCACCTACCTCCGTTCTGAGTGATGTAGCGGACCCAAGGCAGGGCCTGGTAGCCGCTCTTCTCAATTATCTTCAAGTAGCGTACCTGCGCAGGGAGGGAGAAAAGCAGAGCGAGTCACTTCCTCTCTCCATATGAACCTACCTGGACCCTGAGATCGTCTTCCGAGGCCCTCCTTCGTGCGCCTCCTCAAGAGCTGCAGAGGATGGCAACTATAGCTGTCAACTTACAGATTTGATAATAAGAGACCAGCAGCCTCGAAAATAAGGGACCAGCAGCCAAAATAAGGGATTTTCCAAGCACAGGTATGTTCAAATTCTGAGCCCTTCCGAGCCAAAGGCAGAAAGCCCAGCCAGCAGCCAAACGAAGCCTCAAGCGGTGGTTCCCACAGCGCAGCAACCCGGCAAAGGGGATGCAGCAAGGGAAAGCACCGTCACCTCTCCGCTGGGAAGCGCTGAGCAAAGGCGAGTCCCCAGGCAAGGCGGCCGATTTGATCGGCACAAGGCATGCAAGCTCCACCCCCCAGTCGTTCTTAGACTCCTTATTGGGTGAGCAACGCAGCCAAGCAACCCAGTTGGAGCCTCCCTCCTCCCTGGCCGGCAGGGAGGGAGGGAGAGGAGCTGCTTCCTTTGAAACCCGGGAAATTGAAGGGACATCATTGATAAGGGACAGCAGCGGGACATGGCGCTGGGATAAGGGAGTTTCCCACCAAATAAGGGACGCTTGACAGCTATGGTGGCAACACGAGTGCGGGGCCTTCTCTGCAGTGGCTCCGTTTGTGGAATGCTCTCCCCAGGGAAGTTCGCCTGGCGCCTTCATTATACGCCAGGTAAAAGCGTTCCTATTGATGGTTGCGTAAATTAACAGAACTTTGTAGAATTAGGGAGCATGACAGCCAAAGTAAGAAACTGCGGGATTGGAGGGTCGGCTTGCTTAGTCCAGCCCAGCCCCCCCGTCTTCGCAGCGGACAACCCCAGCCCCCCCCCCGTCCCATCCCCCCAACAGCCAAGAGCTTATCACCTGGATGCCGGAAGTGGTGAAATACGGGATTTCGAACTTAACGCTGATGGGTGGCTTCCCCTCTTTGTCCTCTGCTTCCACGCTGGGGAGTCCAAAATGAGCTCGCATCAAGTACTCCTTCCCTCCCTGCGGGGAAAGGCAGAAAGTCAGGGCTCATAGCTCCCCTCCCTGAATTCTGCTGGAACCATTTATAAGCCCCCTCAGAGGATGGGGAGAGCCAGGCTAGGCTGGGAAGGCTGCCTTCTCCCTTCCTTCCTGACCACAAGATCCTCAGAATTCCCTGTTCCCAGTCGAGCAAGGCAAACTCAAACATCCGACACAGGTTCCACGGCTAGAGCTCCCTGCAGCCAATTGGAAGCCGCGCCTGGTTTCTCAAATGTTTTGGAAGTCGAACAGAATGGATTCCGTTCGACTTCTGAGGCACCACTGTATATACAGTATATATAAAAATTAGTATCAGTTCATCTGCCTTCTGTCATGCCCTCCATCTTGGCCTCCAGGTTCTCACCCAGGGCCCAAACAAACTCTCAGCTCTCCCACAAGTGTCTCGCAACATTCAGAGGTGCTAAATGGGGGCCAAGCGAGGGCTGGAGCCGCTGTTCCAAAAGTGGCCACAGTCAGATCCCCAAACCGACTAGATCTTCTCTCTGGGGTCAGGGGTTCCCCTCTTTCCAGACACCCCAACAGTGCCATATTTACGTCTAAGCTAAATAAGCTATAGCTTAGGGCCCCACTCTCTTGGAGGCCACAAAAAAATTAAAGGGGAAAAAACTGGATGGCCATTTCCAAAATATGAGATAAAAAACAAATAAAATAAAACCTACATCCAGCAAGAGTGTTTTGTGTTGTGTGGGCTCCTAGGAGGTAAGTCAAGGGCCCCGCCTGCTAGCCTGCTCCCTAAAACATAGCTGTCAACTTTTCCCTTTTTTAAAGGGAAATTCCCTTGTTCCGAATAGGATTCCTCGCAAGAAAAGGGGAAAGTTGACAGCTATGCCCTAAAATACCCCTGGTTTGCTCCTTTCTATATATAGGGTGCCTACATTCTGCATGGACTGCATGTTGCAGGGCAACATGTGCAAATGGCTTGAGATACCTATTAGGTCCATCAATGACCATATAGCATACATTCAACACCAAAAACAGCGGCAATTTGTTGTTGACAAAGGACAGCCAGACATATAAAGGGCCCCATTACCTTCAGGAGCTGAGGGCCTCATCAAACCTAAATCCAGCCCAGCACCCCAAAATCCCAGACAGGCTTACCGGGAAAGACTTGACCGACCAGACGATGGCGCTGTTCTCGGGCACCCACTTCACGCTCCCAACGGTGGTTTTGAACTTTGGCGAATCTGCGTCATTCGGGACAGGGATGTGGATCTCCACATTGTTGGCTGTCGACCTGCGCTTGAACTGGCTCTTGGCCTAAGAAAGAGACCAGCACAAAGGAGAAACAGGTGTCTCGTTTTTTGTCTGTCCTCCCCATCCCCCATATTGCTTTATTAGTTTCGGAAAGAAAAATTACTGCCAACCAAAAAAAACCCAAAGAGTAATGCAACTTACAAAGGGTGAATTGAATTATTACAACAGAGCTTCTGTTGTGACTTCCAGTCAGTGGCGTAGCGTGGGGGGTGCAGGGGGTGCCGGCCGCAACATCTGGGGGGGGGGGGCGCTCGCACTCGCAGCTCTCTGCCCCTACCTGGCTCACTCACTCTCTCTCACTGCAGTGCTGGCTGTGTGAATCCGATCCGAGCCGCTGGGTCGCCGCCCACTGTGGAGGGGTGGGTGCCAGGCGTGCGGTGCGGAGAGAGAGCGAGGGACTATCTGGGGGAGGGACAGTGCAGCGGCCGCCCAGCGCAGCGCTGAGCGCGGGAGAGAACCACACCAGACCAGACCAGGCAGCAGCAAGAAGAAGCTGGCAGCGGCGGCAGGTTAGGGGGCGCAAATTACTTGCCTTGCCCCAGGGGCTGACAACCCACGCTACGCCGCTGCTTCCAGTCACCCCAAAAGAAACAGAGGGAGGGTCCCGCTCACCTTGATCATATACTCTATGCGGCTGTGGGAATGCTTTTCTATGACCGACTCGATCCAGATCAGGGGTTTCACCTGCGGGCGAAGAGAGAAAAGGGGTGTCAGGAGCCTGCTGAGTCAGGATAGGTACTGCGAGTGGAAAGCAGGAAAGCCCCCGGACACAGTGGCTGTGGAGAAGAGAGTCACTCTCTGGGCTGGCAACCAAGCCAATAATTTGGGAGAAGACTTTGCATGGAAGGTCTAGCATAATAATAACAATAAGAATTTATTATTTATACGCTGCCCATCTGGCTGGGCTTCCCCAGCCACTCCGGGCGGCTCCCAACAGAATATTAAAAGCACAATAAAACATCAGACATTAAAAGCTTCCCTAAATAGGGCTGCCTTCAGATGTCTACTAAAAGTCAGATCGTTGTTTATCTCCTTGACATCTGGCAGGAGGGCGTTCCACAGGGTGGGCGCCACCACTGAGAAGACCCTCTGCCTGGTTCCCTGTAACCTCACTTCTTCCAGGGAGGGAACCACCATGGGGCCCTCAGGAGATGGACCCTGGTTTCCGGGCTGAACAATGGGGGTGGAGACGCTTCTTCAGGTATACTGGGCCAAACTGTTGTCCCAAAGAAGCTGGAGACCCAAGTTTGGAAAACACCAGGCTAGACTGAAGGGAAGAAGAAAGCAACAGAAAGGGGGGGGGCGAGGAGGCATAAGGAGGGGGTTTGCTCCTGCCCTCGGATCAATGCAGACTCACGTGAGTGTTCAGGCGATAAGACATGAGCTCAAACTCCCCATCGGGCGGGATGAACGAAATAGTCCTGTCGTTTTCGAAGCGAGAGAGACGGACGCACTGGTGGAACTTCACATCCTCCAGTTCCACAGATTTGCTTTTGCCTCCTGGTGGGAGAAGAAGAAGAAGAAGGAGAAGAAGAAGAAGATTAAAATGAAAAGAGCCTGCTGTTATTTTGCCCTGACATGGCCCTAACTGTCCAGGAAGGAGAACTGGCGATGATTTGGGAATAAGGAGGGAGGCTACGGAGAGACAAGTGGCCCTGCAAATGCAAGGGAGAATCTGTTTTCCTACTCACACGCACAAACACCCCCCTTGGTTCTCAAACTTAATCCATTCCGGAAATCCGTTCCAAAACCAAGGCGCACTGCTTTCCCATAGAAAGTCATGCAAAATGGATCAATCCGTTCAAGACTTTTAAAAACAACCCCTAAAACAGCCATTTAACGTGAATTTTACTATCTATCGAGACCATTGATCCATAAAATGAAAGCAATAAACAACGTACTGTACTATAAAATAAAGAAGACAGTATTGTAGATGAAAGCAATTAAAATTGTTATTTTTTTCTTCCCCGCACTGATGACGGTCATTGTTTGGATGGGGGGCTTTTATCCATTTCCGCAGTCACACAACTAATCAATCGGTAACTGAATTGGTTTCCGCAAAGTCACAAAAACAAATGAACCGAAAAAGTCTGAGAAACAAAAACGCAAAATAAAGAGCAAAAACAAAAGCGCCAAACTTAATCCATTCCGGAAATCCGTTTGACTTCTGAAATGTTTGGAAAACCAAGATGCGGCTACTGACTGGTGCAGGCGCCCCGGAAACAAGAGCCAACAGCCGCAGCGGACGTTCGGCTTCCAAAAAACGTTCGAAAACCAGAACACTCACTTCCGGGTTTTCTGTGTTTGAGAACTAAGGCACCCCTGGAGTTGAAAAGACGCCCCTAGCCTGACCCATCTCTCACCGCGCAATGGGCGAGTTCTTCAAAGAGGCAAGGAAAGAGCCCGAAACGTTTTGGGAGCCGCCGCAGACATACTCACGGCCAGTGTTGTCGAAGAGGACTTTGTCGTTTAAGCCCAGGCGGAGCTCTGGCATCCCGGAGAGGAAAACCCTCATTTTGATGGAGCCCACGATCTCGCTGCGCAGAACGTTCCCGTTGGCGCTCACCTGGGACGGGAGGGAGGGGGGTCACTGGACAAGGACCGACAAGGCACCGACCAGCCGCAGGAGGCCACTTTTTGAGGCCTGCCGGCTGATGACGACGGCTCAGACAACGGCCGAGGGGTATAGACAGATCAAGTGAGTGTGCGGAGGCAAGAACAGACGCGAGGAAGCTCTCCAGCCCCCACCCCAAGACGCGGAGGTCAAGTGGGTAGCTTCCAGGCCACCGGATCGGAGGGTTTCCGCGTCCTTCAACCATCTCGCGGTTGACATTATCGGACTTGCAAGCTCAGGCTGCGCAGGAAAAGCATTTCGCTTCCCGGAATTGATCCCGGCGCTGCAGCCAAAATATAGCGGGCAGAATTCTACAGGAGGGGGGCGTTAAGCATGCAAAAACAGGCCAGGTTGCAGGCATCTTCTCTTGGTCGTCAAGCAGACGATAGTGATGGTGCCTAATTTCAAACACTGTTCTTAGAAGGGAGGGAGATTTGGCGATGGAGCTGAGGGCAGTGGACTCTGGTCATCTTTGTGCAGGCCGTGGGGTTTGCACGTCCTCCCGGGGAGGGCCCTCTTGTAACGCTGCCCCCAGCGCAATGGGTCCACGCCCTACAAGCCTAAGGGACCTTCCTCCGAAAGCTGGTTAAGTAGAAAAGCGTGCTCACCAGGAGGTTCACCGATTCGATGACGTCCAGGAAGACCTCGTTTTTCCGGTACTTGATCCCTTCCGAACGCCAAGACACGGCATTGGTAACGGTGGCCGGGGGGCGCGGCGCTCCCGTTTCCAGCTTGTGACCTTCTTGGGTTATGTACCTTTCCGAAAACACAGGCAGGAAGTCAAAACGCAACGCTCTGCACCTTTCCGCCCCAGAGACATGCTTAAAACAATTCCCCATCTAGCTGGAAAATGATGAAGAGATTTAAGCCTGGTCCAACCAGGCCAGACAGAGGTAAACACCACCGATCTCTTCTCCCTCAAACCCCAACTTGTGTCTCTAGACTCAGTCTACACAGCAGCAGCTCCTGAGCTCAGACATTTGCAAGCGGGGAGCCACAGCAGGAAAGGCCCGTCACCCGTCAGCAGCAACTCTCTCCTTGTCCTGCCAAGATTTCAGCAGCCAATTTTGAGTCTCGGGCTGCTTCTCTCGAAGATTCAGCCCAGACACTTACTCTTGTAAAATCTTGCTGTCTGTGGTCTGCGGGTATCCGAAATCCATCAGCTCGTCTAAGAGTTCGTAAATGATCACAAAGTTGTCTCGGATGCTCTCTTCCTCCAGCTCTTTGAAATACTCGGAAAACACCTGAAACGGTCAAGAAAAAGCACAAGGTCACCCAGGACCAAGTGTTAAAGTGGCAGGTAGCAGGTCTCCTCAAATAAAAAAAAGGTTGTTCACAACCTTTGAAACTGCTAATGCTGGAAAGGTGGGGAATGCATTTGTCAACCATCCCCAGATGCCTCCAGCGCCGTTGATTCAATCCTGTACAGTGGTATCTTGGTTCTCAGACTTAATCCGTTCCGGAAATTCCGTTCCAAAACCAAAGCGTTCCAAAACCAAGGCATGCTTTCCCATAGAAAGTCATGCAAAACGGATCAATCCGTTCCAGACTTTTAAAAACAACCCCTAAAACAGCCGTTCAACATGAATTCTACTATCTAACGAGACCACTGATCCATAAAATGAAAGCAATAAACGACGTACTGATTGTGCAGTCACACAATCAATCAATCAATCAGTAGCTGAACTGGGTTCCACACAATCACAAAAACAAAACAAAAAGAGCCGCAAAAATGCAAAATAAATAGCAAAAACAGACAGACCTCAGTGTAACACTCAAAACGGAAGTGTGGCACTCAAAACGGAGCACTTTCAGCTTCCGAAGGAAGTTCGCCAACCGGAGCAGCTACTTCCGGGTTTGCAGTGTTTAGGTTGAGAACCAAGGGACCACTGTATTAGGCTACTTCGCCCAAGGGCATGACAAAATCCACATGGGGGAAAACCCTCAGGGCCTCAGCATCTCTGACTCAGTACATCTGCAGGAACACAGTAATTGTCACACTTACCTGAACGACCTTGTAGAGGAACGAAAACACCAGAGAGACGCAGGCGTTCTTCTTAGAGGTGGCAACCACTGGGGGGGGGGGGCTGTGTTGAGGAGTTTGTCACTTAAAAGGGGGGGGGGCACATCAATAAACACATTTGCAGGTTTTCAAGTTGCCGGTTCTCTGTATTTCTTTTACATTTTATTCGCTTCGCTTTGCAAACTTGCCTCCCTGTTGACCGATCGCCACAAGGCGGATAATAATGCTAAATTTAACCATGTGAAATCTACCAGGGATGAAGCACAGCAGACCTTTTCCTGGCACTGGCTAGATTTAAATGAATACAAGCCTCTGTGTTGCAAAAGCTAACAATCTACAAACTTGCAAATGCGGCACGCCGGCTAATAACTGTTAGTGAATATATACCGTATTTTTTGCCCTATAGGACGCACTTTTTCCCCTCCTAAAATGAAGGGGAAATGTGTGTGCGTCCTAGGGGGCGAATGCAGGCTTTCGCTGAAGCCTGGAGAGCGAGAGGCGTCAGTGCGCACCGACCCCTCTCGCTCTCCAGGTTTCAGGAAGCTATCCGCAACCCTTGCGCGCCCGGCGGGAGTTCCTCCGGGCTCGCAAGGCTTGCGGATAGCAGCCTGTTCTGGGGGCTGGGGTCGGGGGAAGCTCGGGCTTCCCCCACCCCAGCCCCGTGGCTGGGGGAATAATTTTTTATTCATTTCCTCCCCCAAAAAATGAGGTGCGTCCTATGGGCCAGTGCGCCCCATAGGGCGAAAAATATGGTAATCAGTTATTAAGTCATTCAAAATATACAAACAAGCCGCTTCAAAATGATGTATATATCGTACAACACATCTCACAAAATATACAAGTAACTACAAGTTACTACAAGTAGGGGGGTGTTCTACATGGAAAAATACGGTATTTTATATTTGGGATCTTGGAATTCTTATAAAAAGGGGAATTCGGGAAGGTGGGGGCCGCCACGGAGAAGGCCCACCTCCTTCATAGCAACCATCTGCCTTGTATCGTGAAGCAGCCCTCCAAGCAGAAGAACTTGGAAATGCATGTTTTGCTTTGGCAAAGGATACGATATAAGTTGTTGTGTTTGATCCACATAAATCGGACGCCTCCGTGGGCCAGGATGGGAGACAGAGTCCCTTCTTCTTCCTTCTCCATGAGGATCGGCATGAAATGCTCGACTTCTGACATGTCCACATCTCCGCGGTAATTTCTGCAGATGAGGACCTGGAATCGGCAGGAGCGTGTGGGGTGGTTTGGGGCAGAGAGAGAGAGGAAAAAGAGAGAATCTTTAGCAGCTGAAACGGAAGTCTAAAGCAAGACGTTGCCACTGTTCCGTCACACCCAGGAACCGTCCCCTCCAGAAGCACCACCCCCGCACCTACGTCCGAGGCCCAGAAGGAAACCACTGGCTTCCTGCTTTGGGAAGGAGCCAGAGCCAGAAATCTGCAGGCTGCGGTGCTCCTTTTGCAAAAGGACGTTTCTCTGGGAGGGGAGGTGGGGATCTGCTCCTCACCCAGCTAGCTCCCTGGTCTCTAATAATAATAATAATTAATATTAGTATTCATACCCCCAGCTGGATGACTGGTTGTCAATAATAAAAATAATAATTAGTATTAGTATCCATACTAGCACTGGTACCCCATCCAGCTAACTCCCTGGTCTCTAATTATTATTTCTTTATTTATACCCCGCCCATCTGGCTGGGTTTCCCCAGCCACTCTAGGTGGCTTCCAACAGAATATTAAAATACAATAATCTATCACACATTAAAAGCTTCCCTGAACAGGGCTGCCTTCAGATGTCTTCTAAAAGTCTGGTAGCTGTTTTTCTCTTTGACATCTGGTGGGTGCCATTACAGTGGTACCTCGGGTTAAGTACTTAATTCGTTCTGGAGGTCCGTTCTTAACCTGAAACTGTTCTTAACCTGAAGCACCACTTTAGCTAATGGGGCCTCCTGCTGCTGCCGTGCTGCCAGAGCACGATTTCTGATCTTATCCTGAAGCAAAGTTCTTAACCTGAAGCACTATTTCTGGGTTAGCGTAGTCTGTAACCTGAAGCGTATGTAACCTGAAGCGTCTGTAACCCGAGGTACCACTGTACTGATATTATAATATTGATACTATTTTATTATAATTTATACCCCAGCCACCCTGGGGCAGCTTCCGACCCCGTATCATCCTAATTTTATCATTTCAACCCGCCCATCTGTCATCTGTCACTCTGGGTGGCTTATGTATATACATAAAAAAGTAACCAAACGTCAAGCCTTTCAGACGTGACAGGGCTGCCTTCTGAGTCCTAGCCAGGTGGGCTGCTTTTGGCTAGGGAGGCTCCATTCCTCGGTAAAGTATACCTGAGGGAGCGCCTCCACCCCCATCGTCCAGCCCGGACACTGAGGTCCAGATCCGAGGGCCTTCTGGCGGTTCCCTCATTGCAAGAAGTGAGGCTACAGGGAACCAGGCAGAGGGCCTTCTCAGTGGTGGCGCCCTCCCGTCAGATGTCAAGGAAATAAACAACTACCAGACTTTTAGAAGACATCTGAAGGCAGCCCTGATCAGGGAAGCTTTTAACGTTTAATAGGTTTTTGTATTTTAGTGTTTTGTAGGGTGGCTGGGGAAACCCAACCAGATCAGCAGGGTATAATTATTATTATTATTATGATTATTATTATTCCCTTTTCCTCTGCTCATCCCTTGGGGGGGGAAGGCCCACTGGACCCCCCCCCACTCAAGGGACCCCCCCTCCCCGGCCCCTCCCCCCCCCGCTTTTTCCTGTCAGGCGGAGGCGGGTAGACTGCTCCTGCCCAGGGAGGCTCACCTTCCCTTTGAGGTCCAGCACGTAGACGGCGCTGGCGGACATGGCGAGGCGCTCGGGGGTAAGGGGTGGGGAGGCCCACAGGCAACAGCGGCAACCGGCCTCGACGAGCTCGCAGGCGCCGCTTCCCCGCTTCGGAGCCGGAGAGGCCGCACCAACGACGCGCGCGGGCTAGAGCGGCGCTCTCATCCGGCGCGCGGGTCGTGACGTACGGCTTAGAGCGACCCTCTCCCTCTCTCTCTCTCGGCGCGCGCGTCGTGACGTAGAAGCTAGAGCGGCGCTCTGCCTATCTTTCTCAGCGCGCGCGTCATGACGTCGCCGCCAACGGACGTTGCTGACGTGGCACCAATGGGATCCCCGGGCCTCTGCCGGAGGCGGGAGTTCCGTCGGCCTCCTCCAATGGGAGCCTCCCCGCCCCGCGGACGGGCAGCCCCGCGGGCCTATCGCCACCCGCGGCCGCCGCTTCCCGGCCTGAGGAACATGGCGAAGACCTACGACTACCTCTTCAAGCTGCTGCTGATCGGCGACTCCGGGGTGGGGAAGACGTGCGCGCTCTTCCGCTTCAGCGAGGACGCCTTCAACGCCACCTTCATCTCCACCATCGGTGCGCCCGCCCCTCCCTCTCCGTCGCCATGGCAACCGCGGAGCGCCCCCTCCCCCCCCATGGCAGGCCTACCTCGCGGGGTTGGTGGGGGGACCCGGAAGGGGAACCCCCGCCAGGGCTTATTTCGGGGGGGGGAGGCTCCAGCTGACACCCCCCCAAAAGAATAATAATGCAGCTGACACCCCCTAATAATAATAAAATTAATAATAAAAAAATCATAGCCTGCTGCTGACACCCCCCAAAAGAATAATAATAATAATAATGGCCTGCAGCTGCCACCCCCCCAAAAGAATAATAATGCAGCTGACACCCCCTAATAATAATAATAACCAGCAGCTGACACCTCCCCAAATTATAATAATAATCATAGCCTGCAGCTGACAACCCCAAAAAAGAATAATGCCGCTGACACCCCCAAAATAATAATAATAATAACCTGCAGCTGACACCCCCCCCAAATTATAATAATAATCATAGCCTCCAGCTGATACCCCCAAAAAAGAATAATGCAGCTGACACCCCCAAAATAATAATAATAATCATAGCCTGCAGCTGGCACCCCCCCAAAAGAATAATAATGTAGCTGACACCCCCTAATAATAATAATAATAGCCTGCAGCTGACACAGCTAACACCCCCCTAATAATAATAATAACCTACAGCTGACACCCCCCAAAATAATAATAATAATCATAGCCTGCAGCTGACAACCCCCCAAAAGAATAATAATGTAGCTGACACCCCCTAATAATAATAATAATAATAATGCAGCTGACAGTGCGGGAAACACCTCTGGGGCTGGGATGCAAAATGCAGGTGGGGGGGCAGCTGGCGAGGCCCTGGCTGAAACCCCACCTTGGCTTCCCCTCCTCCGGATGGAAGCACCTTGCGGGATAAGACGGGAGGAAAATAAATGGAGTTCCAGGGGGCAGCAAAAAAGGGAGACGGAGAGCTTAATATTAATTAATGATTAGAATTGTCAGCTGTCAAGTGCCACCTGTTAACTGGCGGGCGGTCTTCTCTGTGCAGGAATCGATTTCAAGATCAGGACGATAGAGCTCGATGGCAAGAAGATTAAGCTGCAGATCTGGTAAGGCAGCCTAGGAAATTATCATTTCCAGTTTGTTGGGGGGGGCGCGTCCCTGAGACGCCTAGGAGGAAGGGGCAGTGCCATAGCTGTCAAGCGTCCCTTATTTGGCGGGAAAGTCCCTTATCCCAGCGCCGTGTCCCGCTGCTCTCCCATATTGATGACGTCCCTTAAATTTCCCGGGTTTCAAAGGAAGCAGCTCCTCTCCCTCCCTCCCTGCCGGCCAGGGAGGAGGGAGGCTCCAACTGAGTTGCTTGGCTGCGTTGCTCACCCAATAAGGAGTCTGAGAATGACTGGGGGGTGGAGCTTGCATGCCTTGTGCCAATCAAATTGGCCGCCTTGCCTGGGGACTCGCCTTTGCTCAGCGCTTCCCAGCGGAGAGGTGACGGTGGTTTTCCTTGCTGCATCCCCTTTGCCGGGTTGCTGCGCTGTGGGAACCACTGCTTAAGGCTTCGTTTGGCTGCTGGCTGGGCTTTCTGCCTTTGGCTCGGAGGGGCTCAGAAGTTGAACGTACCTGTGCCCCTTGGAAAATCCCTTCTTTTGGCTGCTGGTCCCTTATTTTTGAGGCTGCTGGTCCCTTATTTTTAAATCTGTAAGTTGACAGCTATGGGCAGTGCCCCTGACATGGGTGGCAAGCCTACAGACGATCCCTGACAAGGCCACTGCGATGGCAGAGCAGTGGCACAGCTTGTGTTGCTGCCGCGGCGGGTAGAACACAGAACATCCCAAAATGGCACAGCAGCAGCACCCTAACCTCCTGGGCCTTCTCCCGGCACGGCGGGGCTTCTGCCCCACGCTAGAGCTTCTTGGCCAGCGTCACTTGAGGGCAAGGCTGTGGGGGCCCTGCCTGGCTGTTGTCCTCATTCCTCTTCCTGTGCTTTTCCTCCAGGGACACTGCTGGGCAGGAACGCTTCCGGACGATCACGACGGCTTACTACAGAGGAGCCATGGTGGGTGCAGGTCTCCCTTTGACTCGGGTCGCTGCTGACCTCTTTTTTATATGCCATATTTTTCGCTCCATGAGACACACCTGACCATAAGATGACCTAGTTTTTAGAGGAGGAGAACGCGGAAAAAAATATTCTGAGTCAAATGTTGTACTAAACTATTTAAAGCAGCAAAGCGGTCGGCTCCTGTCCGCTTTGCTTCTTTAAAGCGAGCCTCAGAGGAGGGAAGGAAGGGGAGTCATGGCCATATAACAACAAAAACATCTTCAACCATTTTTTTTAAACCATAATTTTGATTGACTTCACTCCCCTCCCCCTCTTGGTTTCATTATTTAATACTTTTTCACGCACGTTCCTAGAACCTTATACTCTTCCAGTTTCAATTTTAAATTTTCATCTTATTACAAGTGGCGTATAAAAGTTTTCCTAATGTAAGAATCTATACACAAAGGTTTTAAAAAATATGCAAACATTTATCCCCTTTTTTAAGAAAGAAAAAGTTCAAAGTCCTCTCTTTCTTGGGTTTTAGCTTAAGTAATTTGTCCCGCATAGCTCAATAGTTTATTTTACCAATCTCCTTTCCATTCTTTGGCAGAGGCGTCTTCCTTCTATAAGGGCAGGCTGGTCTTGGTCTGGGGTCTACTCTTGAGTACAGGAACAGAGTCTTTCGTTCGATAAGTCCATCAAAGCCAGCCCACAAATCCCTCCAGAATTGGGGAAAAAAGCAGCTCTTTTGATTGGTTCCCTCTCCCCGTTTCTGCTCTTTAGGGCATTATGCTGGTGTACGACATCACCAACGAGAAGTCGTTTGAAAACATTCGGAACTGGGTCAGAAACATCGAAGAGGTATGTTCTCCCGCTGCTCTGCCTCTGTGCTTCGAGGCTGTCTGTTTCTGAATACCAGCTGCGGAAGCTGCCAGAGAGGAGAGTTGCTTTTGTGGATGTCGTGGTGTATATCCGTGGACACGAAAGCTGGGTAGGAACAATGTCAGAGGTAGAAAGAAGCCTCTCTTTGCTGTTGTTGTTGTTGTTGTTATTTTATTGAATTAATATACTGCCCTTTACCCGGAGGTCTCAGGGCGGTTCACAAAAAAGATCACAATATATAAAATCAAAAGCAATAACCCAATAACACCCCCCCCCAAAAAAGAGCCACATTTTAAAAGGGATGTTGACCAGGTCAACCAAAGACTTGGTTAAAAAGGAACGTTTTTGCCTGACGCCTAATTTAGTCTGATTTAGATGGGATATCCTCTCCCTTCCAGCCTTTTGCGACTAGAAATCTGGCAGCGACTGTAACATACATAAAGACTCCCCTGAACTTTTGGGGGATTTCATTTCCCATAATTCCTAGCAGGAAGGCTTCGGGTTTTGGGGGGAAGGAGCATTTGAAACGGGCTGCTTCTGTTCTCGGACGCTCTCCTGCTCCCCGAGGGCTCCTCTCGTTGCTCCATAAAGCCTGCTTCTCAGAGGTGCGGTTTCTTGCAGGATCCACTGTGGGACAGGACCGTTGCCCTCTAGAAGGTAACGAACGGTGAGCCAGCCCTTCTGCTCGCTCATTCCAGCTGGCAAACCCCTCCGGAAATTGCATCTTGCCACGGTCCCTGCTCTGCCATTGCCCAGTTCTGCAACTAACACGGAACGCTTCTGCTTTGTTCCGAATGAGTGGCATGGCATTGTGGAGTTTTTTGCAAGCGTTTGAAGTGCAGTGAAAGTTTCATCTGCTAGGAGGGGGCCTCTGAAAGGCCTTTTCCCTCCCAACAGAGCGGGAGGAGAAGCGCTGTGTCGGCATCTCAGCCGCAAGCTCTGCGTGCCGACCAGGCCGTCTCTCTTTTTCTCACCACTGCCCTCGCTCTCTCTCCCCCCACCCCCCGCAGCATGCGTCTCCAGATGTGGAAAAAATGATCCTCGGGAACAAGTGCGACATGAACCACAAGCGCCAGGTCTCCCGAGAGCAAGGAGAGAAGGTGAGGGCGGTTTCTGGCGTCCAGAGATTAGCCGGTCGTGTGTCACGAGAAAGGCAAGGGGGGATGTCATTGAGGGAGCTGACAGCCAGAACAGTGAGAGACAAGGAAACGCCGGCTAACTTGCAGTTAGCCGTTTCATTGATGAATCAGAACAGGAAGAATAATTATTATTATTTTATTTATTATTTATACCCCGCCCATCTGGCTGGGTTTCCCCAGCCACTCTGGGTGACTCCCAACAAATATTAAAAATGCAATAAAAGATCAAACATTAAAAAACTTCCCGAATCTGCCTTCAAATGTCTTCTAAAAGTCATATGGTTGTTTATTTCCTTGACATCTGGTGGGAGGGCGTTCCACAGGGCGGGCACCACCACTGAGAAGGCCCTCTGCCTGGTTCCCTGTAACCTCGCTTCTCACAGGGAGGCAACCGCCAGAAGGCCCTTGGGAGAGGGACCCCGGGGTCCGGGGTGGAGATGCTCCTTTAGGTATCCTGGCCAAATTGTTGTCCCAAAGAAGTTGAGACCCAAGTTTATTCTGTCTCTCACAGCTACAATAAACCTACCATTAAAATTATGGACTGGTCATTTCTTTCATCAGAGGGCAAATGGGCAAATTTAGCAGGGGATCAAATACTTTCCCCCCTCACTGTATGTTGGAGTCAGGAATGCAAATTTTTTTAGAACTGTGTTTCTCAAGGCAGATGCTGGTGTCTGTGTTCAGGGCTCACCTGTGTAACTGACCTGAGACCTCTCCTCCTTTTTTTTCTCGTTCAGCTGGCCAGCAGCTTCGGCATCAAGTTCATGGAAACCAGCGCCAAGGCAAACATCAACATAGAGAATGTGAGTGGCGGCCCTGCCTTCCTGACCCTCTTTCCCGGAAGCCTTTTTGTCCGGTCCAAAGGGCGGAAGGACGCCTGGGGTCCAGTCCCCCAGGCAGAATCTCTTAAGCCAAAGCACTTCCAACTCCACTCAGTGCTGCAGCAAATCTGCAAAACGGGGGACCCGCTGCAAAAACAGCTGCCGCTCCCCATCATTTAATAATAATAATAATAATTTTTATTTATATCCCGCCCTCCCCAGCCGAAGCTGGGCTCAGGGCGGCTAACAACAATCAAAATAATCCAACATTCTAAAAACATTCATTATAAAATTAATTAAAATCAAATTGGTGGCAACCATTAAGCAAAATTCTGTGCAGATTGCCAGAGGAGGGGGTCAGGCTGCGCCCTGACCAAAGGCCTGGTGGAACAACTCTGTCTTGCAGGCCCGGCGGAAAGATGTCAGGTCCCGCAGGGCCCTAGTCTCTTGGGACAGAGCGTTCCACCAGAATGGAGCCGCGGCCAAGAAAGCCCTGGCTCTAGTTGAGGCCAGCCTAACCTCTCTGTGGCCTGGGATCTTCAGGATATTTTTATTTGCAGACCGTAAGTTTCTCTGTGGGACATACCAGGAGAGGCGGTCCCGTAGGTACGAGGGTCCTAGGCCGTATAGGGCTTTAAAGGTTAAAACCAGCACCTTAAACCTGATCCTGTACTCCACCTGGAGCCAGTGCAGCTGGTATAGTACCGGGTGAATGTGATCTCGCAGCGAGGACCCCGTAAGGAGTCTCGCCGCAGCATTCTGCACCCGCTGGAGTTTCTGGGTCAGTCTCAAGGGCAGCCCCACATAGAGCGAGTTACAATAATCCAGTCTGGAGGTGACCGTCGCGTGGATCACAGTGGCTAGGTCAGGGCGAGAGAGATAAGGAGCCAACTGCTTAGCTTGGCGGAGATGAAAAAATGCCGCCTTTGTTATAGCTGTAATCTGCGCCTCCATGGAAAGGGAGGTGTCAAAGATTACACCCAAACTCTTGATGGACGATGCTGGCACTAATTGCACCCCCGCAAGAGATGGGAGTTGCCCCCTCAATCCCATATCGCCCCGTCCCAGCCAGAGGACCTCTGTCTTCGAAGGATTTAACTTCAACCGGCTTCCGCGTAACCATCCAGCCACAGCTTCCAGACATCTGGTCAGTGTGTCTGGGGCCGAGTCAGGATGGCCATCCATCAACAGATAGATTTCTCCCTCTCCCGGCCCACAATTCTAATTTGCAGAGGTCTGGCCTGCTGCTGCTGCTCTTGCAGGTGATGGGGGACATTGTGCAGCAATCAGTGGTGTGTTGGGACAGGTCACAAGGGCCGTTTGGGGACACCAAAGAGCCAATTGCCCCCTCCGCATAACCTCCCTCGAGTCTTTGCATTTTGGCGTGAGCACCAGGAGAGCAGCGCGAGCTACGGCTCTCCAGAGGCAGGCCTCGTCCGATCATTTTCACATTTGTATATATTTTTTTCTATTTCCCCGTTTTAAATTTCAGGCGTTTTTCACTCTCGCCAGAGACATCAAGGCGAAAATGGACAAGAAACTGGTGAGTCGCCTTGGCTAGAACGCAGATTTATTTGTTGCATTTATTTCTCTACTTCTCCAAGGTGCTCAAGGCTCCCTCTCCTCGTCTAATCCCAACAACTGTCTGGTGCAGGTTAGGCTGAGGGGAATTTATTGGTCCAAGTCTGCTTCAAGGGCGAGTGGGATATTTGAACGCTGGTCTCCCATGTCCTAGTACCACACTCTTAACCGCTAAACCAGGCATGTCCAACTCTCAAGAGACTGCGATCTACTCCCATAATAACTAGGGTTTGCAGTGTTTGGGTTCCAAGTTGTTTGAGTCCCAAGGCGTTTGAGAACCGTGTGTGTGTGTGTACACACACACACACACACACACACACCAGTATTAACTTGTTCAGTGTTGTATAAGAAACTACTTGGGTTGAGGAGGACAGGTGGCAAAGGGTAAGGGTTTTATAACGCACTATCGTAAACAGTTAACAACGCCAGCAGGGTTGTAAGGCGGCTTGTGGCGATAATGGTTAATGCCTTTTTGTAAAAAATGTAGACAGGTTGAATGAGTGAAAAGGAAAACGTATAAATGCTTTGGTGTAAAAAACGAACTGCGAAAGCCATGAGTTGGGTGGGAGGGAAGTCGCTAAGCTCATACGAGGAAACAGTAAAATGGAAAATAAGGGTGTATTTAAATATTTAAAATGGAAGTGTAATAAAAATATTATTTTTTTAAAAAGTTCTATAATATGGCAGGAGGGGAGGAGGCGAAATGAGCTTTGAGGTCGCGGCCTTTGGAGTTGCTAGGAGCACAGAGCCCAAAAGTACAATGAGGATGTATTTAAATGTTTAAAATGGAAGCATAATAAACATATATATATATTTTAAGTTCTATAATGTGGCAGGAGGGGAGGGGGTGAAATGAGCTTTGAGGTCGCGGCCTTTGGAGTTGCTAGGAGTACAGAGCCTGTCTGCTGGGTGCCATTGCCCTGCTCCCTCCCCAGGCCAGAGTTTGACCTGCAGCTCCAAGCAGTTTGCAGCAGAGGGGGGGAACAGGTTGGAACCCAAGCCCACCTGAATAACCCTCCCGTGGTCCTCTTGCATTCACAGGAAGGCAACAGCCCTCAAGGCAGCAGCCAGGGGGTGAAGATCACCCCCGAGCTACAGAAGAAAACCAGCTTTTTCCGATGCACCCTCCTCTGAGGGGGGGGCAGCCTTACCGCGAGCCTCTGCTCAAGCTTCCTGGGCCGTGCCTGCTTGCAAGAGGCTCCTTCTTCCGTTCTCCCTGTCTGGCTCTGACCCCACCAACGCAACCCGCCGCGCTGCATTTGCTGGAACGGAACTGAGGAAGGGGCTTCTTTTCACGACGGACTCTCCCGCTCCGGAGAAAACGCCGTTTCCCCCTCCCGTCGCACCTCCCAGACGGAAAACGCACTCCCTGTTTGCGGTGTGGGGAGGGGGTTGCTTTGGGGAGAAAAAGATGCGGATCAAGAAATCAAGACACGGGAAGTTTCCTAATGGGTTTTCCTCTCTCTGTCTCTCTCTTTTCTGTCTCTGGGATGTGTTTTGGATAACTGTATCAAGACTAGTAGAAAAAAAAAGTCAGAATAACTCTCAATGATTTCCTGCTGAATCCCCAAATCTACGAATGGTCAGGGGTGCCGTTGGCGCCCCCTAAGACATTTCTATCAGGCTGAATCACACAGCCGGCTTAAAAGCACTGATTTTGTTTTATTTTTGGTAGCAGATTTTAACACACACAGCCCTTTCCTCGCGTCGCTTTGTGGGGACCACAAAGCTCACCGATTCCTTTCACAGACACGGGAAAAGAGGCATCTGAAATCTGCTCCTGGTGTGCTCTTGGCGATGATTCTAGACACTCCTGTGATAGAAGTTGCACAATGCCTCGATACACAAATGAATAAATCTATTTTTTTAGAGAAAACAAAGCTTGTGTGAGATGCTACTTGAGTTTGTGACTGGGAACATCTGGCAAACCTCCGGTTGCCTTCAGTGGGGCCCCAGTTGCTGTCTGGGAAGGTCTCCTGGGAAGATGGATTCCTCTGCCCAATCCTCCCCAACATCTACTTTTTAAAAAATTATTGTTATTATTATTATTAATGCCCTGCCCATCTGGCTGGGTTTCACCAGCCACTCTGAGCGGCTTCCAACAGACTATTAAAAAAACCAAACATTAAAAACTTCCCTAAACACAGATGCCTTCAGATGTCTTCTAAAAGTCAGAAAGTTGGTTATCTCCTTGACATCTGACAGAAGGGCGCCAGCACCGAGAAGGCCCTCTGCCTAGTTCCCTCTAACCTCACTTCTCGCAGTGAGGGAACTGCCAGAAGACCCTCGGGAGCTGGACCCAGGTGTCCGGGGTGGAGACGCTCCTTCAGGTCTACTGGGCCAAGGCTGTTTAGGGCTTTTAAGGTCAGCACCAACACTTTGAATTGTGCTCGGAAACCTAGTCCCCTGGTCCAGGTTTTTTAAACTACTTTTCAATTGGATGACCCCTGGGGTCCCGACATTACAATTCTGCTGAGTGCCTAGACCTTGCCAGGGCACAAAAACAAAGAAAGGCAGGAGGCGGTGTCACAGGTTTGTCATTTTATTTCCTGCCACCCGGACCAAAATCCTGCCCACCCTAATTAAACCACCTTGCTGGGTGGCCAGGATAGGTCCCTCGGCCAAGTCCATGGTGGGGCTCCTCAGCAACCCCACTGGCCCCCATCACATGTTGGCTCTCTCCCTCTGCAGCCGGGAGTTGTAGGCCCTCGAGACGGTGTTCCAGGCATCCATATAGCGGTCCATGCACATCGCGACGCATTTCTGAGAAGGGAGAGGAAAAGGAGAGGGTGGTCAGGAAAGAGGAGCAGGCTGCAAGTCTCCATCACTGGGGGCTGGGGGGGGGGAAGCCTCCAGCCCAACAGCTCGGTAAAGGGGGGGCTATTGGGTTGCTGTTTTTAATTTAATTACGTATTTTGCGGTTTGAGATCTTGATTTTATTCTGTGAACCGCCCTGAGACCCCTGGGTATAAGGGGGTGGTATATAAAAGAAAGAAAGAAAGAAAGAAAGAAAGAAAGAAAGAAAGAGAGAGAGAGAAGGGAAGGGAAGGGAAGGGAAGGGAAAGGAGGAAGGAAAAAGGGAGGGAGGGAGAAGAGAAAGAAAAATAAGGAAAAAGAAAAGAAAGAAGAAAGGGAAGAGAAAGGGAAGGAAGAAATAGAGAGGGAAGAAGGAGGGAGGGAAGAAAGGAAGGAGGGAGGGAGAAGAGAAAGAAAAAGAAGGAAAAAAAGAAAAGAAAGAAGAAAGGGAGGGAAGAGAGAGGGAAGGAAGAAATAGAGAGGGAAGAAAGGAAGGAAGGGGGAAGGAAAAGAAAAAGGGAGGGAGGGAAGGAAGGAAGAAGGGAAGACGGGCGGCTAGCCTCACCTGTTCAGAGTTGTCGAGTGAGCTCCCAGGCTTCCCAATGCACTTCCGGAAACATTTGTCTGTCATCCTCTGCAAAGGAGGGAAAAAGGAAAAGTTTGAATGGAAGAACAGAGACAGGGTTAACAGTGGCGGACATTGGCATCTCAAATTTTGGGGGCGCCCTGGGCACCACCAAAACCTCCACCTCAGTCAGGGCACCTACTACAGCCCCCCAGAAGTCCGGCGCACCCCTAGATCAGCCTTTGAAGGTCAAGGAGGGTCCTGCAGGCTGCAAGGTCTTTTCTCCGGGGGGGGGGGCCAAGCAAGAGCTGCCTGTAGCAGGGGGGCCGGCTTGAATAAAATATAGGGGGGTGGGAAGAAGAGGCAGTTAAGCCCCACCTTGCAAAGTCCATCCCAGGACGGTGGTGCATGCCATTATGGAAAAGCATTGAAAGTCCATGTACTTTTGTAAACCAAGAAAACCTTTAATAAAAAAACATTTTTTTAAAAAAGCAGTCTTCTTCCACCGACTCTTCTCCCTGGTCTGGGATTCTGCCAGTTCCATGTAGTCCCAGGTAGCCTCTCACCTGCAGCAGCTCCTGCGCGTTGGCCACGGCGATCTGCACCTTGACCTGCTCCATCAGGGCCCCGGGGTCCAGGCGACCCCCCGACGCGAAGTCCCCGCTGCCCGACGCCATCGCCGCTCCAGACCCGCCGCCGGAAGGAAGGAAGGAAGGAAGGAAGGGGGAAAATGCGCACGGAGGACTACAGCTCCCGGCGAGCACCGCGGCAGTGACGCATGCGCACTGCGTCTGGAAAGCTTCCCGGCGCGGCAAAACGCGTTGGAACAGATATAATGCGCATGCGCCTCGCTGCGTGGAGGTCGACAGCTCCCGGCGAGCACCGCGGCAGTTACGCATGCGCAGTACGTCTGGAGAGAGACTCCCGGAGAGGCAAAAGCGTCGTTAGTGTCTCTGCGGCGAGGGAAGCCCGGAAGCCGCTCTAGGCTGTCCCTCTCGCTTCCCCTCTCCAACGGAAGTCCATGCGCTCTCCAACGGCCCTGACTCATTTGCCCCGGAAGTTCACTCCCACGGCGCAGCCCCACCCTCCATTTGCCCCGGAAGTTTATATCGGCACCCGGAAGTGGCGGCCGGAGCGTCTGGAAGGAAGGAGGCCGAGGCGGAGGAGGATGTCGGAGTACGAGGCCGTCCAGCGGGGACCTCTGCGCCTGAAGGGCGGCGTCGGGGTGTCCCCCGCAGGGAAGCGGTGAGGGGGAGAGCGAGACGCCCCCGGAGGCCTCCTAGAAGGGAACTTCCGGTCGCGCGGGAGGGACTTCCTGCTGCTTTTGGATGAGCGGGCTATAAGGCCCTTGGGGCTTACAAAGCGCTTGTGCGCACGCGCGGGGAGGGATAGCGCCCCAGGAGCCTGCGGAACTCCCTGCCACGGGAGGAAAGGTGGTAGCCGCCAAGCTAGATGGCTTTTTTCTGTTTGCAGGAAGAAAAAGAAAGATAAGGAGAAAAGCAAGATCGTGGACCAGATCGTGAGCAGCAAGATGCAGGAGGAGGAGGAGGAGGAAAAGCGGGCCCTGGACAAGAGGACCCCAGCGCAGCTGGCCTACGAGAAGATGCAGGAGAAGCGGGTGGGTGTTTGCCGGAAGCAGGCAAGGGGGGGCAGTTTGACCCAGAAGCAGGTGTTATAAGAAAACTACTGCTCCCTTTCCCTTATGGGGTACCCAAGAGCCCCTATAGAGTTGGTAGGAGAAAATAACAGAGGCCAAGCAGAGAATATTGAGAAGCAAAGCCGCTAGTAAGCCTGGTCATTATTGAACTGTTGCAACAGGGTCTTCACTCCCCACATTCAGGGAGGGAGGAGAGGAACCCAGAACAATGGTGCACAAGCCCCTATATAGACTTTTGAAAATGCCTCCCCTGTAGCTCAAGACCACCCCCCAAAACATCACGCAGACATCACAGAAAGAGGTGGTCCCCAGCAGAAATGGGAGTGTGTTGCTTCTCTCCTGTCTGCCAGGAGACCTGATCAATCATGCCTTATCAATTGCCTTTTCCGGGTAGCCTGGCCATTCCTTGGAGACGGTCAATACTCAGTTCCTGAATCTCTTACGCATATTGAGAGTGTGCTCAGCTGAACAGATACTTACCAGACTGTATTTGAAAAGTGAGGCATAAGCCCCTACAGTCCAAAGGCAATTGGAAAGCTTTCCCCATTTCCTTCCTCCTTGCAGAGAAATATTTGAGGTCAATTTGGGAGAGTCCAAATGGCCTCAGGATTGCTCTCCTGTACTATTTCAGACACGTGGTTTATATACTTACGTGTGTGTTTGCCAGTGGCGTAGCGTTGGGGGTGCAGGGGGGGCCGGCCGCACCGGGCACAACATCTGGGGGGGCGCGCTCGCCCTCACAGCTCTCTGCCCCTACCTGGCTCACTCACTCACTCTCACTGCAGACAATACATGTGCTTAGGGGGTAAGGGTTTCTTTAACTAATCTAGTGGAAGAGACTCGAGTGCTAAAATCCACGGGTTAGGGGGCGCAAATCCACGGGTTAGGGGGCACAAATTACTTGCCTTGCCCCGGGTGCTGACAACCCACGCTACGCCACTGGTGTTTGCCTTGTACATTTGTGAACATTTATTTTACATATATAAGACCTTAGAATTCATTTAACACAAGGGAGATGGGCTGAGGAGGGACAAAAGTAACTGCTCCTCTTTTCCCCCCTGCCCTGCAGCAAATCGAGAGGATCCTGAAGAAAGCATCCAAAACCCACAAGCAGAGAGTCGAGGTGAGTCGCTGCCCCAAGGGAGAGATGCTGCCTTAAACATGCTTGCTCTGACAAGAGTTTCTGGGGAATGGTTTGCCTGCGCGAAGGGAAGGACAGGAGGAATGGGCACGCAAAGAGGTGAGGGATCCCGCAGCAGCAAGCAGAGAGGAAGGACTGCAAGGACTCTGCTGTGTAGGCAAAGAAGGTCTGTCTCTTTGTTAACACTTACTGCCCGGGTCCTTCGGCTGCAACGTGGAACCAGCGACCTTCTGCATGCAAAGCATGGCATCCCTGACCTCCGAGCTCTGTGGCTTCCTCCATGTACTGCTCAAATAATAATAATAATTTCTTACTTATACCCCGCCCATCTGGCCAGGCCTCCCCAGCCAATCTGGGCAGCTTTCAATAGAATATTAAAAACACCAATCATTAAAAACTTCCCTAAACAGGGCTGCCTTCAGATGTCTCCTAAAAGTAAGATAGTTGTTTATTTCCTTGACATCTGCTGGGAGGGTGTTCCACAGGGTGGGCGCCACCACCGAGAAGGCCCTCTGCCTGGTTCCCTGTAACCTCACTTCTCACATGGAGGGAACTGCTAGAAGGTCCTCGGAGCTGGACCTCGGTGTCCGGGCTGGACAATGGGGGTGAAGGCTTGAAGAAGAGAGAGGTGGGGGTGTTAGGGGTTTTCCCCCGGGTTGTCACCACAAATGTCAGGAGAGAGAATTTCCCGGTCTCCCTCTTTGCCTCAGGGCGGCTGTGTGCCCTTCGTTAGAGAGGAAAGTTCTTCTGTTTGGCAGGCTGGGGCCTTGAAGTTAGCATCTAGCCAGCAGACTGTTAATTCTTTGCCCATGGTCTTCCCATCTGCGATGCATTTTGTATAGAAGCAATTTCTAACCTTGCACATTTTGTGAAAATCGGCGTCCTGGTTTTTTCCTGACGAATCCCCTTCTTATAGCCAGATTTGGGCTGCAAGCGGGGCTCCAAATTGCTGTCAAATCTAACCAGTCTGCTTGCAGAGAAGGGCTCACCCACGCCACACGCAAGCCGGCCTCAGCGATGTGCCCGGCAAACGATGCTTTCTTGCCGTGGCCGGCTAACTGGAACGCGGGGCTAATCTGCCTTCCGTTAGTATTGATCAGGCTTCCCTGAAGTAGGCAGGCATATATAATTAAACGTGGGTTTTTAAATATATTCCAAGATGATTGAAGTCGCTTCAGTTGCCTTGATTTTGCATCTCTCTCTCCTTTCCCATCCTAGGATTTCAATCGGCACCTGGACACCTTGACAGAACATTACGACATCCCAAAAGTCAGCTGGACCAAATGAGCCATTTTTGTTTTGCTTCTCCCCCACTCCCCAGGCTTGTCTCGTTTTGCTAAAAGGGCACAACTTGGCAAACAGGACAGTTTCTGGATTGGAGACCTTGTTCGGCACAACCTTCTGTAACTGGTTCGATTAAACTTGCGTTTTAAAATAGATTGAACATCTGGATCTTACAGCTTCAAGTAAATGGCCGCTGTTCTTTACCTGCCGAAAATCTCAATTTTCCATTATATTATCACATATTTAAACACTGTATCTGACTCTAGCTTAAATAAAGGCAAAGGAGGCCATATACAAAACGTTTGATCAGGATTCTGTGACTAAACGGTTAATGTGTTTTGCTTTATTTACCGCCAGCTCATCGGTTCTCCTTCTCCTGACTGCTGCCCTGCATTTGAGGGCGTTTCCCCTTCCTCCTAGAACATGACTAGTGACAGCTGCCAAGACATATAACGCCTATTTGCATCGTTTTCATTAAACCAACAATCAAAATGCTTTACTTTTCCTCCTCTCGGCACTTGACTAGGAAAGCCCAGCACACGGGGACTCGTTAAACATTTAAAAACCAAAACTGCTCCCGAAGAAAATTAAAAATACAGAAAAACAGCGTCTCTCTGTCCACAGAGGCGAACGAACGTATTTTTGAGCAAAAGGCAAACGACTCCTTTTACACAAACCTATCCTCGTTGCAGTTCTTAAACGTGAAAGTGACCCAAGTTTGGGCACAGCCAGCTTCAGGTGTGGCTAAGTCAACATCAGCCTTGTCCTGAAACACACAAACTAGCTTGCATGTTTGAAAAGGACAGAGGCTAAAGGAAACAGACACAGGAGCCCCTCAATCCATTTTATAAAAAGTGTTAACACTTCAAAAAAAGAAAACAGAAGAATGCACCAACTTTCTGGCTTCTGATTTTAGTTCAAGGGCCCCCATCCATGTCTTTTCCTTCCTCCTGTTTCTCAGGCTCAGACAGCTGCCTCCAAATCGAAGCCAGGTGTGGTTTTATTCTTGTCTGAGCCTTCCGAAAGTCAATAAGGGCCTTGTTGACACTATTCAGTAAGTGGAACCGTGAAAAGCAGGACACAAATCAGGGATCCCTTTTCCCCCAGGGAGGCTGTGCTAGGCAGCAGCTACGGCAGCGTTTATTTGCCTGAAGATAGCCAGCATTTGGGAATCATTTCTCAAGTCTCTCACACTTCCCACAGAAAATACTTTCCAGCAGCAGCAATGCCAACCCCACTGGGTGGGAACCACCTTCTGATGCGATCAGCAGAGCCTCTCCTCCCATCTCCCCACCAAAACGCATTTGCCGATGACCTAGAAAGAGTCTGAAATGCCAAAGAAGCATTCCTCCGCTCGTTTTGCAGCTGATCTGGCCGGCTGGAAGTCTTAAACTCGCCAGAGTTTCAAAAAAAACCAAGCAAGCGGTTTGTCATTCCCCTGAACACCGCTGCTGCTCCCTGTCCGATTCAGGGAATGGAGCGCTTCTTATTCCCAACCCCAACCTCCTGTGCCCTATGGTACGATTTCAGCACTAAATCCATATTCATTACAGTGCCAAATTTACGTATAAGCTAAACAAGCTCTAGCTTGGGGGCCCCAAAAAACCTGGATGTACATTTCCAAAATATAAGATAGAAAACAAAATTAAACCTACATACAGCAACAGCGTTTTGTGTTGTGTAGGCTCCTATGGTGTAAGTCATGGACCCCGCCTGCTCCCTAAAATATCACTGGTTTGCTCCTTTCTATATATAGGGTGCCGACATTCTGCATGGACTGGTTACATGGCAATATGTGCAAATGGCTTGCGATACCTATTGGGTCCATCAATGACCATCTAGCATATATTTAACACACAAAAACAGTGACAATTTGTTGTCGACAAAGGACAGCTGGACATAAAAGGGCCCCATTGCCTTCAGTAGCTTAGGGCTTCATCAAACCCACATCCGGCCCCGATTCATTATGTTAAGAAATGCCCCACAAAGTGGAAATGTGTATAGGGGGGGAGAAAGGTTTTATTATTAGACTGAAAGCTTAAAAATAAAAAAAAAGCTATTGCCATGTTAACAGGATACATATCGAGGGATTGGGTGGTTGAATTCATGTTGCCCGTTTCCCTTCCTTCCACCCTCCTTGCAAAAAAATTAATAAATACAGAAGTGCAGAAGTTTCCCCGTCAGAGCACCCTAAGATTGGCCAACGGGAAATGCCTTCTGCTTTTTTTGGTCTGCTTCTCAAGATGTTCAAGGAGATGAAACACACACACAAAGAAATAGTATTTTGGCACAGCTCTGTAAACTAGGAAGCCAGTACGTCTAGCCTTCCTATGGAATGTGTAAGCTTCTAGTTTTACGAACTTTCTGTAAACGAGGAAGACTGCGAAAGAAAGCCGTCTTCCGGCGGAACGTTGCAGGCTTTCTGCATAAACTTTGCGCTTCTGCAAGAGAGTTTTCTGCGGTCTTGCGATTGCAGTAAGAAACGGCAGCTAAGAAAATGACGCTAACTACCGCCAATAGCTCCGTTTCCCTGTCACCTCAACTGGGCCCGTGCTCCCTGCTCGGTTTTGCACAAAACACGTGCGTTTCCAGTTATCAAGAGAAGTTAGCACCTTCGGAGCAGCCCTGCGGGAAACGGATGCCTTGGCGCACAGCTTTCCCGGTTTCGCAACGTTCTGCCGCAGAGGATTACGAACAAACAAAAAAAACTACATTCAGTTGGTGCCCAAAACCTCAATGCTTAAAGGGGGAAAGAGGGAGGATAAGAGAAGGTTGGCATTTTGTGTGATCTGAAAGGTGGGGAAGACGAGAGAGAGAAAGCAGGAGAAAAGAAGTGGATTCAAAGAGGAAGCCGCTATTTTTGGCAGGATCCTCTTGGCTTCCCGAAGTCCGGGTGATTTTTCCGGCGCGGAGTTATATGCTGCCGAGCTCGCTGAGGGTCTGATCCAGCGTCCGGTGCAAAGTCAGGTTCTCTTCTTTCGCCTGGGCAACTTTTTCTGATGAGAATGAATGGGAGACAAGTTTATTTTGAGACGCCCGTTCAAGGGGCATGTCTGATTAGGACGGCTCTATTCTAGTTGCAACCAATCTCCTGTTGTGGGTTTTTTATCAAGGCAGCCACCCCTCTGAATAAGCTTTTCCCCAGGCAAGCGCTTTTCTTACGCCTGGTGCATATGTTTTAAGGCAACTGAAGGAAACCAGCTGTGCCCCCCCAGATGTTGCACTGTAATTCGCACCACCACCACCCCGGACAATTGGCTAGATGGAGAAGACTATTTGTCTCTGAGATCCATTATTTCCAGCAAGCTACGAAAAGGACTGGGCTCAGATAGAAGCAAGGCATCTTTCTTGAGGGTATGTGGAAGTTCAGGTAAAAACCACAGCCCAAAATATATAGCGCTGTGGTGTAATATTTAATTTATCTATTAGATGTGTCTACTGCCCTTCATCATAAGATCTCAGGGCAATTTGCAGAATAAAACACAGGAAAAAAACAAGGAACAAAACAGAACAGCAAATCGACATTTCTTGCCTCTAGCTTTCGGCTTGGCTAGTTAGTCCGTCTGAGTGCTGTGAAATCTTTCTTTTCTGTTTGAATTGTTTTAAGCTATTAAGCCACCTTAGACCTCAGAAAACCGTCTAATAATAGAGAAGCAAGCGAGAGGGAGAGACGCCTTTTGTATAGGAAATGGAGAAAATGAATAAGCAGAGAGGAAATACAAGAACTCTAGGTTTTTTTTAATGGAAGCAAGTTTTTACAGAAAAAAGGAAGACAGGAAGAAAGACCGGGAAACTTGTGAAGAAGGCACACGGAGGCAGCAGGTTCTTAGGCAGGACAGGAGAGCTGGCAGAGAGATCGCAGCGATCGATTTATCTTCCTACAAGGAAGTCATGTCGTTCAAAGCGTGGTCCAGCTCCTCGCTGATCGCTTTGTACTTCAACTTTTGAGCATACAGCTCGTCTGCCGGACAGAGAAACAGAGCGAGAGGAGAAGAAAAGGGAGAAGGGAGGAAAGGGAATGTTAAAAAATAAACACAGAAGGATAGAGAAACATTTCAGAGGAGATTTTCAGAAAGATTTCAGCAATAAGAGAGGCATTAGTTTGTCCCAAACACTTCCACCTACGTTAAAGCCCAGTAATTTTGCAAAAAGGACAATACAGTGGTTCTCAAACGCCTTGGTTCTCAAACTCCGAAAACCTGGAAGTAAGTGTTCCAGTTTTCGAACAATTTTTGGAAGCCGAACGTCCGATGCGGCTGTCGGCTGTTGTTTCCGGGGCGCCTGCGCCAATCAGAAGCTGAGCCTCGGTTTCCGAACATTTCGGAAGTCACATGGACTTCCGGAATGGATTAAGTTTGGCGATTTGCTCCTTATTTTGCATTTTTGTTTTTGAAGCTTTTTCGGTTCATTTGTTTTTGTGACTGTGTGGAACCCAGTTCAGCTAATGATTGATTGTGTGACTGTGGAAATGAATAAAAGCCCCCCATGCAAACAATGACCATCATCAGTGGAGGGAAGGAAAAAAAAGAAGTTTCATTTTTATCATCTACAATACTGTCTTATTTATTTTATAGATGGTCTTGTTAGATAGTAAAGTTCATGTTAAGTTGCCATTTTAGGGGTTGTTTTTAAAAGTCTGGAACGGATTAATCCATTTTGCATGACTTACTACAGGAAAGCACGCCTTGGTTTTGGAACGCTTTGGTTTTGGAACGGACTTCCAGAATGGATTAAGTTTGAGAACCAAGGGACCACTGTACAGGGACTGAAGTCACCCCAAGACTTCCTGGTCTTCATTCTCAGCCTGACCACACAGAGCTGAGAGTCCGACCACAGCTCAGGGGGCAGATATGTATTTCCTGGGGCTAACCACAGATGCACAGCAAGAGAAACCCTAATATTAACTCAGCAACTTAAATCACACACACGTCAAACAGCCTCATACCTTCCAGGTCATCGATCGTCTTTTCCAGCTTGGCGACCGTTCTCTCTGCAAACTCGGCGCGCGTTTCAGCCTAGAGACACGGAGAGGGTCAAGAAAAGGGAACTGTGACCACTGAGCAGGGACCCCAACGCACCCCAAAACCAACTCGGCCACCCAGGAACCTCACCTCCTTCAGCTTGTCGGTCAGAACCTTGATTTCCTCTTCGTACTTGTCCTCTTTTTCAGAGTACTACAAAAACAGGGCAAAAACAGGCTCCTTCATTCCTAGGAAATCCTGGGCAACAGTTGAGACTGCCGCTGATTCCCACACTTGCCAGTCACCCTGAGGCAGGCAGCACCCCGGGGCGTCCTCCTCAAGAGCCAAAAGAGGCAAGCCTCAAGGATCAAGCTGTTCCCCAGCTTCTCTGCAGAAGGTTGCTCTCCCCAAACAAGGCTGGGCTTGATGGGGGGCTGGGGAGAGGAGCCCCCACTTCCCTGCCAAGCCAGCCTCTTCAGTCCCAACCTCTGCCAAGGGCTGCTACCAACCTTCTCTGACTGAGCTTCAAGCGACTTGAGGTTGTTGGTGACGTTCTTCAGCTCCTCTTCAAGGTCACTGCATTTTCTGCCAGAGGGGGAAATAGGGCCTGGGGGTCAGCGCTTGCCATTGTACCCCCCACTCTCCCAGGTGGGCTCCCCATCCCCGCCTGCCTTTGCTTTTGTTTTATTTATTTATTAACACCATCATATTACATCACAAGGCTTATTATAATATAATTTTCAGCATGTATACAAGTTTATATACCTAAAGAAAAGAAACAAGGACAAAAAACTATTCCAAAGTCATACAAGTACCAACACTTTGGACTTCCTGTCTATCCCGTTGTATATTCCTTTTTTACAAATGAATGCACTCTTATTACTGTCTATTTCTTTACATTTTATCTAATACATTCCTATATCAATATGTACCCTTGGTCTTATTTCTCAACTCAGTCTCTCTCCAACGTCAATTGAACGCTAGCATAGATAGCAAACCTTTACTGTATTTTTGAACATATATGTTATTATATCTATCCCACTTTTCCATAATTTTTTGTTTTGAATTGCCTCTCAGGCTATTTGTCAACTGCACCATTTCAGCAAATTCTTGTAGTGAATGGGGAAATAGGGCCTGGGGGTCAGCACTTGTCGTCGTCCCTCTACTCTCCCAAGTGGGTTACGCCCCGCCTTTGTTTAACAACGCATTCAAGAGCCCCCATGACTTTAAACTCTCTCTAAGAGATGATATACATGAAAAAATATACTTCCGGAACTGGAATATTAATAGATAATGCGTAAAACGTGCAGAGGTAAGCAATGAAATAATAAAAGAATCAATTGAATAATTATTAAACTACAACAAAACAACAAGATGGGAGAAGTAAAAAAAATATTGAGATCACACATGGGTGAAGGGGAGTGGGGGGTATAGGAGAATTTATAAAAAAATTCTAATATATTATTTCTAATCGTGTTGCATTAATATACAGTAAAGGGAAGTCTATAGCCATTAGGTATATTTTAATTTAGTCAACTATGTAATAGTTGTTATGTTATGTTACAAAACGAATATGGATTTTGAAATTGATATTTGTAATTCTTTTTTTGGTGTTGTTGTTTTTTTAAAGTTATATAATGAAAAAAACATTTAAAATAACTTTTGTTTAAAAAACCCAGAAGCCTTCTTCTTAGGAATTAAAGGTACAGAGATACCAAAGGACCAGAAAAGAGTGTTTATGTATGTGACAACAGCCACACGGATGCTATTAGCCCAGAGGTGGAAGGAAGAAATAACCCCAACCATTTGGATCTTGAATTATTCTTTGTTTTATGTTTATATTTTTATAATCCTATAGATATATATATGATATATCTAACTTGACTATTATAACTTAACTTTTAAAACTTAACCATTATAAAAATAACAACATTGAATAACAGAAAAACTGACTCATCAAGTTTTGTTAATTTTGAAGAAATATGGAATGAATGGGAAGTCAACTGTATGTAAGGGGAAATTTTCTTTTTTGCTTATAAGTACGTTTGTTTTTCTTTATGAGGTGTATGAATAATTGTATTTGTCTTTATGAGAATACTGAACTTACAATGTTATCTTTTGTTGGTTTATGAATAATTAAATATATATATAAAAACTTTAAACACTGCCTTTGCTGGGCGAGCCAACTTCCTTATTTATTCACACAAACGAGAGAGTCTCTGGGCTGAAGTGGTGAGTTCAGGTCCAGTTGTCACGACCCTGAGCAGAGATGGGGGCAATCAGTGCCCCCCAGATTCTAATTCCTATTAGCCTCCTGCTCCCCCAGTCCGTGGAAACCCCCCATGTCCCACTAAAATCAACGAGGCACCAAAAAACCCCCAGCCCACTGAGATCACGCCCAAGTACTGAATGGCAACCCTAGAGAAATCTCTTTCCCAAACAGCCTTGCTGGGGCAGAGGGGCTTCCCAGCTCCATTTAGATGCGTCAAGGGATACTCACAATTCAGAAACCTCGGCTCGCTCCTCCGCTCTTTCCAGTTCTCCCTCCAGAATGACCAGTTTCCGTGCAACCTGCAGGAAGCGTAACGGATCAGAGAAGACGAAACCTCGGGAGCCTTTGCAGGGCTCCAAAAATAGAGGGGCAGGAAACATCCAAAAGGAATTTCTTCCTAATGTCAAAGCAGCCAGCTGGAGAAAATCTGAAAATTTGCAAGGAGCCCATCGGTTGCAAAGGGGAAAGTGGGAGAGAAGGAGCCCAGAATTGGAGGGGGATACCAGTTTACGAAATCGGGGGGCAGCCTGTAACACACACACCCCATAATAATCCTTGACCTTGCCAGCTAGGGCAGCGGTTCTCAACCTGTGGGTCCCCAGATGTTGTTGGACTACAACTCCCACCATCCCTTGCTAACTAGGGGTGATGGGAGTTGTAGTTCAACAACATCTGGTGACTCACATGGATAGACCCAGGGCCAGATTTCGGTTGGATGCGGCCCTCGGCTCCTGAAGGTAATGGGGCCCTTTCTATGTCCAGCTGTCCTTTGTCTGCAACAAATTGTCGCTGTTCTTTTGTGTTGAATAGATGTTATATGGTCATTTATGGACCTCATGGGTATCTCTAGCCATTTGCACATCACAAATAGGAGCCTCCGCAACACGAAACACTGTTGCTGTATGTCGGCTTTATTTTATTTGTTTTCTTATCTTATATTTTGGAAATGCACATCCAGGTTTTTTTTCCCCTTTAATTTTTTTGGGGGGGCCCAAGAGAGTGGGGCCCTAAGCTAGAGCTTGTTTAGGTTATACATAAATCCAGCACTGGTCATAGACTTCACGTGGCGTGAAAGAAACGATTTGCAAAAACCAGATAGGAACACAGGAAGCCGCCAATATTTTTTTTTGGGGGGGTGTGTGCTGTGACCTGCCCCTGGCCTCCAGGCCGGATGCAACCCTCCAAGCTGCAGGAAGTGACCTCACAACTTTATCTCTCGGTCTAACGATCGCAGCTTGCTCTGCAAGGAGCAATCCTCAAATCGCAGAGCCAGTGATTTATCTCCCAGTCCCTGCGGTTGCAAAAAAATATATTAAATGCAACGATTCAGGTACTGTTGAAGTTATATTTTGCAACAACCTTCAGATTTGGTATCGCTGCTTTCCATTCATGCAGCTAAGCCCGTCCTTGTTTCCATATATCCTAGTTAAAGAGTATCAAATACTGACTTTTAAAGGGCGGGGAGATATTTGTGGGGCTTGAGTTTGAAAGGCAGAGAAGGAAAATCACTGCTGGAATGGCAAATCTTCTGTATAATTACAGCAGAAGCTTTGCTGAAACGTTAATTGATACAATCAAATCTGTTGTTTTCTCTCTACTAAAGTTTTGATTCCTGCTCTTAACGTTGGAAACCTTGTTACAATCACGTCTTGGTCTCTTCTTCCAGGGCTTTTTAATGTTTCCTGTTCTGCGCCCTTGCAATCTTGTCTCAACCCAAAAGCGTTGTATGCTTTCCGCTTGTTTAAATCTGAACAGATTTAGGAACTCGCTTCTAAAAACAAACCCCAGAAAGTCCCCCCCCCCATACAATAATAAACCTCACTGGATGAAAAAGAAGATGAAGCCATTTTTGCTTAAAAATTCGTTCTGAAAATGGCTTTTAAAATAATAATGATTGGGTTTTTTAAAAAAACGATTCAGGTCCATTTTGCCTGCAGCAAGGAACGCCAAAGGGGCGTTTTAGCTGCTGCTAGAGGGGTCTTCCTCCAAACCTGGCCCTGTGCAGCCCCCCACCATCACCACGTCCCCCCAGGGCAACCCCCAACTCACCTCTTCGTACTTGCGATCGGCCTCCTCTGCGATATGTTTGGCTTCCTTCAGCTGAAGCTCCTGAATTTCCATCTTCTCCTCGTCCTTCATGGCTCTGTTTTCAATCACCTTCATGCCTCTGGAGACACAAGAGGAGCCGTTCTGAACTCCCAAACACCCGTCCTTCCCCACCAGCAACGCTCATGCCCTTGTCGGTCTGCGTTTTGCCTTATCGGATGAGACCAAGCCAAGCCCGTGTGACGGAACCGAGAGACGTCTAATTTGGGGGTCTACTTGTTCCAACGGTCGCGGCTGGGGACGAATCCTAAATTTGGGAGGTGAAAAAGGTGGGAGGGAAGACTTCCTTGGCCTCCCCCCCACTATTCTGCAACCAAGAAGGAAGCCTGTCTACCAGCTTCATCTGAGACCCTCCCTGGGCGCGGACTGTCTGGCCAGAGTGGTGCCTGCTCTGGTTATCTCCCGCTTGGACTACTGCAATGCGCTCTACTTGGGGCTGCCTTTGAAAGTGACCCGGAAACTGCAACTAATTCAGAATGCGGCAGCCAGACTGGGAGTGGAGACCACATAACACTGGTCCTGAAAGACCTTCATTGGCTCCCAGGACATTTCTGAGCGCAATTCAAAGTTTTGGTGCTGACCTTGAAAGCCCTAAACAGCCTCGGCCTGGTATACTGGAAGGAGTGTCTCCACCCCCATCATCCAGCCCAGACCCTGAGGTCCAGCTCCGAGGGTCTTCTGGCGGTTCCCTCCCTGCGAGAAGCGAGGTTACAGGGAACCAGGCAGAGGGCCTTCTCAGTGGTGGTGCCCGCCCTGTGGAACTCCCTCCCACTAGATGTCAACTTTTAGAAGACATCTGAAGGCAGCCCTGTATAGGGAAGTTTTTGATGCTTGGTGTATGTTTTTATGCGTGTTGGAAATCGCCCAGAATGGCGGAGTACGGATAACAAAATTATTATTATTATTATTATTATTATCATCTTCATCATTATTACTACTTTGGGCAGCCTCAGCTGCTGTGGGGCTACGAACCTTCCTCTGCAATCCCCTTACGCCGCCCCCCACGTACCTCTCGCTCTCATCGGCCGCCTTTTCAGCTTCCTCCAGCTTCTGCAACGCGGTAGCCAGACGCTCCTGGGCCCGATCCAATTCCTCTTCCACCAGCTGGATCCTGCGGTTCAGGGAAGCCACCTCCCCTTCTGCCTGTGGGGAAACACAGAGGGGGGAGTGAGCCACTGGGTGATGCAAGGACAAAACGAGGCTTAATTTCACCCGGGTCAAAGAGCCAGTTTGGAACACGCCAAGGGGGCAGAAAAAACCTGATTAACACCCCCCCCCCCCATCGCTCCAGCTCTGGCTCACTGGATGCTCCTGAGGATAGGGGGGGTGGTTTAAGTTTTAGGGTTCCCCCAGCGCCCCACATTTGCACCCATGGCCAGTGCTTGCTCTGGCAGTAGCGGGTCTCCTTGTGAGGGGGGCTCCCCTTGCTTCCTACCTGGCCGCCCCCAAAAGGCCCAGAAAGAGAAGGAAGAGGACGCCAGGTGAGGACAGGTAGGAGAGAAAAAGCCGGAGAAGGAGGAGAAGCTGGAGGTGTCCCGTCCCGTCGGAGCGAGGTCCAGCCCTGGGGTCTCCAGGCGTCCAGGCGCAGCGGGAAGGAGGCGCAGAAGGAGCCGGGAGGAGGCGCGCGCAGCCCCGGGGAGCATCTTGCAGAGGCGTCGGGCGGAGCCTCGACGGCGGGGGCTCTCCTCCGGGCTCCCTCCCGGGGGGGGGGTGCCTCTTCAGCCTTTCCCGGCTCCGGCGGAAGGCGATCCTAAGCGAGGGGAACGGGCGCGCCCTTCTCCCCCGACGGGGCGTCCCGGGGCAGCAGGAGCGCAGAGAAGAAGGAGGAGGAGGAGAGCGGAGAGAGAAAGGCGCAAAGTGGAGAGGCGCAAAGCGGCGGAGGCGGCGCCGGCTGCGCGCGCCCCGCCGAGGCTCCTCTTCCGACGGCGCTCACTTTCTCGCGCAGCTCGCGCTCCTGGTCGCGCTGGCGCTGCAGGATCTGGGCGCGGTCCTCGGCCTCGTCGGCCTCCTGTTGCAGCGCTTGGATCTTGCGCTTCACCGCCTCCAGGGAGCCCGTGGCGGCGGCCATCCCGTCGGATCCCGGCGGCACACGTGGATGCGGCAACGGCAGCGACGGCAAAGAGAAGCAAAGGGCGCGGCTCCTCCGGTGCGCGTTGGCGAGGGCGCAGCGGCGTCGGGCGGGAGGAAGGGGAGGAGGAGGAGGAGGAGGGAAGGGACGGGGGAGGGGCCGTGACGTCGGCACCGCTGGCGCATCGTGACGTGGCCACCGCTGGGACAACCCCGAGGACAGCCCCCTCGGGGTGGCGCGCAAAGGAGGAGGGCACCTCCGAGGTCCGCTAGCCGGGACGGGGCGGGCAGAGGCTTTTCCTCCCGGCTGGGCTGCGGTACTGCTGCTCCTTCTCAGGGGACAGGGAGCCCCAAGCGATCAGACGGGACCCCCCTGGACGGAGGGAAGCAACCCTGGACGGAGCCCCCTCTCTGCCCACCTGGACTGCAGGTGTCTCTGCTAAAGGCAACGTAGCTCGCCACGGGGGGCGTCTAGAGGGAGCCGGGCACCCCCATATTTTCAAGAAGCCCCCACCCACCCAAAAAATTCCGCGGTAGTCCTCCCTCGGGGTTTGGAAAGGCGCCCGAAGCCACGCGCTCTTTCTGGGTCTCCAGGCGAGGCGCACCGGGGCCAGGGGCGTAGCTCCCCCCCCCAAAAAAATCCTCAAAAATCTGGAGCTGAGGTTCTCTCTCCGCTAGGGTTCCTCTTTACTCTTGAGTTGTTCAAAATATCCTTCCACTCCTCCTCCTTAATTTAGCTGCCTGGTCCTCTTCGGGGATAGATGCTGAAATTCTCGAAACATTCCCCGAATTCTCCCTACGCTTCTCTTGCGTCTTGGTTTCTTATCTTTGCAGCCAGAATTTTATCCAGTCTTTTATTCCAGCTGCCACCCCTCCTCTCCAAATGTCTTCGCCAACCTGAACAGGCACTTTATATTTCTTCCTCAGCCCCCATCCCTGGCATAGTCGAATTCTTTTTCGTCCAAAGCCTTTTTGGCTTTCCTACTCCTCCTTTGGGAAACCGCCCAAAGTGGTTGAGCTTTCTTTGGGAGGGGTACCCACAGCCCCAGTGCCACCCCATCGCCCCCGCCCCCACCTAGCCTTCCTTCCAGGGCCATCTTTACCCGGGGGTCCAAGGGGTGCGGGACACCCGGCGCCGAATTCTGGGGGGCACCAGGCGCCCGCTGCTGAAGCCGCCTAAGCGCTTAACTATCTACCTGTTACGAAATAATTAATCATTTTGATCAAGCTAGAAAAACAAAATACATATATACCTAGGTATTACCGAAATGTATACCTACTGCTGCGGGACCAGAGATTTACAGAAGACTGGAAGAAGTACCGTATTTTTTGCTCTATAAGACTCACCTTTTCCCTCCTAAAAAGTAAGGGGAAATGTGTGTGCGTCTTATGGAGCGAATGCAGGCTGCGCAGCTATCCCAGAAGCCAGAACAGCAAGAGGCATTGCTGCTTTCGCTGCGCAGCGATCCCTCTTGCTGTTCTGGCTTCTGAGATTCAGAATATTTTTTTTTTCCTTGTTTTCCTCCTCCAGAGGAGGTCTGGTGCGTCTTATAGAGTGAAAAATATGGTATATGAATTATTTGAAAAGCAACTGTCATCAACAAATCACGCTAGTAGGACTGCAAGAAGTTTTGTAAGGAGAAATATATGAAGTATTACAAAGTAGAAAAAGATAGAGATATTGGTTATGAGTTTGAAATGTAATAGGGAAGATAAGAAATGCATACTGAGAGATTAGATTGGAAAATTTTCAGACAGGATGGATGGAAGTCAAAAAAATTGAATAAGATGTAAAACTTTCGACTTTATGCGCACATTTACCAAAGACGCACCGCACTTGTCGGCACTTGTCATTCTCAACGGCGCCGTGCACCCGAAATTAACTAAATTTGGGGGTGCTGGGCAGATATTTCCACCCCAGCGGTGCGTGAGCTAAAGACGGCCCTGCTTTCTACACTACTGGCACCCATCAGCTTTTGCAGCCAGTGCAGGGACGTGGGTGGCGCTGTGGGTTAAACCACAGAGCCTAGGACTTGCCAATCAGAAGGTTGGCGGTTCGAATCCCCGCAACGGGGTGAGCTCCCGTTGCTCGGTCCCTGCTCCTGGCAACCTAGCAGTTCAAAAGCACGTCAAAGTGCAAGTAGATAAATAGGTACCGCTCCGGCGGGAAGGTAAACAGCGTTTCCGTGCACTGCTCTGGTTCTCCAGAAGTGGCTTAGTCATGCTGGCCACATGACCCAGAAGCTGTACGCCGGCTCCCTTGGCCAGTAAAGCGAGATGAGCGCCAGAGTCGGTCACAACTGGACCTAACGGTCAGGGGTCCCTTTACCTTTACCTTACAGGCCAAGTACTGCTGCCTTGGCGTGCCCACTGCAGGAGTTGACGGTAATCGTAGACCAAAAAACCCAGAGGACCCCCCCCCCAGCCCCAAGTTTGGCATGGCCAGCCTACGTACATCCGTGGCTTTCTTGTCTGCCATCTCCAGCTTCTCCTGAGCATCCTTGAGGGCTTCGGAGTATTTGTCGAGCTCGTCTTCAGTGCCTTTGAGCTTCTTCTGCAGAGACACCAGTTCATCCTCCACCTGCCCAAAGAGAGGGAGAGATAATATTGCAGATTATTACATACACATCACTTGGGAAGACAGGTGAACGAATACCAGTATACTGGAAGAAGCAAAGATCGCCAGTGTCAAAGCAACATCGCTGGACTGGTCATGTTGTGTGGAAGCCTGATGATCGTCTTCCAAAGCAACTCCTCTATTCTGAACTTAAAAATGGAAAGATTAATGCTGGTGGTCAACAAAAGAGGTTCAAAGACTGTCTCAAGGAAAATCTTTTAAACTGTAGTATAAACACCGGCAACTGGGAAACACTGGCCTGCGAGCGCTCCAGTTGGAGAACAGCCTTGACCAAAGGTGTCCTGGGCTTTGAAGACACTCGAACTCAGGACGAGAGGGAGAAACGTGCTAAGAGGAAGGCGCACTTGGCAAACCCTCACCGGGATCAACTCCTGCCCGGAAACCAATGTCCCCACTGTGGAAGGACATGTGGATCCAGAATTGGCCTCCACAGTCACTTACGGACTCATTGTTAAAACTGTATTTATCGAAGACAATCTTACTCAGCTACGAGGGATCGCCAGAGAAGAAGAAGATAGGGCATTGGGTTGCCATATGTCCTATTTTCCCTGGACGCGACTTCTTTTTCAGGATTAAAATTTGATTTTTTAAATCTGGGTTTTTTCATTTGGTGTTTTTTCTTTACAGTAACCCAAGAAAAAATTCCTAGTGCATTCAACTCAAATCTAAGCAGGCCTGCAGTGGAGAATCGCGATCCACCAGGAATCTTTTTAATGTTGCGCTCCTTGCTTCCACAAGGGAGAAGGAAACATCAAGAGGAAAAACCACAACAAGGCAGATTTAATTGGTTGGGTCAGAGAACAGCGTTTTATTTGAACATTAAATTGTGATGCACTTTTTTTGGGAGGGGCTGGTCAGTGACCCTCTTGCAACCACTTATGGAAAACCATCCCTTTGCTCCTTAGGCCGAGCAGCCAAAAAATGTATGCTGGAGCCTTATCTCTCTCTCTCTCTCTCTCTCTCTCTCTCTCTCTCTCTCCACCTTCCCATATAAATCCATCCTGCTTTCTCAAAGCAGCTATTTATATCATTCCAGGCCAGCGCTGGGTGCCAGTTTCCCTGGTTCTGATGAACACTCCCCTTATCTTGCGGCCGGCCAGCGATAAAGTTATCTGGCTGTGGGAACGAACTCCCTGTTCTGCCCTTCGCAGTGTGTTCTTTTCGGGGTGGGGGTGGGGAGCCTGAGGCTACTTCTCACTCACAGTGGCGTAGCGTGGTTGTCAGCACCCGGGGCAAGGCAAGTAATTTGCGCCCCCTAACCCGTGGATTTGCGCCCCCTAACCTCCAGATGTTGCGCCTGGTGCGGCCGGCCCCCCACGCTACGCCACTGCTCACTCGTCCCCTTCCCCACTCACCTGGCCTTGAGCCAACACCTTAATGGCCCCTTTCCTTCCGCAGACCCTCCAAGTGCCCCTATTTTCCAGGGACAGCCCCAGATTTACAGAAGCCGCCCCGGTTTCTGATCTGATTCCAGAATATCCCGCTTTTCCTTAGGACGTCCCTATTTTCAGGGGAGAAACGTTGGAGGGGATGGAATAGGACATCCCTATTTTCACGGGAGAAACATTGGAGGGGATGGAATAGGACGTCCCTATTTTCAGGGGAGAAACGTTGGAGGGGATGGAATAGGACGTCCCTATTTTCAGGGGAGAAATGTTGGAGGGGATGGAATAGGACGTCCCTCTTTTCACGGGAGAAACGTTGGAGGGGATGGAATAGGACGTCCCTATTTTCATCGGATAATTTTTTCTCCTATGTTTGACAGGTGTTACGGTTGCTCAGTGTGTCACTGGGCCGCTCCCCGCTTTGGGTTTGGGGGGCTGCGGCTGAGAGACAGCTGAGCCTGGGTCTTTGGTGCCAGCTGGAGCGGCTTAAACTGCCGCTGGGGAAAGAGAGGGAGAGGGAGACCCCTGGGACCCAGAGTTTGCCAGCACCTCATCCCAGAAGGTCAGCCTTAAACCCAGGTAGCGAGCCGTCCGTGCTCTTTCCCCGGGTGCGGAGAGCTGCAAATAAATGCCTCTTAATCCTGCCCATCACATCCAGCCATGAGCTCATCTGTTCTTCATGGGAAATATGAGGAAGGGAAGCAGCCAGCCTCCCACCAACCTCACTCTTGTTTGGGGAAATTCGGGGGAACCAGTGAGATCACTGGGCTGCCTCTGCTATGTTTGTCCGGACTCAAAAAAAAAAGGATAAAAAGAAGGAGAAGCAGCTTTGGAGAGTTCCTGCAGACCAGATCCTGTGTCTTGGAGCAGCGAACAGGCCCCGTTTCATCCCAGCAGGGCCTTACCTGAGAGTAAGCCCCCTAGAAGACAGCAGGAGCTGCTTCTGGAGACTCCTAGCAGTTTGTGCCTCAGTGACACGGTCTGTAGAATGGGCATAATTTATTTGTTGACTATATATACCTCTCTATAGCCGCAAGGTCTCAGGCCAGTTCACAGGATAAAACCAGAATATAAATATTTATATACACCCCCTAGACAAAAAAATTCCTCGATTATGTCCTTGGCTCTCTCCCTAACCGACCTCCCCTTCAGCAAATCTCTAATTCGCTGGCTGTCTTTATTATTTTGCACAGGTTGCAAAATTTGCCTCGGCTGCAAGTAAGTTGAGAGCTGGGCACCAAGGCAAGTACCATAAGGGGTGTCTGTGTGAGAAGTGGAGTGCTTAACTTACACAAGAGTGATTTTTTTGCATTTTTGCATGTTTGCTGTTGTTGTTCCAGTTTTAAATTAATTATTTGCATCCTACTTGTTGTGACCGATTGCGGTGGCTTATAGCAGGGGTGGCCAGCTTCCAAGAGACAGCGATCTGCTCACAGAGTTAAAAACTGGCAGTGATCTACTCCCTTTTGTGGGGTTCAGGTAAAAATTGATGAGCTATTTTTGCTTTTTCTTAAGAAAGAGAAGGCCCGTTTTGCGGGGGTTCAGGTTGAAGTGGTTGAGCTTTTTCTTAGGGAAGGGAAAGCCACGTTTTTCAGGGGTCCGGGGCAAAAATGTTGAGCTTTTTGGAAGCCAAACTTGTTCAGCTTCTTGAGGGGGGGGACCAGTGATCTACCAGTGATCTACCACAGAAGTCCAGTGATCTACCAGTAGATCACGACCTGCCTCTTGGATGTGCCTGGTTGTAGCTTTTTAGCAATAAAGATTCATTCCGCATCAATCTACGGAGCGCATAATCAAAATAAAAGCGATGCTAGCAGCAGCAGTGACGATGAATGTATGTATTAAACCTCCCAGTGGGGCAGCTTGCCCCCACCTCTCCCCCCACATGCCCCCTCAAGCCTCTTGCCCCCCATCTTCTGCCCCCTCACCTGTTTACACTTGTCCTCCGCTGCCTTCTTGTCCGCCTCGGCTTGCTCCGCTCGGTCGATGGCGTTCTCCTTGTCCAGCTTCAACATCTGCATCTTTTTCTTGATGGCCTCCATCTTTGCGGCTGGCGGGAGATTCTGCGGACAGTGAGGGCAGAGGGCAGGCAGGCAGGCAACAGGCGACTGGGGGGGCCCTATATTTGAGCTCCTGGTTTTAAGCTCCTGGCGGTGCTGACGTAGCCGACGATAAGTGGGGAGGAATCTCTCCAGTCCTCTCCCGCCACCTTATTAGGAGCTCGGCGTCTTTAAAGAAAAGAAAAGCACTTGTTTCCATTTTTAACTTTCCGGCAGAAGCGAGCGCCTGGGCCAGGGACACAAAGCTCCCTCGACTGGCACTGTGGGGCAGCCGAGCCAAGACTTGGCCCGACCCATAGGAAAGGATCCAGACCCTACAGGTGGGAATGGAGCAAGGAGATCTTGCAAGGAGTGTGCAGGGCCTCAGCCGAAACAAGTGGGCTTCAAACTCTGCTCAAACGCGGTGAGTTCCCAAGGTTGTAGCAGCAGCAGCTGGTGGAGAGCAGGACTCGAACCCACGGCTTCCAGTTCCGAGAAAAGAGAGGCTCAACATCAGGAAGAACTTTCTGTTTGACTGTGGAATGGAAGGCGGCAAACTCTCCTTCCTTGGAGGGTTGGGCAGCCATCCGTCCGGGATGCTTTAGCCGAGATTCCTGCATTGCAAGGGGGTTGGGATGGATGTCCTTCAGGGGTCCCCTTCCAATGCTACGATTTTGCGATTCATAATCGGGAAGATGGTGGCGACGGCAGACGAAGCAGCAAGCAAAGTGCGTGGCAGAAAGCTGGAAACAGAATACAGGGTTGCTGCTCTTGCGCTCCCAGGGCCCTGAAGCGGCTTTTGCATTCCAGCTTAGTCCTGCTTGCTTTCTCCCTCATACTTTCATCTCCAGATAAAAGCCCAGTGGAAATGGGTCCTGGCCGCCGCAAGCCCTTTTGGGCCCTGTGTAAATCATCATTTGTCACAAACAGATCTAAGCTTTTCGTTCTTCCTGGCGGTTGTCTGGCTGAGCCCGGCTCTGCAAAAGCTGCCTCCTTTCGTTCAATAAGGAGAAGTCCTCCTGGTACTGCAAAATTGCTTGCAGAAGCCGAGCCGAGATCCAGCGGAGGGCCATGCAAAGGGCACCTTTCGAGCATGCGCAGAGTGCCCTCCTTCCTTGGGGCCAGGGAGCAAGCAGCCCAGAGGCGTCTGGGATCCTGAGAAAATCTGAGCTCACCTTTTCGAAACAGCCTCTTGCAAATCGGCTTGTTGGGGAAGAGTTTGAGGCTCTGGGAAGCTCTTGCGTTGCAAGCCGAGAATTTCTTGGCACTGGGGCGGCTGCCCCGAAGGAAATGGCCCATTTCCCAGATGCTTAGACCCCGGAGAAGCCCCTCTTCAGGAGGGCTCTTTCTCTGCCACCAGGCCAGGCAGCTGGAGAGCGGCTCTGGTTCGGAGCCCAGTCGAAACAGGATCCGTCTCCCAGGAAATGGCGAGGCAGACGGTCCGAGGCCTTTTATGGAGAACTTTCGAACAAACATCAAGGGAATTGAGAGAGGCGGCTCTTGGGCGGGTTAGGAGGCAGCAGTAGTGGAAAAGCAAAACAGGGAAGAAACAGAACAGGTGTCCGGCTGGTAACCGGGCAGAAATAAAATCAGAGGCGAGGTTGCAAACCCGTCTGGGCTGAAAAATACTTTTGCATGTGGTCAGTTTTGATTAAGACTCGGCTACAGATATAACATTTTAAGTGCGTTTTGAGTGCATTGTACAAATGGGGCACTAGATGGCGCTGACGAGCTAATGGCAAATTCCATATATATTTTACAACGGTTTTTGTTTTAAAAAAGCATTTTCATGGCGTTTTTTAAATATCTGTGTAGATTCAGGTTCCCATTCCAGGGTGGAGGTCTGAATGCAGAGGGGAAGAGAAGAAGAAAAGGGTTTTTTCCTTTAGTTTGTGTACAACAGGATATGTTCTGAATTATGATGATGGTGAAGAATATTCTTATTCTTATTAATCACCACTTGCCCTTCAACCCAAGACCCCAGGGCATATACTCCAGCATTTCTCCCCTGAAAACAGGGACACTCTATTCCATGATGATGATGATGGTGAATAATTTTATTATTTATACCCCACCCCTCTAACCAGGTTGACCCAGCCACATACAGTGTGTATAATAAAATTAAACATGAAGAAACTTCTCTTTACAGGGAAGCCTTCTGATGTCTTCTAATGGTTGTATAGTTACTTACCTCCTCCTTTTTATTACCGAATAGGACGTCCCTATTTTCAGTGGGGAAACGTTGGAGGGGATGGAATTGTTGTTGTTTAGTCGTGTCCGCCTCTTTGTGACCCCCTGGACCAGAGCACACCAGGCCCTCCTGTCTTCCACTGCCTCCCGCGGTTAGTCAAACTCATGCTGGTAGCTTTGAGAACACTGTCCCACCATCTCGTCCTCCGTCGTCCCCTTCTCCTTGCGCCCTCCATCTTTCCCAACATCAGGGTCTTTTCCAGGGAGTCTTCTCCTCTCCTGAGGTGGCCAAAGTCTTGGAGCCTCAGCTTCAGGATCTGTCCTTCCAGTGGGCACTCAGGGCTGATTTCCTTCCGAATGGAGAGGTTGGATCTTCTTGCAGTCCATGGGACTCTCAAGAGTCTCCTCCAGCACCAGAATTCAAAAGCATCCATTCTTCGGCGATCAGCCTTCTTTATGGTCCAGCTCTCACTTCCATACATCACTACTGGGAAAACCAGAGCTTGAACTATACGGACCTTTGTTGGCAAGGTGATGTCTCTGCTTTTTAAGATGCTGTCTAGGTTTGTCATTGCTTTCCTAGGGGATGGAATAGGATATCCCTATTTTCAGGGGAGAAACGTTGGAGGGGATGGAATAGGACGTCCCTCTTTTCAGGGGAGAAACGTTGGAGGGGATGGAATAGGACGTCCCTCTTTTCAGGGGAGAAACGTTGGAGGGGATGGAATAGGACGTCCCTCTTTTCATTGGATAAATATTTCATTCAAGCTGGTACCCCACCCCTTCTTAGCGCCCCATTTCCAGCAAATTGTCAGGCAAAAGAGGCGGGCCAATCCTCCAACCAATCACAACTCACCAGTCCAAGCTCGGGAGAACAGCTATCCAATCCGAGCCGAGTTGTTTGCATCTCCCTCCAGCCATTCATAAAGTCCACCGGGAGAAAAGCTGGCCAGCCAATCACAGCACCGGAATCAACTTTCTTAGTTTTTGGGCAGGTCACGGGGGCGGGGGGCAGAGGAGAAATCCATCCGTTGAACTGCTGAGGAACCCTATGGGTCATCTAGACCAACCCGCAGCAAGGCAAGGCTCTTTTTGCCCTACGCAGGACTCGAACCCACGACCGTGACATTGAACGTCTCATGCTTGAGCCATCAAGGAAGTTTCATCTCCTCGGGCAGAGGGTCTTCCTGACGTCTTCCATTGTCGATCAAACCCGGGCTGGTTCCCTGCAAATCAAACCACATCGCGAGGAAAATGCGCAAGGACCAAGCAGAACCGCGCGCAAAAATGGGCGCAAAGATGGCGCAAATCCCCAGCGGGCCACCAGGGGGCAGCAGACACAACGCAACAAACCCAAGCCAAAGCCAGGTCCGAACTGCAGCCGAGAGGAATATATATTCTTTAGGGAGTTTTCCTGGGCTAAATCCTCTGGTTTTCTCCTGCTTGGACTACTGCCATGCGCTCTCCATGGGGCTACCTTTGAAGGTGACCCAGAAATTGCAACTAATCCAGAATGCGGCAGCTAGACTGGCCACTGAGAGCAGCCGCCAAGACCACATAACACCGGTCCTGAAAGACCTACATTGGCTCCCGGGACGTTTCCAGGCACAATTCAAAGTGTTGGTGCTGACCTTGAAAGCCCTAAATGGCCCAGTAGACCTGAAGGAGCGTCTCCAGCCCGGACACCGGGGTCCCTCTCCCGAGGGCCTTCTGGCGGTTCCCTCCCTGCGAGAAGCCAAGTTACAGGGAACCAGGCAGAGGGCCTTCTCGGTGGTAACACCCGCCCTGTGGAACACCCTCCCATCAGATGTCAAGAACTACGCAACTTTTAGAAGACATCTGAAGGCAGCCCTGTATGAGGAAGTTTTTACTGTTTCTTGTTTTATTATGTTTTTATATAAGTTTATATAAGTTGTTTTATTATGTTTTATATAAGTTGTGCAGAGTGGCTGGGGCAACCCAATCAGATCGAAGGCCCATGAGTTCTGGCATTTGCCCGCCGAGTCGGAACCTCCATCGAATTAACTCGCAGGGCTGCCATTTTGCTGTTTGCAAAAGAGCCACGTGCCACTTTCACCCTGGCTGTGTGGTGCCTTCTTACCCTGTTTTGGGGACGACAGCAGCGAGGGAACATCTGCCGGGCTGCGGGTTCAACCGAGGAGGAGGACAAGTCCATTCTTGAACCAAGAACTTACACACTGGCCACTAATAATGAAACATACAGGGGTCCCTTGGTTCTCAAACTTAATCCGTTCCGGAAGTCAGTCCCAAAACCAAAGTGTTCCAAAACCAAGGTGTGCTTTCCCAAGGAAAGGAATGCAAAACGGAATAATCCGTTCCAGACTTTTAAAAACAACCCCTAAAACAGCAATTGAACATGAATTTTACTATCTAACGAGAGACTCGATCCATAAAATGAAAGCGATAAACAATGTGCTGCAGTCACACAATCAGTCAATACACCAGTAGCTGAACTGGGTTCCACGCAGTTGCAAAAACAAAACAAAACAGAGCCGCAAAAACAAAAACGCAAAATAAATAGCCAAAAAACCAGACAGACCTCAGCATAACACTCAAATGGGAAGCGTGGCACTCAAAACGGAGCACGTTCAGCTTCCGAAAAAAGTTCGCAAACCGGAACGCTTCCTTCCGGGTTTGCAGTATATTTGGGTTCCAAGTTGTTTGAGTACCAAGGCGTTTGGGAACCAAGGTATATGTTGTAGTTATTTTTCCACATTTCATAGAATCATAGAATCCTAGAGTTGGAAGAGACCACAAAGGCCATCGAGTCCAACCCCCTGCCAAGCAGGAAACACCATCAGAGCACTCCTGACATATGGTTGTCAAGCCTCTGCTTAAAGACCTCCAAAGAAGGAGACTCCACCACACTCCTTGGCAGCAAATTCCACTGTCAAACAGCTCTTACTGTCAGGAAGTTCTTCCTAATGTTTAGGTGGAATCTTCTTTCTTGTAGTTTGGATCCATTGCTCCGTGTCCGCTTCTCTGGAGCAGCAGAAAACTATTATGCTATTTCTGTGCTACGCATACAACATGAGAAAACTTATTTGTATAACATTATTCTTGTTTATAAAACCAAATAATAATAATAATAACCAGCAGAGGAGGACCCAAAGAAAGGAGCCGATTGTGCTGGTCTCTCCTTTCAAACCCTGAGCCAAAGCTGTCAACGTTTCCCTTTTTTTAAGGGAAATTCCCTTATTCCGAATAGGATTCCTCGCAAGAAAAGGGAAAAGTTGACAGCTGTGCCCTGAGCATAGCTGTGATGTCACTGGGGGGGGGGCAGGAGAGGGGTTCTTCCCAATGCCAAGCCGCCACCTTCCAGTTATTCCCTTCCTCCAAAACCCTTTGCCAAAAGCGAGGGGAGCCGAGCCATTTGTGGCAGCGAGTGCCACAGGCCACGCGATTGTTTGCACTGCGTTGGGGGGGTGGCAGCAACCCCATGCCCCTCTCTGATGCCCTCTGCGCTATCAACAGGAAACATCTTTCTCGGGGCAGGAAGTGGGCCTTTGTCATTGGCCTGGGACGAGGACATGACGGGATTCGGGCAGCCTATCAGGGCGGGGATATTTTTAGGAGCCGTATATAAAGCAGCAACAGCAGCAAAGAGAAAGAGAATTGCAAAGCAGAAGGAGCAATGGATTTGGAGATCCCTCTGCAAAGGGCTCTGAACACCGCTTGGTTTTCTCTGGGGAGATGGTGAAAGCAACCTCTGTTCACCTCGAACAGGGCCACACAAGGAGGCCTCAAACATGGCTAGTTTCTGGACAGACAGGTTGACCGTAGATTGGACAAGTTGGAAGGGACCCTGAGAGCCGATTAGCCCAACACCCTTGCAATGCAGGAATTTATTATTATTAATTATCATTATTATTATTTATACCCTGGCCATCTGGCTGGGTTTCCCCAGCCACTCTGGGCGGCTCACAACAGAATATTAAAAACACGATAAAACATCAAACATTTAAATGCTTCCCTAAACAGGGCTGCCTTCAGATGTCTTCTAAAAGTCAAGTAGTTGTTTATTTCCTTGACATCTGACGGGAGGGCGGGTGCCACTACTGAGAAGGCCGTCTGCCTGGTTCCCTATCACTTCACTTCTCGCAGGGAGGGAACCACCAGAAGGCCCTCAGAGCTGGACCGCAGTGTCCGGGCAGAACGATGGGGGTGGAGACGCTCCTTCATGTATACTGGGCCATTTAGGGCTTTCAAGGTCAGCACCAACTCTTCGAATTATGCTTGGAAACATCCCAGAAGCCAATGTAGGTCTTTCAGGGTTATGTGGTCTCAGTGGCCACTCCCAGTCCCCAGTCTGGCTGCTGCATTCTGGATTAGTTGCAATTTCCGGGTCACCTTCAAAGGCAGCCCCACATAGATCGTGTTGCAGTAGTCCAAGCGGGAGATAACCAGAGCATGCCCCACTCTGGCCAGACAGTTTGGTTGAGATTCCTGTGTTACTGGGGGAGGGGGTCAGATTGGATGGCCTTTGGGGCTCCCTTCCAACTCTATGAATCCACAAGCTGAACGTTGGGCAATTCAGATCGGATAAAAGGAAAGCCATCTTCGCAAGGCGCATAGTTGAGCTGCAGGACTCGCAGTGACGCTCAACCAGTTTCGATGTCTTTTAAACTATTTGACAAATTTGTGGCTGCAAACCTCAAGGGCTCTGCTCTTGTCTCCAAGGCAGGAACGTAAATGCTTCTGACTGCCAGTTGCTGGAAGGCACAGGAGATGGTTGTGAGCTTTTGTTTGGGGGCATCTTTCTGGCCGCTGCAAGAACAAGGAATGCTCGGATGCAGGATTAGATGGGGGGGGGCGCGTTTGGCTTGAATTTCCTCTCTCTCTCTCTCTCTCTGTTTGTCTCTCCCTCCCTCCCTCCTTCCCTCTCCTGAAAGAAAACACCCACACACCAAAAAGGAAAAGCGAAGTGTTTGGAATCAAGCAGCCGTGCAGAAAGGAAGACAGCGCGATGCAAATCAGCTGCAAGAATCACCTGCCTGTGTTGATGCCCTCAACGCCGAACGTGCTTCCTTTGTGCCGAATTTCCTCCGAGCTTAAAAATAAATTAAGAGAGGCCCAGATTGTGCAACCACTGTAAGAGGCGCTTCTGGGGCGGCGGTTCTTCCTCCCAGCCGCCCTTGCTGAAGATGGCAAAAACAGGACAGACAGGGTGCATTCTGGGGGGATGGGACACTGCGCCACCAGATTTGCCACCTTGCCCCACAGTCCTGCAGGCCTGCAAACCTTTGCTGACATTGAGGTCTCTCTTGCGCCTAGCTAGGGTCATAATTTTTTCCTTGCCTCCCCTTCCATCAGAGCTGCAGACCATTCTTGCAGCGCAGAGCAAAATCATGTCCCTCCGCTCAGAAAAGTTGCAAGGCTGGGCAGCAGGTGAAGATTTTTTTATTATTATTATAATATTATTATTATTATTATTATTATTATTGCACGGGGCAGGGACACACAAAAGAGAGGCCAACTGCAGACTGGGATCTCAGCTAGCGCTGCAAAATCTCTCCCCCCCCAAGAGTTCTGTGCAAAAAGCATTCAAGTCCCACATCAAAAACTCGCTGGCTTTCAAAGAGCGAAAATTCAGAGTGCAAACCTTTGTGTGGTTCTTTCCCACCCCCAAAGGCGTTCGCATCTGATTTTGCACAAGTGTGGGCAAAGGCTACAGGGTCTATCGGCGCGCTGTGAAATTGGGGAAGAGGCTTCCACATCCATGCACAGTTCCTGGAGGGTCTCCTTGGCACAACTTGGTTTCCCTCGCCCTCGCGGCCCCCCACTTTCTGAGCTGCGCTGCTGCACCCCCGTCCAAACTGCCCCACACCTTTCCACCTGGCCTGGGCACATTTCCTGAAAAAGCCCCCTTTGCTTTTGACCTCTGCAAGCTGGCAGGGGACTGAGCCACAACCTTGGTCTACAGAAGGTCACACCCTGTTGTTGTCTCTCCCATCAGGGGTGAGAATTCTTCAGTGCGGTTACAGTGAGCAGCTTCTCTGCTGATTCTCAGAACAGAAGCCGCCACCAACATGTGCCTGTTGCTGCAAACACCTTGCTGGCGTGTGTGTGTGTGTGTGTGTGTGTGTGTGTGTGTGTGTGTTTCGCTGGGAGAGTTCGGGGCTGTTATTCGTTTTTGTAAAGAACAAGAAAAAAACAACACACCGCTTCTGTATCTCGCCCTGCAATCTAGATGGGATCGATAAGAGGCCCCGAGAGTCTCGTCCGTTGCAAGTTACCGTAAACGAGTGGTGGCACCCAACCTCCCTAGGTTCAGCTCTTTCTTTACAGTTGCTGGGTGCAGAAAGACATTTCCACACGCACAGAGGTTTTTTGCATATTAAGCAAGGCCTCTCCGCTCACAAACACACAGACACACAAGGAGTGTTGCGTTTTAAGCACGCCTGCACCGCCCAAAAAGTTGCGTTGATTTTGTGCATCTTTAAAAAACGAACTACACACGTGTTTAAGAAACAAACAAACCAAACACATTGCCCAACATGCATGGATTTTGTGCGTCTTTAGAAATGAACTACACGCGTGTTTAAGAAAAAAACCAAACACATTGTCCAACAACCATTGCTGGGAGGTGGATAAAACAAATCCCTGCTTCTTCTGCTTCTGAGACAAATCAAAGGGGGGCTGACAGCTCTTCCAGATTTTCCAGATGGAGATGGAGAAGAGGTCTTGTGTTTTTCAGGCCAGCAGAACTGATTGGCAACAGGTTAAGAGAAAAGACGAAGGGAAGGTCTGTTTTCAGGGCCCAGTAGACCTGAAGGAGCGTCTCCACCCCAGACACCAGGGTCCATCTCCCAAGGGCCTTCTGGCAGTCCCCTCCCTGCGAGAAGTGAGGTTGCAGCAAACCAGGGAGAGGGCCTTCTCGGTGGTGGCACCTGCCCATCAGATGTCAAGGAGATAAACAACTCTCTGACTTTTAGAAGACATCTGAAGGCAGCCCTGTTTAGGGAAGTTTTTAATGTTTGAAGCTTTATTCTCTTTTTTGTGTTCTGTTTGGAGCCGTCCAGAGTGGCTGGGGAAACCTAGCCAGATGGGCGGGGTATAAATAATAAAATTATTATTATTAGGTGCACTAGCAAGCTGTGGGGTTTGTCGTCACGAGATTTAAGTGGCAACACGTGACACGCAGCTGCCAGGAGAGATGAAGGGGACCGAATCTACACATACTGTATATTTTTAAAAAACACAGTGAAAATGCTTTAAAAAAAAACATTTTGAAATATATACCCACTCAATTATGTTTTTATATCTGTTGGAAGCTGCCCAGGATGGCTGGGGCAACCCAATTCAAGATGGGTGGGGTATAAATAGTAAAATTATCATTATGGAACGGGACGTCCCTATTTTCATCGGAGAAGCGTTGGAGGGCATGCAAAGCATCCATCTGTCTCTGGAGACAATGACAGAACGCACCTTTTAGGGGTGAGTTCAAGCTGCTGAGCTGTTGAGGACCGCTAAGAATTGTTGCTGTTGTTGTTTTAAAAAAAGATTTATTTTTTTAAAAAATAGGATCCAAAACGTGCAGCTGAACCCAAGAGAAACGCTTCAGCTCTGGAACGAAATTTTCTCCGGCCGCAGAAAAAAACGAAAAACCCCATAAAAACAAGCTGGAAAGAGGGGAGCGGCTTGTGTCTTTTTTGGCACGTGGTTTCATCCAGTTTCAAAACCACTCAAGAGATTGGCTACGAAACCTGCGGCTCTCCACAGCTATCTGAGGTTTACTGATCGACTGTTATGCTAACAACAAGCCTTTAGAAAGATAAACCACCGAGAAAGAGAGAGAGAGAGAGAGAGAGAGAGAGAGAGAGGAGGATATGCACCTCGAAGGTCTGCCAGAGCCATAACTGGCAGCAGCCAACTGTAAAAACTTGCATGCAAGGCCACTGGGTTTCTGAACCCGGGCCAGGAAAGGGCACCAGCGCGCCCACCCTGCGAGGCGGCCTCTTGCAGGCGAGCCGCTGGCACAGGAGCAAGTCCAGGCAGGGCACAGCATCCCCTTTCAAACATGCAAACCACAGCGGCTGCCCCGTCGAGGGCTTTCTCACGCGCAGTGCCAGCTCCCCGCTTGTCGTGCCCTCATTGTCGTTCTCGCTCTTTCTGTGGTGCAGGGGGGCAAAGCCTGCATTTCCTCCCTGCAAAGGGACCTGGATCTGGGGCGCTTGCAAAGCACATCTCGTCACCGAAACCCCTGCGGGGTGATTCTCGGGCACCCCTATCTCTTCCCCAGCCTCTTGGTTTCCATGATTCACCAGGGAAAGACATCACCATTTCATTATTTATACCCCAATCATCTGGCTGGGTTCCCCCAGCCACTCTGGGCAGCTTCCAGCGCATGCAAAATGTCCCTAAACAGGGCTGCCTTCAGATGTCTTCTAAAAGTCATATAGTTGTTCATTTCCTTGGCATCTTGTGGGAGGGTGTTCCACAAGGCGGGCGCCACCACCAAGAAGGCCCTCTGCCTGGTTCCCTGTAACCTCGCTTCTCGCACGGAGGGAATGGCCAGAAGGCCCTCGGAGCTGGACCTCAGATGGGGATGGAGACACTCCTTCAGGTATACTGGGCCGATAGCATGCTAGAACCATAAGAAACCGCCACATATCAAGTCAGGCTGTCAACGCCGATGAGATGCAGTGGCTCAGAGAAGGGTCTCTTCTGTAAGAACAATGATCAATCAAGTAACCAAGTGAATTTCTATACCGCCCTATACAGGGCACTTTATAATGTAACTAGGGCACGTGTTTGTTTTTCCTCCTCCCTCCCCAAACCCTTTTCCTCTTGTGCCCTGTCTCTTAACTGGAACGGAAAGATTTGGGGGAGGAGGAGCCAAAATTTGCTAGGCTTTGGAGAGGCCCTCTCCCCACCTCCAAGTCTGGTGAACCTGAGAGAGAAGGATCAAATGTTGCTGGTCTTTCGGCAGATTAATTTTTGGGATTCTCCAACAAGGAGAGCGTCGCAAGCGTTCCTTGCACTCATTCCTCTCCCTTTTCCCCCTTTGCCTGTGGGAGGTTTCAGTGGAAAACTGAAAATGTAGAAACCCAGCGAACAATAACTTTAGCTGGGGCGCAGTCAGGCCTTGGCCGTGCCAATTGGCTCCTGAAACTACTCACATTAAAAGACGCTTGTTCTTTCGGCTCTTTTCCACCAGGTTTTCTAGAACGGCTTCTCGGCTGCGCCAGGGAAACTTGCAAAATATACAAGAGATTCCACCCGCTGCACAAATCAACAGGAACGCCCCAAATCTGCTCCCAGCTCGGCGCTCTTTCGTTTTCCAAAATATGCAGGGCGGTGGGCCCACATACCAGCCGCCGCGGTTGAGGAGAGGGGAGTAAGAAAAACCGAGAGGGGCTTTGCTTCCGTTTTGGGGAGGGAAAACCTTTAGTCTCTCAGTGGCATTGCTGGGGCCATAAAGCCCAGACCCTCCGAGTGCCCCTGTTTTCCAGAGATTTGCAGAAGCTGTCCCGGTTTCTGATTTGATTCCAGAATGTCCCGCTTTTCCTTAGGGCACCCCCTGTTTTCACAGGAGAAACATTGGAGGGGATGGAATAAGGTAAAGGTAGTAAAGGGACCCCTGACCATTAGGTCCAGTCGTGGTCAACTCTGGGGTTGCAGCACTTATTTCGCTTTATTGGCCGAGGGAGCCGGCGTACAGCTTCCGGGTCATGTGGCCAGCAGGACTAAGCCACTTCTGGCGAACCAGAGCACGGAAACGCCGTTTACCTTCCCGCCGGAGCGGTACCTATTTATCTACTTGCAGTTTGACGTGCTTTCGAACTGCTAAGTTGGCAGGAGCAGGGACCGAGCAACGGGAGCTCACCCCGTCGTGGGGATTCGAACTGCCGACCTTCTGATCGGCAAGTCCTAGGCTCTGTGGTTTAACCCACAGCGCCACCTGCGTCCCAGGGGATGGAATAGGACGTCCCTATTTTCAGGGGAGAAACGTTGGAGGGTCTGCTGCTGCCAGCCCGAGTCAGAAGCGCTGACCTAAGCATGGCAGGGGCTGCTGGGAGCCAGTTCCCGGCCCTCTGCGTGCCTCTGCCTCGCGTTCGGATCACAACA